TGGAGACGGTAATGATGCATTATTTTGGACAGACAATTGGTTGGGTTTAACTGAGTGTCTTGCCTCTCTGGCTACTCGTACTCCAACTGGTTTGGAGTTGAATCTCCCTGTTAGTGCCTTCGTGAACAGCAATACTGGTCAATGGAACTTTCCCTATATTCGTCAATATCTCAATGATCAAGCTGTTGCAAGGATCCAAGCTGCTCTCATTCCTAGCGCATCGGATGGAAATGACCGCATTATTTGGAGAAATCAAAAGGTTGGCTGCTCTTTAGTTAAAACCGCGTATTATAACATGCTTGGTTTCCCTCTCATGCCGTTGAAAAATTCTTGGACTACCATATGGAAATGGCATGGGCCTCAACGTGTTAAATCTTGTATGTGGATCATAATGCATGGCCGCCTTCTTACTAAAGACCGCACATCTAGATGGAGTGGGGAATCTGGTCATTGTAAAATATGTCCTGGTGAGTTGGAAACAAACCTCCATGTTCTAAGAGATTGTAAGCATGCTAGAAGTGTTTGGAATTCTCTGGTTTCAGCTAATCGGCAAAGCTTATTCTACAGCTTGGATCTTAGAGATTGGGTTGAAAATAATATCTCAAAAGCTTGGAATCAAAGTAATTCAGATGATTGGCGTGATGTCTTTTTTATCTCTTGTTGGTTCATTTGGGGATGGAGGAACAGAAGTGTCCATGATACTAACTTCAAGCATCCAACCCATGGAACGCACATAATTGCTATGTATATAGAGGAAGTTCGTAACTGCATGGGTAGGAAGGCTATGGCTACTACTAGCATTCATCCAACTCGTATGAGTTTATGGAAACCTCCAAGGTTAAATTGGGTGAAGATTAATATTGATGGGGCAGTTGAAAGGAATACTGAGGTGGCTGCTTGTGGTGGGATTATCAGATCTGATGATGGCTCTTGGTTGGGAGGCTTTGAGTATCATATTGGTGCTTGCACTCCTTTAATGGCGGAGCTTTGGGGAACTCTAAAAGGTCTGGAATTGGTTTGGCAACTGGGATTTAAGAAGGTGGAACTAGAAGGAGATGCTTCTGAAGTATTCTCTTTGCTTGCTGATTGCAATGCAGCTTGTCAGCCTCGTATAGTGGCTAAGATACAAGCACTCATCGATCAGGATTGGGAGGTAACGCTTTCTCATATTCCAAGAGAAGCTAATTCCTGTGCTGATTGGTTAGCCAAGTCTGCTCTTCACAAAGATACTGGATTCTGGAGTCATAGAGTTATGCCGTTTCACCTTGCTCAGTTATTTGATCACGATCTTCAGGGAATCTCCTCTTGTAGGGGTATAGACCCTGGTTAGTTATTTTTTGTTTCTGGTTGTTAGTTTGTTTTTGTTTGGGGCTTCGCCCCTTAATGTTATCAAAAAAAAAAAAAAAAGCCAGGATTACCTCGGACAGCTCCATCAGTATTAATTTTAATCATACCAGTATCTGGAAACTGCCATGCAATATCTATAGTCACAGTACTTCTTTTAGCATAACGATTTGATTGAATACAACAAGCATTATGTATATCTTCAACAAGATTTCTAATAATCCTTACTCTGTCAATAACCGAAGGCATCCTAGAACCATGGAAGACTTCATTTCTCCACAACCAAAGCTTCCAACAAGCCACAAGAAATATGGACAACCAGTTCTCCATATTACTACTTTCCAACTTCAAATTAAAATTAAAATCTAGCCAAGAGTTGAGTTCACCAAGAAAGAAAATATTACCATGCTCAGAAGGCACCAGGCATAACCACATTGAATACACATGCTGACAATCCCTTAGTAAATTATCATCTTTTACTTTCTACAAAAATTTATAATATTATTGCTTGAGACACGAAGTAACCCAAATTTTCATCCTATAGAGGAGTTGTTGTACGTGTACAACAATAACCTATGTAATAAAAATATATTATGTATCTTAAAAAAAAAAGCATAACATAGATCAAGCACAACCCACTTTATCCAATATGATGGGTTAATGGGTCTTGGATTTAGAATTTTGCTATATGGTTTTTGGGCTATGATTGAGAAAAGGTCCAAGTATGTAGATGGTAAGGTTGGAGAATAATTGGACAGTTTGAATTGATCGGTTTTCATCAACCCATCCAAGAACTGATCCAATCCAATTAAATTTTGCGATTTTTTTTCAGTTTTCAATTTTTCGGTTATTTCAATTTTTGGTTTTTCGGTTCGGTCACCGCAGTTTGAATCGATTTGGATCGGTTGATGAACACCCCTAATCATCACACTAATGGTGTGTTGAATTGTAGAGTACATCCAAAGGGGTATTGTAAAATATTATGGATGACATTTCACATGGATTATGGATGAACTTTCACGTGGTTCATAACATGTGACTCTTTGTTTTTTTCATGACATTCATGTTTAAAAATGCATCTAAGATATGTTTCATCTTTAAAAATGCATCTAAGATATGTCATTATATAGGACTCTTTGCTCATACTTATTTTTATTTTATTCTTTCTTTTATTTTTTCTACACTTCATTTTTCTTTCTTTCATATTTCTCTTATATTTTCCATCAAATTCAAAATAATTTTGACTTATATTTATAAATATTTAAATTTATATAATTTTTAGTTTTTTAAATAATGAAAATTTTGATGAAAGAAAAAGTTTGGCCCGCGGGCTAGCACTAACCCGGCCGGCTAAATTATAAGACTTTGAACCTTATAGCGAAAAAAGGCCCTAACACAATATTGGAAAATAGAAAGAGTATATAGGTTTAAATATGTATACCTTGTAATGAACTCGTTGCATTCGCAGTTTCTTGTGGATTACTTGAATCAAAAACAACATTGTTGTCAACTACTTCATTATGAGAAATACTGCCATGAGCACATAACTTATTGTCTAGAAAATGCTCCCAAGGCTTGGTAAGATCTGATTCGCACTACTCGTGTTTCGTTTCCTCGAAAATGCTCCATTCATGACATTGATAAAGAGTTGTATTGTACTCTCTCAGAACACAAATTCAAATTCAGTTTCTGTGTCAATTATTGCAGATAAGTTATCTGCATTTATTCTCAAAATGACATCGTTTTGCGATTGAAAGATTAAAAAATTATAACTATAGAGACTATAATAACCCTGAAATAAATTAAAATTATAAAAACGTCATGATTTCTGCCCAAAACGACGTCATATTGGACTTACTGCAGATAACTTATCTGTCGTAACTGTAGAAAAAATGAATCCCTTATTTATTAATCAATTAATCCAATTGATTCAGGCAGAGTGACAAAGTTCTTCTTATCAAATTGTGTGTCTGGAACTTAAACTCTAAATCAAATAATTATATTAATCATGAATTTTTAATCACTAGAAAAGTCATTATTGCGGAGGGACATTTTTCATCAAAAATTAATAAGTTTTTGTAGATAATATAATTTTTTTATGGAATTTTCCACTAATCTCAATTGCCTCATTTCATATTATTGGAAATGAATTTTTGATGTACAATTTGTTTTCGTGGAATACTTTAACAAAAATTATTCTGTCAAAAATGTAGTATGTTTTGTTGAAGAATTGTTCTAGCTAATAAATGTTTTTTAATATCATTTCCGTTTCTTTGATTGATAATGACAAATTGACAATGAAGTTCCGTCGAAAAAGCAGTTAATATTCTTGACAAAATTAACCATTGAACTTTGTCTAAAAATGTTGTCAATTTTTTATGGAATCATATACGATTGAAAATAATTCATCAAAATTCTGTTAAAAAAGCTGTACAACTTATTTTCATTATTCTGTACAAATGTTTTAAGTATAAAATGCGTAATACTAATAAAAACATTAGCACTAAGTAAAAAAAAGACAGTAAATCGTTTTCTCTTCGCTTAATTTATTTTCATTTTTTATTACAAGTTATTAAAGTAATAAAGTCATATAAATACTAGTTGAATCAGTTTACTAAAATAAAATGTAATTTGTACTAATAGAAAATGTTTTCTTTTTTATTACCTAATTTTCGTTCGAAACTATTATAAAGGTTTTTTAATTTTTAATTTTTTTAAACGTATGGGTAATTTTTTTTAATAAAATTAAGATGATTTTCGTAACAATCGAAAAGTTATTAAGTTAGGTTTTTTTATTGAAAAAAACTTAACATATGGTTTCCCACCCGCATGGCTTTTGATTCCTGAAACAACTCTTTGAACTCATGTTTACAAAGCTGTTGGATTCTGTCATCCTCACATACAAATATCTCCTTCATTGAATCACAACCACCTACATAAATTGACTCTAGATTTGGGAGTTGTGGTAGCGACTCAGGTGTGTATACTATACAGAGAGGAAGGTGAAAAAAAAAAGTGACGAAGAGTCAAAAAGAAAAAGAAAATATCAAATCAAAATTTTGGTTTAATGATTTCAAGAAAGATAATAAAAGGAGTTAAACTTATTTGGTGTTAGCCTAGTGGCGTGAGTTGTGTGTGTTAGGAGTGTGTGTAGTGTAAGGTGTTGTGTTCAATTCCTTGTAACCTTCAAAAAAAAAATTATTATATACATCTCCATTATAATTTTAAAATTTTTATCTGAAATTTAATTCTCTTTCAATTTAAATTTTAGATATTTTGAATTTCAAAATACTCACACAATGCTCGAATATTTACTGCTTTTTGCTTGAAATTGATATACTCATTTCACTATTCAATTTCAAATTTAATACCAACTATTAAACATAATACGAGTTTATTTTTTTTCTCTTTTCTAAAATAAATTTGTACATAAAATACATAAGTAATATCCATCTTTACCTGCTCAACATCAACTCAATCAACTCTATTTTCTTTCAATTGCGTCTCCTGCAAAACTGGGTTTCGATCTTATTCGTGTATTATTTAGGGACGACTCATGGGCTTGGGCTTGGGCCGTAGTGGATGTCCTTATCTTCGACCCACTCATTCATTTATCTCTTGGCGAAACAACTGAACTAAAGCCTATCAGCCTATGGGTAATCTTTTCGATTCCGAAGAGAAACAACAAAAACAGCAAAATAGCTCCTAAACTCAGCAGTGAACAACACTGGAGGAATTGGGGACAGCCATACTTAACAAGCTCAAGGTAGACATCACAGTGATTCGCTTCTCAAATCACACAGACAATATTAATGAATTAAAGTCCTTAACTGTGCTCATATGTTTTTATTTCAATTTCTCTTTTTCAATTTCAAAGGATGGTAATTTACTGTGACACTTTCAATTCACACACATCATGATTGATTTCAAGTCATTTTGTAATATTCTTAATTTGTTATACTTAATTATCCACTGACAGTTAACATTTTTTTTTTTTTTTTCTGTTTAGAATACTTTGCTTGAAGAAATGGCGCTGCCACATTTCATGACTTTGCCCTTGTCATCTTTCATTTCACCTATGGTTATAAAAGTGAGGAAATTGAACATGCCCTGTTCGTTTCGTGGTACATGTTGTCTTCACAAAGATAAACCAAGCAAGGAGTTCTTGAAGCTTAGCCTTTCCTCAAACCTGTCTTTGCTGGCGAGTATATGAATTTTCCCTAGCAATTTAATTTAAGTTAAGTTTTCTTTCAGATAGAGTTCAATTAACTCCATTTTTTTTGTTTTTCTATTTCCCTGAAACAGGATGATGGTCAGAAAACAATAAGAGTCGCAAGGAGAGTTCAAGCACTCAAATCTGATGGTGCTGATCGGAAGAGAAGGCGAGAAGCATCTAGTGACAGTGATGATGATGCTGACAATGATGCACCTCCTCCTTTTGATGAAAATGACCCTTATTTTATGAGTCTTGAAGAGAGACTAGAATGGAGGAGGAAAATTAAGCAAGTGATGGATATGAAACCTGATATTCAAGAGGAGTTAGACCCTGTGAAAAAGGAAAAAAATTTACAAAAGCTGGTGAATGATTACCCCCTTGTTGTGGAGGAGGAGGATCCTGACTGGCCTCAAGATGCTGATGGGTGGGGATTCAGCCTGAGCCAGTTTTTTGACAAGATTACCATCAAAAACAATAAAAAGGCAGATGATGATAATGATGATGATGTTGATGATAATGAAATAGTATGGCAAGATGATAATTACATTCGCCCTATCAAAGACATAACTGCTGCAGAATGGGAGGAGACTGTATTCAAAGACATAAGTCCCTTGATTATTCTTGTGCACAATCGATATAGAAGGTTTGTTCTACTTCTAAATTTAATCTCTCTCTGTTTGTTATACATTTTCTACATTCTGTATCTAAGTCCAGTCGTTGCTTGAGAATTCTTGAGTAAGTAGCTAACAGGAAAGTCATCCAAATCCATGTTTTTTTACAAATCTTTTCTAGTTTTTGGTCTTAGTAGCTGAATGCTAATTGCTTCACCGTTGCTTACTTGCTTGTTAATAAAAGCATTACAGAAATATATGTATGTTACAGTTAAAGTGGCTATTTTGGAGAACACAAGCCAGAGTAGTCCACTGTTTGGTTATTGTCAGCAACTTAAAGTTGAATGCAATCGAATATAGACTGATTGCTTAGATAGCTGGTTTCTCTTTCGTCTCCTTACATTTAGGGTGTGTTTGGTACAAGAGAAATTTTTTGGTGACCGGGAATCATGATTAATGAGAATTCAGTAGAAATTGAGTTTACTTGGAATCTTACGAAAGAGGTGTTTGGTTCGCCAAAATATTACTGGGAATATTGGGTAAAAATTACTGATTCCATATTTGGTTTAGAACGAAATATGACTTGGAATATGAGGTTATTTTACAAAAATAACCCCAAACTATTTTTACTTTTGTAATTGATAGATTGGGTCTAGATTTTTATGTGTATTGGGGTATTTTTGTCTCAAAATTTATTGTTGTGCTTTCCCTTTACTTGGTATTCTGATTGGTATTCCGAATTACCATATTATTTTTGGTAATCTGAATAGTGACTTTTCTTTATAAATCAAATTACCGGTAATCCTTGGATAGCCGGGAATCGTAATTTATTCCTTCTACCAAACGTGGTAATTACATTTACCAAAGAAGGATTACCGGTAATCATCTTCAAAAACTTGAACCAAACACCCCCTTAGGATTCCTTTTCGACATTTAGTTTTCCTGCAGAATACTTTGTGTGTGTGCATGAGCATGCATGTATTTCCCTTTTTATCTTTTGGAATTGGGCTCCGAGTAGGGCTCTATTACACTTTGGACCTTATGAGCAATTAACCGTAGAATTTGGCTAAAGTACTTTAAATGGTCTGCCAGATGACATTTAATATTATGTTTGTGAATTTGTAGTGCTCCATATCATATTTGCAATCAAGTAGAAGTAAAAAAAATTCAGACTAACTTTTGATTTTATCTTTAGGCCAAAGGAGAACGAAAGAATTCGAGATGAACTAGAGAAGGCCGTGAATATCATTTGGAACTGCAGATTACCCTCACCTAGAGTAAGTAATCAGTAAAGTCATACAATTATTACTCTGGTTTCAGCTACTTTATCGGAAAGATAACCTTAATTTTTTGTCTCACAACCTATTACATATCATATGAAAGTGTGTTGCACTTGATGCTGTTGTTGAGACTCAACTGGTTGCTGCACTTCAAGTGTCGGTCTTCCCAGAGATTATCTTTACTAAAGCAGGGAAGATTTTATTCCGTGAAAAAGGTATTGATTTATTTTACTAAAAATAAAAAAAATGTTATCTTTTCCATATTTTTGCCCCTCTCGTTCTGACCATGCCTAACTTCCATTTGGTGGTCTCTCAGCAATTCGCAGTGCAGATGAGTGGTCAAAAATCATGGCCTTCTTTTACTATGGCGCAGCCAAACCATCCTGTTTGAATGGCATTACAGATTTCCAAGAAGATATTCCTTCTGTTATCATTGAGAATCCAGTGTCCTGAAAAATTCCGTCTCCAAATTTTGAGTCAAGCATGCTGCTGAAATATTTCCATTTAAAGATACCTTTAACGTTCTGCCATTGTATAAGAAATGTAAGGGGAATGTATAGCTCCATTGATTGCATATAATATGATAAAAATCACTTACATAGACATGCAAGAAAATTCCAATAGGGGACTGTTTGATGTGTATGGAAGCCATCACAGGAAATAAGGATCGGGCTTGGCTTGTTGGGACAAAAGAATATGTTGATTATTGAACGTGGAAGATGAAATTTCGTGACCTGGATATGTGCTGTGACATCTGTGTACATCAAGAAGGCTATGAGATTGATGGTCAGACTGTCATAGGCAGTAGCATGTAGTAGGAAGTAGTGTTATGTTTTGTTTGATTCATTTTTCTCTATAAACTTTGAATATTGTTATTTTCATGTAATGGCATTGGAGGAAAGGAGCTTGATAACTAAATGCATTTTCTTATGTTCCTTGAAAACAAAGACAAGTTGGAGATACCTAACACCAATAAAAGGTGTGAAAGAAATATGGTTGTACATTTCAATCCCGTTGGGGGTGGGTGGACGGAAAAGCCACAAATATATCCTTTATTTTCAGGTGTGAAAACTTTCATCACAATTGTGAGAATAAAAATTAAGATTAACTTTGGTCATGAGATAAAGACCTTTATGGGTTGGAGTAATGCATATTCTTAAACCTCTATTTTCTAGTCTAATATTTTAGTTAAGAAATAAAAGAGAAAATATTTTTAAATTAAGTTTTGTTCGAATAAATAAGAGTAAAGTATTTTTGCAATCAATGGAGATAAGTTATCTCTGGTTAGCATAAAATGATGTCGTTTTGTGGTGAAAATCAAAGTATTTTTGTAATTTTAATTTGTTGCAGGATTATATTAGTTTTTATCGTTACAATTTTTTAATCTTACAATCCAAAACGATATTATTTTGGACTCATTAGAGATCATTTTATTTTGGAGAAATACTTTTCTCAATAAATAAATACTGTACTAAAAAATAAATAAATAAAAGAGATAGAATTTTGTGTTTACCTATTTTTATAGCTATTCCACCTTTTTTTTTTTTTCAACACTCTTATGTTAAAAACCTTCAAAGATAAATTCCCGCATATCTACTTTCAAGTTTCAAGTATAAACCCTAAAAAGAATGCTTATAAAAAGCTACAATTTGATACGCAGCAAAAAAAAGGGTATGGGTCGTGGCAGGAAAATAGTTGTTAGGGGTCGCTCTGTCACTGCTTCAAGGCCCCCAAGAACCCTCCTGGTATGTGTAGTTTAATGCAAACTAAAAATTACTGTAGGGGAGGGGAACAGATTAACTAATTGATGCTGACTCCTATGGATGATATTTTATTTTTTTATTTTTCTGCAATACTAGCGACGCTGAAAAAGTGAAAATCTTCATCTTTATCTGTAAAGAGAGATTCATATAGTGTAATATATTGGGCAAAAATTTTTAAACTTGGATTTTGTGAAATGGGAATGGACATGTTAAAATTCCATATTTGCCCAACATTATTCAAAGTACTTCTAGATTTGCTTTTAGAAATACTGAACCCACCCTTCCTGAACCACTTTGAGGAACAGAAGAGTTAAATTTGAGAGATGAGAGTAACAAGGCAACTATTATATGTCAAATAGTTAATTCTTTGGATTTTCAAATGATAATAATCATCGTATTTCAAGTCCTTATATGTATTTCAAAACCTCATAGCACCACTTTTAGTTGTTCACTTGTTCTATTATTTCTTTTTCATTAATAGAAGAATCTATTAAATAGGAAAATAAGAAGAATTCATGCTTATTTCTTTTATATAAATTTATAGTTGTTTAACAGAAAAAAAAAATAGTGCAGAGGAAGGGGAATAAATTAACTAATTGATGCAGACTCCTAGGGATGATAGAAAAACGAAAAATCATAGAAAAACAACCATTCTCCTGCAACTATCATCGAGAAGCTAATTAATTGCATGCCATTTTTTTAAAAAAAAAAAAAAAAAAGGAAACAGGTTTGGCACAGGTCGAGGTGATTGGAGGCGGCAATACTGCTTTTGAAAGTATGAGCACCGAAATAAAGGAATTGGTTGATAATTTAACTCGCGAGGAAGACGACGTTAAGGGAGAATCACAGTGGCTGGAGTCCCATGGAAAGAAGCGCAAGAGAAGTGTTGATTATTGGTTAGAGGAAGTTGCAAACTTGAAAGAAAGAGCTCATAAAATGATTGAGTTACTTGGTCAGGGTAAGTTGACAGAGATGGATAAGGAAATGGTGGAAGAGGAAGAGAATTTGATCCTAGAATTGAGGGATCATACCACAAAAAAGCCTTTGGTGTTGTGGAATGAGTTGGTTGGTAAAGGTTTTGAGGAAAATTTTGGGAGAGTGTTGAGACTCCTAAGGGATGACGAAATCTTCATGATTGGCATACATGGGATGGGGGGAGTGGGGAAAACATGCCTAGTAACTCATATAGAGGATGAAATAAAAAGGAAGGGCAGCACTTTTGATTTTAAGCATGTCTTTTGGGTCACTGTATTCCAAAATTTTAACATTTTTGAATTACAAAATGACATTGCCAAAAGAATAGGCATAAAGCTTGATGAAGATGATGAGATAATAAGAGCAGAAATGTTGTCATCTGCGTTTGAGGAAAGAGAAAAATGTGTGCTTATTTTGGATGATGTTTGGAATTATATTGATCTGCACAAGGTGGGAATTCCTCTTAGAGGTAATGGAACTAAATTAATTTTGACAAGTCGTTTGAAACATGTGTGTCAACAGATGGGCTGCCCTCTGAATAATATAATAAGCGTGGAACCTCTATCTGGTTATGAAGAAGCTTGGGAGTTATTTTTGCTAAAATTTGGATACCGTGGAACACCTGCAAGTGCAACACTTCCTCGTAAAGCAGCAAAGATTGTAAACTCTGTTAAAGGGAAATGTGATGGTTTACCACTTGGAATCAGTGTAATGGCTAGAAGCTTGAAAGGGGTAAATGACATTGGTCGATGGAAACATGCTTTGAATGAACTTCGAAATTCAGCAATAGGAGAAGAGATTGAAGAAAAGGTCTTCAATGTATTAAAACTCAGCTATGATAATTTAATTGACAAGAACATGCAGAATTGTTTCTTATCCTGTGCATTGTACGATGAAATTGGGAGGAAAGAATTGGTTTTGAAGCTCTTCGATGAGGGACTGATTAATGGTGTGAGGAATTTAGAGGAAATTTTTGATGAGGGTCTTGCCATATTGGATAAGCTTAAAGGACATTCTTTGTTATTGGGAGACAAAGTTGGTAATTTATGGATGCATGGGATGTTGAGGGACATGGCGAGTCATATCATGAGGCACAGGTACATGGTGAAATGTAATAAAGGATTGAAAAAGATACCTCGCATTCAGGAATGGACAGTTGATTTGGAGAAGGTTTCCTTGGCAGGGAACGAGATAGTAGAAATCCCAGTGGGTACATCACCTCAGTGTCCAAAGTTGTCCACCTTGATTTTTAGTAATAATCAATTCAGTTGTATTCCAGATTGTTTTTTCCACCACATGAATGCTCTAACAGTACTTGAACTATCTGATAATGTCAGTTTAACATGTTTGCCGAATTCGGTGTCTAACCTGAGGTCCCTTATTTCTTTGGTGCTGAGAGGATGTAAATCATTGAAATATGTGCCTCCTTTGGGAGAGCTACAGAAATTGTCAAGGTTGGACATATCAGATACTTCGATTGAGAAAGTACCACAAGGCTTGGAAATGCTAATCAACTTGAAATGGCTGAATCTGTCGGGGAATGATAGATTGACATTGGAACCTCGGTCTGTGATTCAGAGTTTGACCAACATGCAATTCCTTGATCTCCATTGTTCCATGCTTTCAGCAAATGTAAAAGTAGAAGTGGAAGATGTACAAGGGATGAGTATGCTGGAATATTTTGCAGGCAGCTTTCACGACTGCAAGAACTTGAATAATTATGTGACAAAAACCATGGATAGAGGTTGTGGACCCAAAACTTATCATCTCCATTCGGGAGATTTATATACTTTTTCTTATTTTCCAGGGTTAGATGACCCAACTTTAAGTCCTACAGATTGCCGAACTTATCCTTATTTTCCAGGGTTAGATTACCGAGCTGTAAGTTTGGGAGATTGCAAAGAATTTGTTCATTTTCTGCCAAGAGACCTTGCGAAACTGAGGATACTACAGAATTACCAGTGGACCAGAGGCTTATGTGATGCTCTGTCATTCAATGCTCCTTCTTCTTTGAAGGAAATTCGCGTCGAGTATTGCAGAAAAGTGGAGAGCTTGTTTTGTTTATCCAGTTCTTGTTCCTTTTGCACTAATCTCCAACACCTTGAATCTTTGGAACTTATAAGTTTGGCAAGCTTGGATGTTATCTGGAAGGAAAATGATGAAGGCATAACACAATTTTTGCCTTCGAGAGGCATGTTCTCTTATCTCAAACATCTTAAGATAGAGTTTTGCAACAAGATAGAGAAGTTGATGACACCTGCTTTGCTGCCACAACTTCCGAACCTGGAGTCAATAGATGTAGCTTTTTGTGATTCAATGAAGGAGATATTTGCAGTGAGGAACAGTGAGGATGATGATGATGATGATGATGATGATGATTATCCCACAATTACTCTCCCCAAATTAACGAAATTGTCTTTGTGTCTTCTACATCAATTGAAGACCGTGTGCAGGGGGGTCATAGCCTCTATATCTCCTCCAACAGTGGATGCCCGAGGCTGTCCCAAACTAGAAAGTTCCCTTAAGTACAAGTCATCTGATTCTACCTTCGATTCTGTTACCCGGCTGGAGTTCCGAGTGTGATGCTTTTGTCTTCTAAGTGTGAACCCAACCCCATTCCCATCCCAAAGATGGAAATTTGACATCCCCAGTTCATTTTGTGGTGCAAACTGTCTTATCAAAGAATCATTTTATCTCTCACGTCCACTACTATAGTCGTTCCTTTGTACAATATCATTCCCAAGTTACTCTATTACTATTAGTATTATTATTTAATTTTTCATCATTAATGCAATTTTTTTATGTTGCCTACTACTAATCAAGGATGGTTTACTCAATCCATTAATTTATGGGTTTAAAATTTCTGTTTTTACTCGAAAAAACTCACATAAAATATCTTGTGAATAGACAATATATTTTGCTAATGCCAATCGAGATTTCATTACAAGGGAAGTATCTTAGGCGGAGATAGTCTATGTGGATCCACGTTGATGTTTTAGCATCATAGATTCATAGATTTTCTTGAAGTTATTTTGCATCTTATCATTGATAAACTAGTATTTTGAAAAATTAAGACCCTAAATATTCTACTGGGAATAAAGGTTTAACTTGATCAGAGTGTAGGGGAACAATGTTATTCCATTTTTCTTTTTCTTTTACATTCGCTCTTCCATCTCTATCTCTGGGTGGGGATTCAGCTTGAGCTAGTTTTTCAACAAGATTATGATGGATGTAACGCCTGGCAACCTGCAAGAATCAACGACTATCCCCACACACTAACACGAGACTTTTCAGCGTGCTTTGTCCTCACTCGCACACTTCCCGGGAAAACTTCCCAGGAGGTCACCCATCCCTGAATTGCTCCAAGTCAAGCACGCTTAACTGTGGAGTTCTTCCGATCCGGGCTACCGAAAAGTAGATGCATCTTGTTAGTATAGGTAGTATCAATTAATTCTTATAAGTCATTCTCAACTGTACCGTCCCATACCAGCACAGTCTCTGGAATCCCTCTCTTTCGGGTGTTGATTCGATTCATTCATGTACCCCCGTCCCTAGAAGCCTGCCAGGAGCCGCTCCTTGTCCGTGCCCTTGCGCACCGGCGATCACTCCCCGCCCTCGTCAGCGCCCGGGATGTTACAATGGACCCCCAATTCGAGTATACTGATGCAGAGCAGGAAAAAAATAAAAGAAAAGACAACGAAGCCCTAGACCAACAAAGAGAATGGTCTAAACCAGCCCAAGACTAGCAAAGAGAGTGCTCAACAGACCAAAGAAAAGAGCAATGAAGACACTAAAGCTAATGAGGCGCGTGTAGCTGCTAAGGAGGGGAATTCAAGAGAGAAGGAAAAGAAGGAGTTTGTTAGAAGAAGTGTTTGAATACTGAGTCTTAATGGTCTTATCAATGGCGAAGATGAGGAATATGAATATGAGAGGAGACAAGAGTTGAAGGAGACTTGCCCTCTTGTAACACCACGACAGCAACAAGTTCTTCTTCAACAACGCCCTGTTCATGAATGTTCTACATCGTCCAAGACACGAAAGAAAAAAAAGTATATATGCCTTTTTGGCCAATCCAATGGCAAGTTATGCTGGTCTTTCATTGGCGGGTGGGTTTCATTGAACCATCAAGTTTTTCCTAAACAGGTTTGTCTATTAAGCTCTATCATATCTGTATTGTACTCTCCCAGAACATTTCTAGCTCCATTCATTGAATGATCGTAAGGTGTGATCGAATGATTGGTGCGATCGAATGATTCCTACTGGAATCAAGTAACATTTCTAGCTCCATTCATGAAATTGGGTTCTAGGGTTTCATTGCTTCGCTGTTGAATCAAGTTGAGAAATTGAATGATCGTAAGGTGCAATCGTATGATTTCTACTGGAATCAAGTTGAGAAATTGAATGATCGTAAGGTGCGGTGCAGCAACAAATGTAATCATGAGTTCCAGGTACGTCTTTCAACAATTAAAACGCATGTGGATAGGAATCAAGTTGAGAAATTGAATGATCGTACAGCGCAACAAAGGTAATCATGAGTTTCAGGCACACTTTTCAAAAATTAAAACGCATGTGGATAGGATACCAAGAAAAAGCGTTAGGATATGTGAAGCACGTCTTTCAACAATTAAAACGCATGTGGATAGGATACCAAGGAAAAACGTTAAGATATGTGAGGCATGTCTTTCAACAATTTAAACGCATATGGATAGGATACCAAAGAAAGGTGTTAAGATATGTGATAATGTTATTCCTGAAAATGAAGGTGTTTACATATATCTTTCTGTTATATATATATATATATTTTTTTTTTTCCATACACATATCAGAGCACTATTTTCATGATTTGTGATCTTTCTTGTTTAATTTTCCTTACCATAGAAAAAAAAGTTTACTATACACTCCAAATTACATTTATATGTTCAAATATTTGAGCTTTATGTTTGGTTTCATTTATACTTAATGCAACATTTACTGTTACTGTTGAGATATATAGTCCCACATTGGTTGTATGTGCAACTAATGTGGATTTATAAGGCCTTGGGCACTCCCACCCTTTGAGCTAGCTTTTGGGGTGGTGTATCCCAAGGTTCTTTACATGGTATCAGAGCCTCGTCGTCCCCCACTTTCTCTTGTGGAGTTTCTTAGCACAGGTAGGTTGGGCCTGTTGCATTGTCCACGCTTCAAGCCCAAAGGGCTCTCGTGTGAGGGGGCGTGTTGAGATATATAGTCCCACATTGGTTGTATGTGCAACTAATGTGGAGTTTATAAGGCCTTGGGCACTCCCACCCTTTGAGCTAGCTTTTGGGGTGGTGTATCCCAAGGTTCTTTACAGTTACCTATTTGGAGGGAAAGATTCTAGCATAGGAACCACCAGCTCCAACTCAGGCACCACCAGCTACAGCTCAGACATCAGCACGGTTAGGTATTTTGGCTTTATAGGGTGCAGTCTAGGCCATTGAGACTAGACAGGTAGAGATGCAACGCCAGCAAGGTTTTATACAGCGCAGAGTGTGTTACACTCAGCATAGTCAAAGATGCAACGCCAGCAGGGTTTTATACAGCGCAAAATGTGTTACACTCAACATAGTCAACAGCTTTCCAGGAATACGTGTGCGCCAGGCTGGCAGACCTATGCCAGGAGCATGACATTATAGCACTATCTTTCAACTATGCATCGTATTCTGGTTCTGAGGAGGAGGATGCATTTACTACTTCCACACCGGCTGCTACAACTACTGCAGATCCACCCGTTACTGCAGGAGATGACGAGGATGCTACACAGGGAGCTGATGACATTCAGGAGTTCCATTCATTGAATGATCGTAAGGTGTGATCGAATGATTGGTGTGGTCGAATGATTCTTACTGGAATCAAGTAACATTTCTAGCTCCATTCATGAAATAGTGTTCTAGGGTGCTTCGCGATTAAATCTTTTTTGTCTGTGGTATAAGGGTGAATCAAGTTGAGAAATTGAATGATCGTAAGGTGCGATCGAATGATTTCTACTGGAATAAAGTTGAGAGATTGAATGATCGTATGGTGCGGTGCAACAAATGTAATCATGAGTTCCAGGCACGTCTTTCAACAATTAAAACGCATGTGGATAGGATACCAAGGAAAAGCGTTAAGATATGTGAGGCACGTATTTCAGCAATTTAAACGCATGTGGATAGGATACCAAGGAAAGGTGTTAAGATATGTGATCATGTTATTCCTGAAACACATATATCTTTCTGTTATATATATATTTTTCCATACACATATCATAGCACTATTTTCATGATTTGTGATCTTTCTTGTTTTATTTTTCTTACCATAAAAAAAAGTTTACTGTACCCTCCAAATTACATTTATATGTTCAAATATTTGAGCTTTATGTTTGGTTTCATTTATACTTAATGCAACATTTACTATTACCTATTTGGAGGGGAAGATTCTAGCACAGGGGCCACCAGCTCCATCTCAGGCACCACCAGCTATAGCTCAGACATCAGCACATGTAGGTATATTGGCTTTATGTGATGCAGTCCAGGCCATTGAGACTAGACAGGTAGAGACAACAGGGTTTTATACAGCGCATAGTGTGTTACATTCAGCGTAGTCAGCAGGCTTTCCAGGAGGAGTACGTGTGCGTGTGCGCCAGGCTGGCGGACCTATGTCAGGTGCGTGATATTACAACACTATCTTCTGACCATGCACCGTATTCTGGTTCTGAGGAGAAGTATACATTTATATGTTCAAATCTTTGAGCTTTATGTTTGGTTTCATTTATACTTAATGCAACATTTACTGGTACCTATTATGAGGGGAAGATTCTAGCACAGGCACCACCAGCTCCAACTCAGGCACCACCAGCTACAGTAGCTCAGACATCAACACTGTTAGGTATTTTGGCTTTATGGGATGCAGTCCTGGCCATCGAGACTAGACAGGTAAAAATGCAGCGCCAGCAGGGTTTTATATAGCGTAGAGTGTGTTACACTCAACATAGTCAGCAGGCTTTCCAGGAGTACATGTGTGTCAGGCTGGCAGACTTATGCCAGGTGCGTGACATTACAGCACTATCTTTTGACCATGCACCGTATTTTGGTTCTGAGGAGAATGACGCATTTACTACTTCCACACCTTCTGCTACTACTATTGCAGATCCACCTGTTATTTCAGGAGATGACGGAGGATGCTACACAGGGAGCTGATGACATTCAGGAGGACTCAACCGATGTTGTGGATCCATATTATTACTGATGAAGAGATATGATAACTTGAAAAAGGATATTCTAATATATTATAGAATTGTAAATAATCTGTACAAAGGGTTCTCTATTTATAGAGAATATTTGACCTACTTTTAACCTAATGGGCTTGGCCCAATACAACAAAGGGCTTGGCCCAATACAACAATAAATGACTAAATAAAAACTAAATAATAACTAAATCAATATTATTTACAACACTCCCCCTCAAGCTGAGGAATAAATATTTATCATTCTCAGCTTGCTAGTAAGTTCTTGAAATCTGTCTGAAGGAAGCCCCTTTGTTAATAGATCAGCCAATTGACGCCCAGTGGGAATGTATGGAGTGGTAATCAACCCGCTATCAAGTTTCTCTTTGATAAAATGGCGGTCAACCTCAATATGTTTAGTCCGATCATGTTGAACTGGATTATGAGCTATACAAATAGCGGACTTATTATCACATAGCAGCTTCATAGGTCCCTCACATTTTATTTTGAGATCATCAAGAACAATTTTCAGCCACAGTAACTCACAAATGTCTTGAGCCATAGCTCGAAATTCAGCTTCTGCACTTGATCTGGCAACCACATCTTGTTTCTTACTTCTCCATGTCACCAAGTTACCGCAAAGAAACATGCAATAACCAGTGGTAGAACGACGGTCAGTCACGGATCCAGCATAATCAGCATCTGTGTAGACTTCTAAAGATAGATTGCCATCACGTCGGAATAACAATCATTTACCAGGAGTACCTTTAAGATACCGAAGAATTCTCTCTACTGCCTGCATGTGTTTTTCTTTTGGATCGTGCATAAACTGACTGACAACACTAACAGCATAAGCTAGGTCTGGTCTAGTATGGGCCAGATATATCAATTTCCCAACTAGCCGTTGATATTGTCCTTTATCAACTGGAGGACTCTCTTCTTCATAGCCCATCTTGTGATTCTGCTCAATAGGAGTATTTGAAGGTTTACACCCGAGCTTTCCTGCTTCTTTGAGAAGATCAAGAACATATTTCCTCTGGCTGATAAAAATTCCTTTGCTTGAATGAGCTACTTCTATCCCTAGGAAATATCTCAGTTTCCCAAGGTCTTTGATTTCAAACTCAGAGGCAAGCCGTGTTTGCAGAATCTGTCTCTCCACAAAATCATCACATGTGATAATAATATCATCAACATATACAAGGAGCACAATAAGCTTCCCATTTTGGGAGTGCTTGAAGAAAAGAGTGTGATCTCCTTGGCTCTGTCTGTATCCTAAGGTCATCATAACCTTAGTAAATCTTCCAAACCAAGCACGAGGTGACTGCTTCAATCCATACAAGGCCTTTTTTAATCTACAAACTTTATTTCCCCCATTCACAGAATCAAAACCAGGCGGGATTTCCATGTAGACTTCTTCTTCTAACTCACCATTGAGGAAAACATTTTTCACATCAAATTGATTTATATCCCAATTGTAATAGGCAGCAAGGGATAACAAGATTCTCACTGTATTCATCTTTGCAACTGGAGCAAAGGTTTCTTCATAATCAATGCCATAGGTTTGAGTGTAACCTTTGGCCACTAATCAAGCCTTATATCTCTCAAGAGTGCCATCAGAATTATATTTCAGGGCATAAACCCATCTGCACCCTACTGCTTTCTTTCCGTTGGGTCTATCAATAACCTCCCATGTTTTATTTTTCTCCAAAGCATTCATCTCCTCTTGCATGGCTTGAGCCCAATTCCTATCTTTCAAGGCTTCATGTACTGATTTTGGGATTGCAATAGAATCTAGTGCTGAAACAAAGCTTTTGTGCTGCACAGAAAGATTAGCAGAGGAAACAAAGTGGGAGATGGGGTATTGAGTACAAGAGGGACATGAGGAACAAGTTTTCTTGTGACAAGATCTTTTTCCTTTTCTAAGAGCAATAGGTAAGTCATCAGAAGTAGAAGCAATGGGTAAGTCATTAGAGATATCAGAAGAAATAGACAAATCATGAGAGGAAATAATATTAGAATCAGAAACAGGAGATTCAGGAGACTCAGAACTTACCAGTGGTTCAGTTGATTGAGGTTGCTGGTGAGACAGTATGGGTTGTATCTCAGGTGTATTTGAAGGTTCTGACACACCAGGAGCAGACACACTAGGAAGAGAGAAGATTGATCCAGACTCAAAGAAGGAAGGGGACGAGTCTTCTGAAGAACTATTCTCCCCCTGACGAGGAGGACCCAGGAAATAAGATTCAGATTCTTGAAAGGTGACATCCATAGAAACAAAAAATTTCCGACTTGGTTGATGATAACACTTGTACCCTTTTTTATAAGGGTTATAACCAAGGAAGACACACTTAAGAGCCCTAGGATCCAACTTACTCCGATGTTGTTTATGAACATGGACAAAGGCAACACATCCAAACACTCTTGGTGGAAGGCTCTGCAATATGGGAACAGAAGGAAAGAAGGAAGTCATGGAATGAATTGGACAGATATTGTTAAGGACCCGTGAAGGTAAACGGTTGATCAAAAAAGTTGCAGCTAATACTGCTTCTCCCCAATAAGAACTAGGAACAGATGTCTGAAAAAGTAGTGCTCTAGCAACTTCAAGAAGGTGATGATTTTTCCTTTCAGCAACCCCGTTTTGTTGAGGGGTATCAACACATGTGAGCTCATGAATCATACCTCTGTCTGAAATGAATTGTGACAGGCGTTGATTGACGTACTCAGTACCATTATCAGATCTGAGTCTTTTAATACCCTTACCAAACTGAGTCTCAACCATGTGATGAAACCGAATAAATATCTCTGGTACTTCAGACTTGTCTTTCATCAAGTATATCCATGTTATCCGAGTACAATCGTCAATAGAAGAAACAAACCACCTAGCACCTGAAACACTGTGCACTTTAGAAGGGCCCCAAACATCAGAATGGATAAGAGAAAAAGGTTCCCTGCTTTTAATAGTGCTAGAAGGAAATGACACTCGATGGTGTTTTGCAAATTCACAAACATCACAATGAAAGGTCTCAACCGACTTATTGAGAAACATAGAGGGGAACATAGACTTCAAAAGACTAAATGGTGGATGCCCGAGACGCTTGTGATGGAGCCAAATCATAGACTCTGCAGTAGAAGGATGACGTGTCATTAATAACTGATTTTTGCTAGCATGGTCTGGAAGGAGATGATACAACCCATCCTGTTCATTAGCAACTCCAATTGTCTTCTTCGTGGTAAGATCCTGAATAATACAATGAGAAAGAAAAAATGTGATAGAACAATTCAAATCAGTTGTAAGTTTTTGAGTGGAGATAAGATTAGTAGAAAGCTGAGGAACATAAAGAACATTTTTAAGAAACAAGGAAGGTTGAATTTGAATGTTACCAGAACCAATAACTGATTTATGGGATCCATCAGCTACGGATATAGTATGATTACCAACAGTAGGATGATAAGAACAAAACAACTCAGTACGACAAGCCATATGATCAGTTGCACCAGAATCCAAAATCCATGAGGTTTTAAAATCAGTGCAAGAAGCAAGAAGAGATATAGAACGTGTGATCTTACCAGATAAGATCGAAGAACTATCATGCTCGGCCGTTCTTTAACAAAAAAAAGTTAACAACCAGCGATAAAATCAACCAAACAGAATATCAAATGACCTCTGATCAGAAAAATAATTACAGATCCAGACAGAAGACAAGAAGACGAGAAGAATGGTGGTGGTCCGGTCCAAAAACACGGCCGCACGCGCCGGAGAAAGGAGCTGCGCGTGGGATTCACTCGCCGGGAAAGGGGCGGCGCATGAGAGCGCGTGGATGGGCTTCGCCGGCTGAGATTTTTCTGGTGTGGTCGTCCGGTGAGCGCGCACCTGTCTGTGGGTGGTCGCAGTTGAAAAGTCGCCGGAAAGTGGTCCAAACGGTGAAGACAGATCTGATTGGAGGCGGTCGGAGGTGTTTCGGTCGTTTGTGGCGGAGGAACACTGCGTAGAATGATAGATCGGAGGAAAAATAAGTTCAACAATGGTCCCCTTGGTCCAAAAGGTCCTCGGAAAAATTTTCCGGTGGCGGCTAATGGCGGCAAGAGGCAAAGAAATTAGGGTTTTGTTAAAAAAGAAGATAATATGTGCGGAAGCAAAGCCCTCAGATCGAGAGCTCTGATACCAACTTGAAAAAGGGTATTCTAATATATTATAGAATTGTAAATAATCTGTACAAAGGGTTCTCTATTTATAGAGAATATTTGACCTACTTTTAACCTAATGGGCTTGGCCCAATACAACAAAGGGCTTGGCCCAATACAACAATAAATGACTAAATAATAACTAAATCAATATTATTTACAACATGATACATACTATTGACATAGAGCAAGACTGACGAGCTCAATGTTTAGATTTTTTTTTGTTTTTTTATTTTCTTTTGATTTTGTTTTCATGATAACATGTGGTGTATATTGAAATTGATTCTGACCTTTTTTGATATTATTACATTTTGACCAGTATTTTCATGATTTGTGATTTGTTTCTGAGCACTGTCAAATTCTGATTGCTTGCTAGGCTTTTTTGTGGTAGGACCTTTCTTAGCCCTAACTCTCAAAGCCCTATAATTTAGCGGGCTGGGTTAAGGTTGACCCACGGGCCAAACTTTTTCTTTTATCAAAATTTTTATTATCTAAAAAAGTAATAATAATATAAATTTAAATATTTATAAATATAAGTAAAAAAATTTGTGAATTTGATAGATAATATAAGAGAAAGTAAATATAAAAGAAATGAAAATAAAGTGTAAAAAAAAATAAAAGAAAGAATAAGCAAAGAGTCCTATATAAGGACATATCTTAGATGCATTTTTATACATGAAAGTCATGAAACAATAAAGAGTCACATGTTACGAACCATGTGAAAGGTCACCCATTATCCATGTAATTGAGTCAAAAATTTTACAAGTTTTAAGATATTAAACAGGAAATTAATACCTTTATTAAGGGCTAACCGGCATTCACGTGTGCGTTTGAGTTCGAGGCCCAGCCCCATCAAAATCCAAAAGTTTTTTTCCCTTATGGGCTTGCTGGGCCCATGTCGGTGTTTATAATAATTTAAAAAACAAAAAGAAGCAATTTAGAGATGGAAAGATAGGAGAAAAGAAAAAACGCGAGAAACGTTGTTCCCCTAAACTCTGATCAATTCGAGGAAGGTAGCTTCCTAATTCATATTAATCCTTTCGATATTAGTTTTACTTGTTTATAAAGTTTTTTTTTTTGTGGAGGATGTATTTTGAGGGTTGTTAACTTGTAATGGAAACGGGAAAAGGGTTTTAAGAATTTAAAGATGAATTTGTCAAAACAATTTTGAAATTTTAAATGAATTGATTTGAGTATCTTTCTCCAGTGTATGCTGATTAATAATAATACACTAATATTGGTTTCTTTAAATGTGTATGCAGATTAAGGGTGGGAAAAGCCATGGAAGAGATCTTGGGTTCAAGTGGTTCAGCAACAGCAATCAACTCTTCCAATATAGGATTTCAGGTACTGTGTTTCTTCCCCTTCTTTCTTTTTTGTACTGTAATTTTATTTATTTATTTATTTTCTTTATTTTTTCCTTTTCTCTTGGTTCATGTAAATATACTTTTGGATGCTGTTTTCTGCAGCTATTGAGGAAGCAAGGTTGGAAAGAAGGGTGTGGTCTTGGGATCTCTGAACAGGTTTTGTTTCTTACTCTCTTTTCTTCTTCACTGAAAGATGGAATAATTAGTCAAAAACATTGTTGTAAATGTTGAAATCATAGCTTTCGGCCCTTCTGTCACATAATGCCATTCTTTTTCTTCATAATTCAAGTTGAATGAATAGGCAAATTAGTCCCTGAAAATACAGCATTGGTCATATTAATCCCTGATGAAATTATGTTTTAGGCCCCTAAATGTTTATTTTATTGATCAAATTAGTCCCCACATCGGGGATCTTGTGGACTAATTTGATGGATAGAATATACATTCTAGGACTAGTTTGATATATAAAGGCCCTATTCACAAATAGGGCTTTGGGTGTAATTCCCATCATTCGGCGACTGGTTTAATTTCCATCATTCAGGGACTTATATGATCTATGTTATATCTTCTAGAGACAAGTTTAACTATTTACTGTAATTTAAATGGAGTATTTTCATATTTAAATTTAATAAATGATATAGTTTATGTTGGGGATTAAACGCTCTAAATTTGAAAACATATGCCTGCGGAAGAATCCTTTGTTTATTTAACGCCCTATCCCACTTTCAGTGTTGTGACTTGTGAGGTCTATTTGCTTACTGTTATTCTTAAACCAGAATAAGGTATGATAATTGATGGAATACCTAAGCATAACTGATGGAACAAAGTTTTGATTGTTTTCTCGTCCCAATTTCCAAAGTAACTGTTAAGTTCCTGTTTAAGTACTTCTCTCATCTCCATAATTGTAGACTATTTTGATTGAAAAAAGCTGGTATTTGGAATTTTCTTTCAATAATTCTGATAAATATTATGGAAACAGGGTAGATTAGAACCCGTGGAAACTTATGTGAAGAATAATAAACGAGGTTTGGGAGCGGATAAAGTGAAGAAGAAGGTCGTGAAACCTGATCATAGTGATGCTTCTAAAGGGAACAATCAGAAGGTAATTTTAATTTTTTTTCTTAAGGTTTACTTTCGGATCATTATCTAGGGTTTGTGTAGCATTTCTCTGTTCCTATCTATGTAAAAATTAAATCATCCAAACAACTTTACAATGGTCGAAGGACTTTGGCTTGGGGACATAAGTATGCAAAATGGTACTAATTTATTCATTTGCAATTGGAAGGTTACAATGGTCGTCAAAGTTTTTCTTATTTAAAGTAGTGCTAGTTGCCCAAGTTATTTGATTGAAATAGATTGAATTTTCAATTTCCTTGTTTTATTTTATTGAATTTGGTGGTGGAGTTTAAGAAATATAAGAGACTGTTTAGTAATTAGTTACTTGTAGCGCACCCAAAACAATTGGTATTTGTATCTTTATGTGAGTTTAGTATCATATGAAATAATAAAGGTATGGTGTCTGCTTATGTATTAAACCATCCTCAGTAATTAGTGAAATATTGTTGTCTCTTTGTCTTGCTTGACTCTATCCCTCTACCCCTTATCTCTTCCTAAAAAAACTCTTGTTTTTATATTTTGAGAATTTGTACATTTAAGTTCTACTTAAGGATTTTTTCTCCTCTTCTCTTCAAAGCAAAAAATAAATGCTAAAAAGTACATAAACAGAAAATGAGAGGAAGGAAACAGCAAGTATAGAAGAAAATAATAATTTACGAATTTTATTTTATAGCAAATTTTGTGTACGGTTGAATCAATGAGACAGATCATATTGAACAATAATGCAGGGGAGAAGCTTCATTGGTGGCTATTATAGTTAACAATGAGTTACATGCATTTTTCTGTTTTTGGCCATTTTGGCATTAACATAAGCTACGGTAGCATCTTTATTTTCTACGTAACCCACCGTTGCTTCTTCTTCTTTTTAATTGTATATGATTTCTTGCTTCTAACTGACTTAAGTTGATTTCAGGAACGTATGTTGGAAAAGAAAACCAAAGTACTTTCTAAACGGATGAGAAAGATGCAGGAGTTTGAAAAGAAAATGCAGGAGAAGGAATTTGAACGTGCTTTCTTCAGAGAGTTCTGGCCAGAAAATGTGTAAATGAGAATTAGGTGGTTCATATCATTATGTGTCAGCATGTCCTCTTGACTTACCTTCTTAGTACTGTAGACTGTAGAGGATTCAGAGTTTGTGCAAGTTGGATCTTCACGGTGTTTTCCCAGGGATACAGGAGTTAGCCAAGGCTTTTCAATTAGAAGGGATTTCAGCACACCATTTTTACGTGTAAATAATCAAGGGAAATACTAGTTTCATGTTATAGGAGACTAATATCTCATGTTGTAGACACAAAATATATTAGGTTCATTTTTTTAAAATAAATAAATAAATGAGTGTGTTTATGACATGAGAGATATTCAATGTTATTAATCTCGGTTCGGTTATTGACCTGGTTAAGATAATGGTTCAATTGCATGATATATGTGAATTTATAATTTGTATTAAAAAGTTATAAGTATATTCAAATACCTATAAAAAAAAATATTAATTTCAAATATTTTAATATGAAAAATAATAAATTACACATTATTGTCTAACAAAAGATTAATTAAACATATAATATTTGTGATATTAGTATTCCAGGATCAGTAGATAATATCTTTAATTATAAATTAAATTAAAAAAATTTGTATATTGCATAATCAAGATAATATTAGTGTTGTTGGTATATAATTTATGTAAGTTAACAAGCACAAAGTAAACATTCGAATATTTCAAAAGAAAGCAAATCACTTGTGTGTGATAGTGGAAAAAAGAAAATGCATTAATTGATAAGAACAAATCAATTTTTTTTTTTATGAATCGGGTCGGGTCATTATTTTTTATAAAAATAGGTTGGGTCATACCGATTCAATTACATGGCTTATCCAATATAAAAATTGAATTGGTTACATGACCGGCTCACCGATTTTTAGGTCAACCAGACCCACTCGATCCGATTTTTATAAAGATAGGATATTAGTGTCTTATAATATAAGACTAATATTCTCCATTAATCAATTCCTTTAAATTAAATTTTTTTGCTACCATTGAGAAATATGTAAAGACGGAGGAAAGGTTGATGGAGGTTATGGCACTCCCTTTTAAAAAAATGATACTTTTTAATCATATTTCATTTGCAAAAAAGTAATCGTTAACTTGCCTCCCTAAGGCAATGATTTTTTGTTTTTTGCCAACTTAGAAGAATTCCCTTAGCTCTAAGTGATAGAGCGAGAAGGGGCTAAGGAATGATTGTCTCCATTTACTTTTCAAAATCTACTATTAATATTTCTTATATGAAGTTTGAGCAGTTATATTTGATGCCACCTATCATGTTATTACAAGAATTATTTGTTATATTTTCCTCTAATTTTATTAAAAAGAATATTATTTGAATTAGTTTAAAAAATATAAAAGTATGAAATATATTGAAAAGATATAAAAGAAGAAAACTAGTATAGAATAGACTTAAAACATAATCAGGAGTTCTTTAGTTACGTAATTATATTATATCAAAGAAAAAAAATCATTATATACAAAATCACTCACTCTAAGTTTATTCTACCTAGCATTTTAAATCTATAACCTCTGGGGGTATTTGGTATGTAATTTTTTTTGAAAATGCTAGAAAAGTGATAGATGAGATTCACAAATGACCATGTTTGATATGAAGTGGGAACAATTTGCCTAGGAAAAGAAATTTGATGGAAATATTTTTTTAGTGTAAAAATGAAGGAAAATGCCCACTTTGAAATACCATCTTGATGGTGATATTTTGATTTCCCCAACAAATTCAAATTTGTAAGAATTTTACATCAAAATTTTCTCAGTAATATTTGGACCTTTCAAACAATTTTTTTTTAATTTTTCCAAAAAAAAAATCATTTTCCCACCATTTCCCCATATTTCCGTAATAATTTTTTTTTTCCTCCTTTACCAAGGGTAAACATCCCTTAACATGTGGTGTCAAACACGCTGTGCCAATATTCCTGTTTTTATCACCTTGGATTTAGAAATTTGTATACCACAAAAGGAAACTACATGTTGCCGTACAAGACTTCGGAATTACCTTGGGCTTCATATAAGAAGGGAGAAGCTCGAAAGAGGAAAGAGAATATACAACGTTGCTGCCGAATACAAAATGATTTCACGCTTAAAGAATAGAAAAAAAGAATAAATAAACCAGAATGCGCGCTTAATGAATGATGGTTAACCAGAAAATAACGTCAACCTTTGCTGGTATGAAATTATAATTGGCTTGTGTAACGCAATGTCATTTTCTTTTCTTGCAGTCGTCAGGCTTAATGAGCTGGACAGGAGCTGCTGGTATTCTGACCCACCATTCTCTAATTCGCCTAATCCATCTATCACTACTTTCTTTCCTACATGGCATCTCCCTTGTGTAACACTCAATGAATACCACCAAAATTATGTATTTTGGAGGAATAAAAGCAAACACTGCAGCTATGAAAACCAGTAATAGTGCAACCTTCTCTGTGGCCTGCAGGACAAATGTTAAACCTCATAACATTATTGTTTAAACTTGCGTTCCAACAAACTGATTGAATCAATTTGTGTAAAAATCATACAACTTATAACATATTTCAATTAGCAGATAATTAGGAAAATAGCATATTAGCAATGCTACAAAGGACGACATTAATTATATGGTTATAAACTTATCAGTCAACAAACGATATGTCAGGTAGGTGACAGCTAATAAGTTACATTACTATGCATTAAGATTGAGATGAAGTTTCTCAATGGTTGAAATTAAAGACTCTAACTATGCTGAAGTCCTTCATTTGGACAGTCGTACTCAATAATATTAATACTAATTTGTAGACCCGACAAACTCTTTTATCTTGATGTGCATTTCGTATGGTTGTTTTTCGAGAACAGTTTCCCATTTACTTTTATATTGTAAGGCGGACCTACACTTTGAAAAGATTTATGGAGTTTATGGTGATGAATGGCTATGAAGGTTCTAAAAGCAGTAAGGCGGTAAAAAGCTGGGGCAATGTGTTTTTTATGCTGTTAATTTGTGTTTTTGAACTTTGGCAGATCAGAATACCATATCTCCAAAGCAACTTGTGGTTGCATTTAAATTTTTCAAGGATAAGATTGTTTCTTTAGCCTATCTATGGTATTCTTCCCATGGTTTCTTTAAGAAACTATGCTATACAGATGGATTGTAGAGCTATTTTGGGCTGATGAGCTTTTTAATTTTTCAGTATTTATTTGCATTTGTTCAAAAGCATTTCTTATCTCCCTTCTCTCTCTCTTCCTACAACTCTATTCCTCTTAATAAATTTTGCCGATTAAAAAAATTCCAACAGACAACAAAGTGCTTTAATTTATGATTCAAATAACATGTCTACTTCATTCAAAGTGCATTAACGAAATGCAGCACAGACCTCTATATTGCCCCGCAAGTTATTGCATGCATATTAAAAGAAGATATTTTGGCCTAACTATATGCACAACAATTTAATTTTTCTTCGAAGAAATCGACCATGACTAGGATACTCACCTGTGGCAATATAGCAAGAAGAAGAGCTCTTATTTTTAGGAGAGTAATATTTCCAGCTTGAATAAGTGACTCGAACTGTGCAATGGCCTCCTGTAATGTTAGCAGCTGTTCTACTGCATTTCGATTTGAGGGAGGTGTTACTCTAAAGGCTTCAAATGATCTTCCCCTTCTGAAATGCCTACGCCAGAGCATGAGAATTGCAATGAACACAAAAATGGATGGCAATAAGTACTGGATCCACCCCCTGTACATCAGTGTTAATTAACTGCTTTATTCATCCAATACATGGAAGCCAACTTTAAAACAAGATTGTCATTTATTAACAGTCATCATTGTTTGATCCTGGTGGCAGTCAATTTGATCAATAAAACTAAAGTAATGCAATTTATTAAATTCACCCTTAATATTAGATTTGAGAGATTTAACATCCTCATTCCTCAACATCTTGTTGAAGTACAGAGACTGACAATAGAATGCAGAATGATGTCAGAAACATGGTCAGTCATGCTTGAGATGGGCTTACCCACATAAAATCACATTAGATAAACACAGGATCAAGGGGATCCAACCTTCCCTGGTGAGGATGTCAAGCATTAGAGAGAAGGAGATGCAATACATGTCAACGAATATAAAATCTACTCTATGGTCCTTGATTAATATCCTTCCAGATTGATTTCTTTCTTTCTTTACTAATTTGAGTCTCTTTGACTATGTCATCTTCAGTCATTTACAGTTAATTCTCAATAATCATTACATGTTGAATTTCAACACCAAGGAGTGATGAACTTGAGTTTTCTCCATTTATATGTGTGGAAAATGATAAGAGACCAAGGAAACCATTGTTGGGCCACACACTATAACTTAAGGATAGGGACCAAGTGGTTATATGAATATGCTACATTGATGGGACAAGAGTTGAGGTAAGAACCAACACAAAAGCCTTTTAAAATGTTCAAAACTAAAGAAATTCATGTATAAATCAGAATGCCATAGTGTTGAGAATCAAAGATACTTATTGCTGAATACAGTAAATATATTTTTAAACAAAAACGGAAGAATTTTCAACAGCATAAAGTTTTGTTAAATGAGGGTGACGCTGGTTTATATGGAAACGAACCAATTTGAAACAGTAAATATAAAATGAACTAACCAACATTATTGTGATCACCTAGTCATATGCTTTATTTTACAATAAAATAACTACCTTAAAATCATATAACAGCAGAGTAGCAAAAAGGCCATTGATCTGTAAAAGTCTTTCCACGAGGCCAAACGCTGTAGTCGGTTAGCAGATTCAATGACAGGGAATAGTAGTTCCTACAAGGAGTTAAAAGAATCATCAATACCAAATAATTAAAAGCATGGACTACTTTATTTTTCCCTTGCCCTCTTGGGAAAAACCATATACTTTGAGTTTGAGCGACTAAGCCACTAAACGGATATCCTAACCCAATGAGCATACCTTTCAGGTTGAAAATCGAATATGTTTCAAGTACGAAGCAAAATGTTTATATTGAGCTTTAGATCAAATGATACTGTGACAAAAAAAAAGGTTTATTTTTTGTACTCATAGATTGTAGAACTTAGCCCATTAGTGTTTTATGGTGCTGAAGAAGAATTTGTAATTTTAGTTTGTTTTTACAGCATATTATAACAAAAATTTGTTTTTACTTTCTCTTTTTTAACCCTCTTTGCTTTACCATAATTTCCATGATCAAGTGGAATTAATATTTTTCTTTCCAAAAAAAATGATTATGGAATGAGAATAATAATGAACCTTCATTACAGCAACATTTGTATCAATGCCTTCAACCTTCACTTGGTCCACGGTTGCCTGTGCAGCTTCAGCTCTTCCAGTGTCCAGAAGGGACTGTTTCACTGCCACTTCCAAGGGATTTATCTCACCTACTCGGATATCACCAGCAACCATTGTCTCTTCATAAACGTCGTCCACCTTATTTGATTTGAATCCCAGACAGACGAGTGCCACAAGTGATGCTGGAGACACTGCCAGTTGCCTTTTAGAATCTACAGACCCAGGAATATCACGTTTACCAGAAACAGCGGTCAAATTTGTTAAGCTATTTGACAGTGTTTCCAAGATCATATCTCCCCGTGGAAGAGTTTCAGCTAGGTTAAAAGTGAGTAAAGTTTTATAGTGGGATGAGAAAAACTTGAAAGCTTCTCTAACTGCACGACAGCGGAAAATTCCAAGAATAGCCCTGGCAAGTACTTCTGATTTCTGTGGCTCTTTAAGGGAGAATTTCCTGATAAACTTATGCGCACGTAGGATCTCCAGACTAATGTCCAACCAATAGTCACGACGCAAGTTTGCTTTAAATTCAGGGAACTCAAAATAAACAGGCTCTGCTCTGTCAATACATTTTGAAAAATCATAAAATTTGAAGCAGAAAGAAAATGAAATAGACAATTCAAACATGATATTTGTCAACAGATAACGTACACAGAAGTTGAACTATACATCACAGCTTTATCAAAAAGGCGAGCACCGAGAGGTCCAGTTAAGTCAGGCTTAATGACCTGTTTCATGTCTGTGCCCAGATCATATCGAACAGCTTTCTCATACACACCAACTCCAAGTGACTCAAAGTACAGAGCATAATTGGTCAAGGTCAACCGCCCTACAAAGGTCAGAAATTGGAGGTGCCACCGAGTAAAGTGGAAAACTTAGTATAGATTATTAGTCTGCACTCTGCCGAATCAATATGGGTTCCTAGTCAGCTAGTAACTAAGTTGTTCAGACACAAAGCAGACAGAAAAGGCTAACACATTTTGCAGCGTGATCTGCAACAGGTTACTTCATTACATACTTAAATTTACTGGATTCATCAAACCAGCTTCTAATAGGGCCATAAAATGACTTAATTGAATAAATTTCCTAGACTTCCCTCGAGCAACAAATCCAAGAGATTATTCCATTAATGCAGAATACCTTTCGTTATATCTAACCAGCAAAAAGGTCATCACTTGACTACAACAAAGAACAAATGCAACCACAACTAAAGCAAGTCAAGCAACTACAGTAATAATCTAGCAATAATTTATACTTCAAATATTTGAGTGCAGCCCTTGATGATCCATAGAGCTTTTAGTTGTTCAACAATTCCAGCAGGACTGTATTAAATAGGGAACACTCATCTACAATCAAAAGCTGTTTGTGATATTTAGCTTGCTTGTGCATTTTTGCAGTGCAGTGGAAGGCTTGGTGAAAAGTTATATTCTATAAGTGTAAATAACAACAGCAATAACAAAAAGAAGAAAAAGAACTCCCATTTAGCTGAGTGAATTATTTTTGTGACTTCATCCTACCTGAAGGCTAGCACAGACAGAAGGAGAAAAATGGGAGACACCTAGGCAAGCTATAGGAATCCTCTATCATCCTAGCAGTATCTCAGCCACCCAGTGTATGAGTTACAGTCTATAATCAACAGGGACAACCAGCACATTTCAATGTATATAACCTAATATTGAGTATTAGAATGACTCACCAGGCCATGCAGATATCCCAATATGTTGAAGAACCGGTTGAGTTGGAATTGGCCCATCAACATCAAGGACAATCTCTTCCTCGGCAAGCTGAAGATTTCCAACAGAAGTAGCCAGCACATTTTTAGAATTCTTGATAACTCTGCACGTAACTCACCGTTAGCAAGTATACCAAACAATGCAGATAACTGAAGTAGAGATAAAAGTAACAATAAACGTAGTTCAAGCAAGTAACATCATCCAAGGAAAGCAATCATACTTATCAAGGCATCTTATATATTTATCATAAACAAGAAAATGAAGTCGGTTTCCGGAAGCACTGGTGAGCGCATCAAAGAGATTGTGAACGGTTATTATATCAGCAATAGGCGCACACACAGGAGCTATCCGTGAGAAAGCCTCTAAACCAACCGTTTTCTTGTCATCGACCTAAAATCCAAAGCAACTAAAATTGCATTATTTCAAGGGGCTGTGTTGGTATTCATTCATTTTCATTGTATATTGAATGTGATGAGTGAAACCTGAAGTGCCATATTTGTGGAACTTGAATAAAACAAGGAGCCCTCATCCTCATCCCCTCCAGTTTCATCTTTACTGCCAGTACCAGTTTCCTGCAATTAATGCTCGAAACATGATCGATCAATGTGATCACAGTTTGAAGTTAGTTAGAAGATTAATTTGAGAAACAGAATATTACGTGTTCGTGATCAATGTGAACGCTGGGTGCCTCCCAGGCAAGCATCATGTCATAGGTTAAACGACGGAATTCATTGTCGCTCAAATAATCAGAGGTTCTGCTTCTTTTATGAAGCGCCTTATAGGAACAAAACTCCACTAAGTTTCTAGCATATGTGAGAAGCTCTTTGACGCCGAGGGGAAGCTCCGAATCAAATGCGTGTTGCAATTCCTGTGTAGACACTCCAAGGATCCTACCAAATAATAATAATAATGATAATATATAATATAATAAATGTTGAAAACGAAGATAATTGAAAAGGAGAGTGAAAGAGTGAGTAGTGACTTGGAACAGCGAGAGACGACGGAGTTGGCGAGAGGAGAGAGCTGAGGGATGGGTTTGGGGGAATTGGCGGAGTCATCGGAAGCGTCGGCGTCGGAGGAAGAAGGCTTGTTGCGATGGAAAAGGGATTTAAAAGAGTTGTGATGATGACGGAGGATATTCTGCCACATTCCAAACTTGTTCTCATTCCCACTATCCGCCATTTCCATTTGTTGTTGATCGTGATTTTGATTTTGATGCAATGCAATGCAATGCAATCCAATCCAATCCGAGTTTGCTTCTTGACTCGGTAATCTCGATCTCGTGACTTATCACTTTTCTAACTGATTTTCCCTTCCTGCTTCCTTCTCCATCAATCTTTTTCTTTTTTGGTTTCCCTTTATCATTCCCATCTCTCTCTCTCTCTCAAATAAATTGTATTTGTGAAAAAGAGCAATGAATTGGGTTTACGAACATCTTTTAGTAATATTTTTAATTTTTAAAACTAGATTATATAAAGATACTGACTCGTATAAATTTCAATGGTGGCATGTATGATGTAGATATAATAAATAAAATTTCATTATGGCATGTATGATGTGGATATTCTTTTTTTTCATCAGTAACTTGTTCATACTAAAATTTGTTGGGTAAAAGAAAATAGAAAGGAGTTCATGACTTTTATTTATGCAAGTCCGCGGAGACAGGAACGTATTCAGCCGTGGGAGATTCTGTCTTCACTGTTTGATCAGTCCATGAGGAATGTGGCTTGGGGGATATCAGGTGATTTTAACACTTATTTGTATGAATATGAGAAGCTAGGTGGTAATGGGCATAACTGGAATAGCATGAGGGAGTTTCAAAATTGTTTAAATGAATGTAGCCTGTCTGACATTGGTAATCAAGGTCCTATTTTCACTTGGCAAAGAAGAAATCTTCAGGAACGACTTGATAGGGTTTGCGCTAATGATAATTGGAACATGGTTTTCCCTAACTGTGTGGCTTTCAACTTGCCTTTTTTTGGTTCTGATCATCGACCAGTGTTATTATGGGAAGGTCAGCTTGCTATTTATCCGAGAGGGGAGCGTCCTTTCCGGTTTCTAGCATCCTGGTTAACAGAAAGAACTTTTCATGAGGTGGTTAATGGATGTTGGTCAAATAATGTAAACTGGATGCATGTTATGGAGAAGTTTTGGATTAATGCTTCGGAATGGCATAGAAATGTTTATAGGGTTACTCTGAAATGAAAGAATGATTTACATGCAAGGATTAGAGGTATTGATAGATGTCTTAGTTATCAATCCAGCCATAGCCTTGAGATGTTGCAAAAGGATCTATGGAGGGAACTAGACAAGATTTATCTTTAAGAGGAAATCATTTGGTTTCAAAGATCGAAATTGAATTGGTTTGCTCTTAGAGACAGGAACTCGTGTTTCTTTCATTCTGTGACGGTTGCCAGACGTAGGAGGAATCGCATAGATACGTTGAAAAACTCGGAGGGTGTTTGGATTGGTGATCAGTAGGTTTTAATGGAAATGGCTGTTTCTTTCTTTGAAAATCTGTACACAAAAGATCCATTACCTAAACCGGTATTTCCAGTTCGTGGCTTTTTTCAGCTATTGAAGCGCATGCTTTAGGCACTATGAGTAATATTCCAAACAGTAAGGAGATCAGAGATGTAGTCTTCTCTTTTGGTCCTTACAAGTCGCCTAAGAATGATGGACTTAATGCTCTTATCTTTCAATCTCAGTGGGATAAGGTGGGTGAGTTAGTTATTTCTTTTGTGAAAGGTGTGTTCCTTCATCCGGACAATATCAAAAAGGCTAACCAAACTTTGATTTGTCTGATTCCTAAGATTGATGTGCCTGAATCACTTAAGGATTTTAGACCTATAAGCCTTTGTAATGTTATTTACAAGACTGTAACTAAGATTGTGGCTAATAGGCTAAAATCTCATTTGGCTCTCTTGGTTATGCCCAATCAATGTGGTTTTATTAAGGGTAGAAAAAGAGCGGATAATATCATTGTGGCTCAGGAAATCATCCATTTCATGAATAGAAAGAGAGGAGGTAAGGGTTGGATGACTGTCAAAGTTGATTTAGAAAAGTCTTATGACAAGATTTCTTGGGAGTTCTTGAAAGACACGCTTGTGGATATTGGTTTGCCTGAAAATATTATTTCTCTGATCATGTGTTGTGTCTCGTCATATATAATGAATTTGTTATGGAATGGATCAACTATGACAGAATTTTCTCCCAATCAAGGTCTTCATCAGGAAGATCCTTTGTCTCCTTATCTATTCATTCTTTGCATGGAAAGACTTGCTCACTTGATTAATGTAGCAGTTCAGGAGGATGTTTGGAAGCCTATCAGATTGAATAGAAGGGGACCACTGCTTTCTCATCTATTTTTTGCAGGTGTTCTGGTGAGAAGGTTAGCAAGGAAAAAACAAAAGTCTTTTTCTCCAGAAATGTTAATCATACCCGAGTGCAGAATTTAAGCCAGTTGATGGGCTACTCTCCTACAAATGACTTAGGTAGATACTTGGGTGTTCATCTTCGTTATAGCCATGTTACAAAGAGTACGTTTGGCTATATCTTAAATCAGATGCAAGCTCGTTTGAATGCCTGGAATCAACGTACTCTTTCTTTGGCGGGAAGATCAACTTTGGCTAGTCAGTTCTTACTGCAATTCCTCAATATCCTATGCAAACTTGTATTATTCCTAGTGGTACGTGTGATCGTATTGAGAATGTAACTAGGAATTTCATTTGGGGATCAACTTCTGAACGAAGGAAAGCTCACCTGGTTTCTTGGGAGACGGTATGTTTGCCGAAGAATGTAGGGGGCTTGGTTTGCGTAAAATTAAAGAGAATAATATGGCTTTTATCATAAAGCTAGGTCACCGTATCATGACTGATCGTAATTCGCTATGGGTTCGGGTCCTTCGTAGCAAGTATAAGGTGGATGAGAGGCTCATTCCAAACATCTCGGCTTCAGCAAATGATTCTGGATTATGGAAAACTATTGTTAAGATTTGGCCTCAAACTCTAGAGAATTCTCATATCATTTTAGGTGATGGGGTTCATACGTCTTTTTGGATGGACTTGTGGGTTCCAGGATGTCCTCTACTTGTTTCTCTGGCTGTTCAATCTATTCCTCCTATTATGATTCATTGGTCTACGTCTCAATTTATAACTTGTTATGGTAATTGGGACTGGCCTTTATTCCAGCACTCACTTCCTACTTCAGTATTAGACAAGATTCGTAGTGTGCTCCCTCCTACAGTAGATCCTTCTCTGGACCGTGTTATTTGGGAAGGTAGCCAAGATGGGGGGTTTTCAGTGAAATCAGCTTATAATTATCTCATGGGTACCTCGCATTATCATCAGGATAGAATTTGGAAGGTAATTTGGGCTTGGCCTGGTCCTGAACGTATTAGACAATTCTTATGGCTTCTATACACAGGTTCTCTTTTAACTAATGTTCGTAGAGTGCATCGTCATATGGCTACAAATGTAGCGTGTCTGAGATGTCATTATAATCATGAGGATAGTTTACATGCCATTAGGGATTGTCCTGGTGCCAGGGAATTATGAGAGCATTGGGTTCCTTCTGATCATCGTAGTGATTTTTTCTCCATGGATCTTCACCTATGGATTTAGACAAATCTAGGAATAAAAGGTCTGTTTCAAAGCGATAGAACTTAGCCTTTGTATTTTGGGGTGATAGCTTGGTGTTTGTGGGGGGAAAGAAATAAGGCTATCTTTGATCACACTAGCACCTCGAAGTATGGTCTCATTAGGCGCATTACCTACACTTGTGGTAACATTCAATTGGCTAATGAAACTCTTATTAAGATTGGTCATCAGGAGCTTCGAAGAGAGGAACGTCTTATACACTGGAATTTTCCCTCTGAGGGTTATGTTAAACTTAATGTGGATTGTTCCAGCATAGACAGTGGGCAAAAGACTGCATGTGGTGGAGTTATAAGGGATGCTGCTGGGAACTGGTTAACTGGCTTTACAAAATTCCTTGGGAGTGGTACTTCTACTTCAGCGGAAATTTGGGGGTTCTTGACAGGTATGGATCTGGCTTGGCATAAGGGATTTAGGAGAGTCTTGGTGGAGGGTGACTCCAAGGTGGCTTTGGAGTTTATAAGAAAAGGGTGTGGGGTAAGTCATCCTCTTTCTTCTTTAATCATCCGAGCTCGTAGCATGCTTCAAAGGGACTAGATTATCCAGCTTAGTCATACTTATAGAGAAGGCAATTTTGTTGCTGATTGACTTGCTACTCATGCACCTCATCAGGATGGACAGCTGATTGTGCTTAATGTCCCTCCGGCGAATTGTTTGGAATTGCTTCGTAATGACTTGAGGGGAGTTAGTCTCCCAAGATTGTGCCCAATATAGGGCTTTTTTTTGTTGTTGTTTTAGTTTTCATTATATTTCAAAAAAATAAAAAAAATCATTATGTATTAAACAAATTTTATTATTTTAAGAGAAAAGTGTTTGTCATTTTAAATTACATAGAGTTGAGTGAGAGAAAGGACACAGTTTTTCATTTTTATTTATTTGGAAGTTTAAGTTAAAGGACAAAGGATTTCTTCCGTCAATCCAGATAAGTTATTTTCGGTAAATTTAAAATGACGTTGTTTTGGGACAAAAATCAAAATGTTTTTGTAATTCTAATATATTGTAGGGTTATATTAGTCTTTATCATTATAATTTTTTAATCTTATAATCTAAAATGATATCATTTTGAGTTAACGAGAGATAATTTTATATCCAGTTATCGTACAAATACTTTTGCCTAAGTTAAAATACAAGAAATGTGAGTTATTTCTTAATTTATTTAGAATAGATTATTACTTTCTATTAATCCCAAATTATTTTAGACGTAAAATTAAAATAATCACAAAAGCATTTAGATTACCTTTTTCTTCTCTTCCTGATTTTCTTTTATCTCTTCTCACCTCTCACGGTTTCATCCACCCACACACTTCACACAGATATGTATATAAAGAATAGAAGAAGAAAAACACACACACTTTGTGACTCCAATATATCGAAATGGCCTTCATTTTCGTGATATACATAACAAACGAACAATAACAACCTCAGGGGGCCCATGATATGCACGAGGCCGAGACTGGTTTCCTCTAACAAAATTAAATTACAAAAATAAGATCTATTTGTTTGTATGGTTATGATGTTGAGAAAATAAAAAAGACCTACAAAGTGGACAAGAGAATTGATTGCGATCTAGCCATTGCTCAATGCAATTGAGATGGAAGACATGGCCACATCTTCCCAGCTTGCTCACTGCATCTTCCTCTTCAAACTCTATCAAACAAATGGAGCAAATCTCCTCTCTCTGTCCACAACGCAAATCCTCAAACCTGGCCACGGGTAGGGAAGGAACTTGTGGGAACTCCATCTCCTTGGCTATACCTTTGTTGTCATAAGAGGAGAAAACCATGAGGCCCAACATGCTCCCAAGTGCCTTCTTGAGTTGCATCAATGGTATCAAAATGCATGTGTAGAACACAATGGTCAATATCCACAACCGAGACTGACAAACCACAAGACAATTCATCCTCAAATTCGGTATTTTTCCTGCAATTCCAACAGCTCAGTCTCTCTCTACGATGATTCTCTCAATCTTTTTTTGCAGGTAAGTGACTACTCTATTCCTATCAATGACAATGATGTATAACATAAGGTGTTTGTCTCTCTATATATACAGTAAGAGGAGAGATTACTTGTATTTATGTTGACACGGTCACCGACCCTATACATATATATAAAATAATGCATATCCTAGATTCTTTTCCTTGATTTTTAAGAATAACTTGTATTAGTTCTGACTTTGGTGGCTGCCAATGTGTATTTATTAGTTATTTATTATATAGGTCAGCTGCGGGTATTAATTATATATTCGAGTTTTTTATTATTATAATATGATTTTAATAAGTTATTTATGTTCGCTTTCAAAATGACATCGTTTTGGATTGAAAGATTAAAAAATTATTATGCTAAATATTATTATAACATTGAAATAAATTATAATTACAAAATGATATTATTCTAAACTCAATACAGATAACTTGTTAATGAACACTTATAATATAGTAAGCTTTGGACGGCTTATTCTATTTTGCAGGTTTTTTAGTGTGTGTTTTGCGCTGCATTACAAGGCCGGTGCGGATCCCATTTTAAGTGATCAAATTTATACTCTTCATTATTGATTGGTTTCAAGTTTCAAATCTATTATATAAAATGGCATGTAATCACTATGTGCCTAACACTATACCAGTATTTTATTGTCTATACCAGCATTGCGTGAGTATTGACTTTTATGATGCTAATTTATATTTTGACTCAAGTTCTTTAATTTTTTTTAATTTTTATGTTAGGGCAAGGTCGTTTTTCTTTTATATTCAATTAATTGGAAGGAAATAAAATGTTGAAGATATCAATCTCTTCCTATATTAATAATAAAAATTTCAATGCGTCGCATGCACTATTTATTTTTCTTTAATTCTAAAGGATGAAATCAAATTACAGGATTTACTAGTGGATAATATTTTGTGTGAAAAATATATCATGTCATAAAATCCACCAAAAATTCTTTCTGTACATTCCAACAATGGCGAGCCTGGGAATGCATTATAATGCGGGTCTTTGTATATGTCTATATTTAAAAAATGGAATTTATGAATCTTATGTCACGTTATAAAGCTTGTATCATGTTACACAATACAAGTAGAGTCCCCTCAATTTATATATATAAATAAAGTAATACAGATTTGTGACCACGAATGAACAATTTAATTTCCGGTAACATGACCAAATAATTTTCCTTAGAAAATTGAACCGAGTAAATCCGTTAATTAATAAGACCGTAAAGTGATTAGAAATTCATTTAAATATTATGCGCTTCAATCACGATTTATAATGATTTAATTATAAATTTAATCGGTTAAATTAATTGAATCATAATTAATATACAAAATCATAGGAAGAAGAGTTGTATAAAGTGGATATATCTGAATAAGAACATTATTATTGCCGGCCAAATCCCCCTACTGTGTACCGTAGGGTGGGGTTTATCATAATTAAACAATATAAGCATAAATAGCCGGTGTGGTGTGGTGCGGTGTGGTGCTTTGCTTCGGTTTCGTTGATAAGCATTAAGCAATAACCGACCGCGTGTCGTACGCACAACAGGCGCAGCAGCTGGCGGAGGAGGAAATGAAGCCCATCTTTTTGTAAGTTTTGGGTCAAGGGAAGCCCATCATATCCTCTTTTTCTAAGTTTTGTGTTATTTTAGTACTCTTGAGTCTTGATTCGATGTACGGCCCATAATATTGTGTCACCAACATCTTACAATCTTAAAATAGTTGTAGATATCAAATGATGGTAGTTCAGTTGGCGTATTGAAGCTAAGCGAGCAGGTGAGAGTGAGAGCATGTGTTTGATTCTCTCCAATATTACCTTTGGGAGGAGTTTAAAGTCTTAATCTGTACCCGCTCCAAATCAGACTAGTCGCGAAGCGATGAATCGATTGAAATATTTAAAATAGAGGTAGATAACACATAATAGAATTGCTTGCCCTTACTCTAGCTTTTCATTTTTAATGGATAACTCCATTGGTCAACTCCAGCTGATTTTTTTACTTTTTTGACTGAGAAGGGTGGGTGAGACCAAAATAAGAGAACAAAAAAATCTCTTACTTTGCTTTTTATAATCTCTTACTTTGTTTTACTTTGGTAGCTGAGAATTTAGTAAGAAGGTTAAAGAATGACTTGATTGAGAGTACTTATATATATAATAAAAAAGAAACATAACACAAACAATATATTTATACATGTTGTTAAATTAAATTTAAAATATTATATAATAAAACATATTAAATCAAAACAGTTAAGTGGAAAAAAAAAATTGAGCACTTAAAATCTTTCCCTTTTTATCTATATTGGAAAATTGAACCGCCAATGTTAACCTTATACCTAAGTTGAACAATTACTTTAAGTTTAAATTTATAACTTCATACAAATTATCTAGGTTCTTCACACTTTGATTTTTTTGTGTTTAAATTTGTGATGTGTGAACTCGAATTGATATCCATAACCAAAAATGATAAAACCGCTCTCTTCGATATTAAGGCGGAGTGCTCTCCCGTCATCCCTACCCTTTGAGTTGAATTAACAAAGCATTAAAAGGGGTTGGAGTAGCAAATTGGCCATCTTAAAATTTTACCGAACTCCTATTTTGACAATCATATTTTATCAACTTCAAACTATTTTTGTGTTGTAAAATGTGCACATTCAAACTATAATGGATAATCCATAACAAGTTGATGCCGTATACGAAAGCCAGAGGCGGCTAGGCAATATTTATCTATCTAGCATGCTATTCACATATGAGATAGCGAGTAAGACTTTGCATGCCATTCACATATGAGACAGCGAGAAAGACTTTTACACCGATATATATATATAACTTATCGGTTTTGAAATTGTTTGATATAATTACATGAATCAATAAATATAAGAAGATAAATAAATAGAATGATATAATTTTAGACTGGTTGAAGATAAATATATCTCAAACAACTTGAATCAATAAATATAAGAAAATAAATAAATAAATAAAATGATATGATTTTGGACTGGTTAAAGATAATATATCTCAAACAACTTGAATCAATAAATATAAGAAAATAAATAAAACCAGTGTTATTAGACCCGACCCGGGCATCGACCCGGTCGGGGTACTGGGTCACTGGTCGGACCAGTGGGTCACTGGTCGAACCGGTTGACCCGGATATCTATAAATATATATAAATATAAATATATAAATTTAAAATATTCTCTATATCTAAAAGAGATAAGCAAGATTCATTAAATAAGCTCAAAAATTATCCTATCACACTATTACAAGTTCATACTTAATTAGTAAATTGCACAAAATAAGAACAAATGAATGAAACTACGTGCTATCACTATGCCCATGGTGCCAAAGTTGTGTCAATTAGCACTCTTTCTCTACCAAACTCATTTAAATCTTGACCAACATTTTGGTATGTAATTCCCACGCTGTGTGCAGTCTACACCATACATACTTCACACAAATCAAGGAAAAATATACTTGGAACCAAAAAATAAAAAAATAGCAATGACTCGATGAGATAAATGTTGAAAAAGATACATTTCCGAAGAGAGAAGAACAACCAAGGTCCTCTTGAGGGTTTCCTTGTGACTCGATGAAGTAGTGGACGGACCTGTGAAAATGACCAACGATGAATTTTATGTTTTTTTACGTTTATGGCTATGTTCTTTTTAGGGATTTCGCTGGTGAGAAGACAGACCCGTGTTCTTTTTAGGGAGTTAATTTTTTTTTTTTAATATAAGCATTTGACCCGCACCGGTTTACAAGACCCGGAGGGTCAACGGGTTCCGTAAAAACCCGGCCGGGTCATCCGGGTTATACTGGGCTGATTGCATGACCGGTCCAAAGTGCAACCCAAACCGGTTACCCCACCGGGTCACCGGGTCCCGGGTCAACCCGGCCGGGTCGGGCCGGGTTTGACAACACTGAATAAAACGATATAATTTTGACTGTTGAATAGAAATATATCTCAAACAACTTGAATCAATAAATATAAGAAAATAAATAAATAAAATGATATAATTTTGGACTGGTTAAAGATAAATATATCTCAAACAACTTGAAAAATATTTCATATATATGGGAATAACATCTGTCATTTTAAAGGATATAAGCTTATATCATTTTAAATCTTAACCGTTGATTTTCGTCTATCAACGATTATAATTTATTGGATCAAAATTATTAATTAATTAATAATAAATTTGGCCCATTAAGTTTGACCCAATAAATTATAACCATTGATGAATGGAAATCAACGGTTAGGATCTAAAATGATGTAAGCTTATATCTTTTAAAAGGATAGATATTTTTTCCTCTATATATATATATATATATATATATATATATATATATATATGGCTTATCATTTCTTAAACTGCTTGAGATAATTTTATCTTCGCTCACTAAATCATAACCGTACAAAAATAGATCAATAGTGATAAAAGAAGAGAGAGAAAAAGAGAATCATAACCATTCAAAGGAGAATCAATAAATATAAAAAATAAATAGATAAAAACGATGTAATTTTGAGTTAATCGGAGATAAATATATATCAAGTAACTTGAGAAATATTTTTCTTATATATATATAATCATGTATTTAAGTATATTTATAATTTTTTTAATAGAAATTATGATAAAATCATTCAATTAAACCAATCATCTACAGGTTAAATCAATAACCTAATATCTCATCGGATCAATAATTGGGTGGAGTTTAATATAATAGTATATAAAAAGATGCAGGACACTTACCTATATAAATGTTCAGCAGTTGTGTTGTGTACTGCTTTCCCTCCCTCTTATTTCGGTGCTTTATCTCTTTCTCTACCAAACAACAATGTCTGCGTCGCAAGCAAGCCTTCTCCTTCAGAAGCAACTCAGAGGTTAATACCAAAATCCAACCTTGTTACTCTTTTTTACTTTATTTCCTCAATTAGGGTTTTTGTTTCTGGGTTGATCAATCCATGACATGATTGTTATTCACAGATCTTTGTAAAGCCCCGGTAGATGGCTTCTCTGCGGGTTTGGTTGATGACACCAATGTATTCGAATGGAGGGTCACCATTATTGGGCCACCTGATACTCTCTAGTGAGTTATTTTATGGTTTTGTAATTCTATGTCTACACTCTTTTCTTTATTCCTTATCATTTTAACTTTATCTACCTTTCTAAGTTTTTGTATATTGATTTTTGGGATTCCTACATCATTAGAATACATTTCATGGTAATTGTTGTTCAATTTTGGATTTGCATTTGAGGCCCCCAATGACTTATGCTGTCATATTGTCTCTCAATGATACCTTATTAGAGTAATCATGGATACCAACTGGAGTCATAAAGACTCTGTATAGTTTAGTCCTCTAAATTCTAATGGTATGATTTGGTTGTCCTGCAGTCTTTTTGCTTCTTTAAATAACTGATTTTGGAAATTGAGGCTTGGTCTACTGTGTTCTGGACAAATTTATGCTTATTTCTTTTGTAAAATTATCTTATATTTTGTGAGATATATAGGTAAAACTTTCATATTTGAATCATGAGGGAATAATGTCTTTGTGTCTTTCCATCTGATCGTAATGTCTGCAGTGATGGAGGTTTCTTCTGTGCCATCATGAGCTTTCCCTCTGACTATCCTCAGAGACCACCAACTGTCAGATTTACCTCAGAGATGTGGCATCCTAATGGTGATTAGATGCACCCAATACTATCGTAAAAAATAAAAATAAAAAATCTTTATGTTCTTAATTGATCTAACTTTGCTTTATTCTCGGCAAACTATAGTTTACCCCGATGGAAGAGTCTGCATTTCAATTCTTCACCCCCCTGGTGATGATCCAAATGGCTATGAACAATCGAGCGAGCGCTGGATGCCTGTCCATACGGTATGTCTTAGATGGTCAAAACTGTCTTCTTTTGGCTCACCCCGATGATATGATGGTCATAATAATTTTGCTTTGTGTAGTTGAGCTTGAATGATTATTGATGGCATAAGGTAGTGGATGAAGAGTTTATTTTTTATTTGAAGTATTTGCGAGTCTTTGTAGTATAGTTTAACTATTTGAACTTGCTAGATAAAAGAAGTTTTCTGGGCTTTCTTATCATGGTTTTCCGTGTTCAGCATTCATGGTGTAGTTTCTATATGATTGTTTTGTGAGAAATTACATCTAGTTCAGGGTTTCAAGTGCTGGATAAGTTTGCCTCTTATTACATCAAAGTATAGTTTCCCACCTGTGGATTAAGATGAACTGTACAAGTATGTAATCGATACTTTTAAATATGATTAATATTTCCTTTTTAACTTATGATCTGAGTCCATTTTCAAAATCCAATGAATGATATATTTAGGAAATGTTAAGTTGTAGAGTTTTTTTCTTTTTCTTTTTGGGTTTCCCAAGGGTGTCTTCACTCATTTGGATGAAACTAATCCCCTTCGTGGGGTAGAGCGTGAAGATTTTTGCCGCTAGCACCAATTTGTTTTGTCTAGCATTCAAACTAGAGACCTTTTAGCCCCAACAGTCTGCTCCTTGGGCACAACTCCTTTACCAGTTATACCACCACCCCTTGAGGTTGTAAGTTTTTTTTCAAGCCGTTGAGGAAATTTTATTAAAAATAATAATAATAATAAAACAAATAGAGAAGATATTCACTTGACATCTTTTTCATTCTCCTTTTTCTTGAAAAATAAATTCTATTGACCTATTGCAAAACTGGTCTTATTTATTTTCTATAAATTTGAAAATCTGGTTATACAATTTCTGGTTCCACCTCACTTCTATTGAATGGGAAAAGAGATTTAGTACGATAGCCTTTATAGTACTTGGTTGGGTTAATTTTATTCCCTGTATTACTAAATTAATCCTAGAATGCAGTCCTTACAATAAGACAGTAACATAGTAGCTTAGAACAGAATTTGTTTTTTTAATTTTAACCAAGTTGTCTTAAGAATTATTTTTTAATGCTGAAGTATCATTCATCACCTAATAATATGTTTCTGGAGCCTTTGAAGTTAGCTTGTTGGATCTTGGACTTGGAGTACGCCAACAACTACTATGTGGTGGATATTTTCTATATATTATTAATGCTAGACTAAAAGTACATGATAAAAAGGCCTCTGTTAGCCGTTCAATTGGTAGGAATAGGGGAGAAGCAGCAAGAGTAGTGAGGTTTGATCTTCACGGATGCTCTCGATCCCAATTTCCCTTCCTCTATCCCCAACCCCTCCCCTGGCCCCCTCCAAACCAGGCACACGGTTGGTCCCAGGCCTTGGCCAAAAAAAAAGGTACTTGATAAGAAGAGAGAAGAGAACTACAGAGGACTCTTTTAAATGTTTTCTGCATCATGGGACTTTTATTTCAAGTATATAACTGTGTTAACGTGATCAAGATTGAGTTTATTATGCTGATTGTATATGTCTGTTGTTTGCAGCCTTCAAAAGATTATCTCTTAGACGTGGTTTCTTATTTTTTATCTTTCATTAACTTTCTCTACACAATGCATTTTCTTATATTTGGTTAGACTGGATTACTTCTACCTTTGTCTTCGTTCCCTCCTTTTCATCACTTTTCATAGTCAACGACGTGAGTAATAACCCTATCCTGATGTGCAGGTTGAGAGCATAGTTTTGAGTATCATATCAATGCTTTCAAGCCCTAACGACGAGTCTCCTGCAAACGTAGAAGCTGCAGTATGTGTTAATATGAATTGTTTAATATTAAATTTGTTACCTTCTGTACCCAAAAAAACAATGTTACCTTTGCGATAATTTTTTGATAACCTGAACAGTAATGGCTAGAAACTAGGTGCTCTTTTTATATATTTTTAATTCGGGGAGAGGATTAGATCAGCTGAAATATAAATTGTTCTTTTCATGTACATATTATAAAGCAACACGTATCTGTTTCTTGTTGGTTTGCTGATATCTTCTTATCTTCTTACTCTGTACACACAGAAAGAATGGAGAGAAAAAAGGGATGAATTCAGAAGGAAAGTCGGTCGCTGTGTTAGGAAGTCTCAAGAAATGTTGTAACTCCTTAACATAATTATTTATTGAAGTATCTAATTTCTTATTTCTCATTTTGTCAAGGGAGGTTTTCGGGGTTTTGGTATTTGTCACACTGATTAGAATGCTCTTTTAAAACCTGTTCACTCTTATCAACTAAAAGAAAATTTTAGTTTGTATATGTATATTTCAAATTGTTCATGAACTTGTGTAAGAATGGTGGCTTGAATATGCTTTTATAGTTTTATTTACTGCAATGTTATTTGATTTTACTATTTTATATGACTGTTCATAATCTACGAATTTGTTAATAAGTTTATTTATGGCATGATAGTTTTGTTGGATGGAGCTGCAACTTTTTTCCTTCTACGTTTTATTCATTTATTTTTGGATTGTTGTTTGCCTTCATTATTCCATAGTGGTTTAGAAAAAAAAGGGCCTGGTTTTGGAGTCCTCTTTTATTTGAAACAGTTTAGATCCACATCTCAATTTCCCACCGCTCTTCATTCGGCACTTTGACATTTCACTTCTCTTTTAATTTTTTAATTGTGGCAAGTAATTAAGGTAGAGTGGCTCCTATTTAAAGCCATTTGCTTAATATTAACCATTTACATAAACCTCTTCAACTAACCTCAAACATGATAAATTCAATGACATCAAATTATATCAATTTTTATTTTATGATATCCTTCTTAAAAAAAGTAAACAGGTGCATCAAATGATAAAAGCCTCGAAAGTCCCATTCCTGAAATTGCTGAGGTGTTTGGAAATGGTTGAATAGAGGATCACTATGACTAAAGCTCTCGGTAAATTTACCTCTATATATATATATATATATATATATATATGATAAAAGTGTTTATCATTTTAAATGACATAAAATTATGTCATTTTAAGAGAGAAATAGACATAGAATAAATTTTTTTATTTAAATTTTAAATTAAAAAATCACTCACTTTCTTTCTTCCATGATTTTTATTTTCTGTGTTTATCTCTCTCCTAACATGACATAATTTACGTCATTTAAAATGACAAACACCAAGTCTATATATATATATATATATATATATATATATATATATAAAAAAATTTAACTTCGAAGATAATATAATTTTTTAATCATAAAAATTATTTATTCAGCTTACATTAGACGTAAACATGTAAAATATATGTTTTCACTTATTCATTTTAATGATAAACTTGCTTAAAAGAGTTTTTCCTTTCCACTAAAATAATATTGGGGAGAGTGATAGAATCATATGAAAGGAACATTTGAACAACGGCCCCACTTATAAATGCATATTTCCGTTTGTTGACATGCCAACAAAAGTCAAAGGAGTTTGTTCTGTTCGGAATAGAAATAATCTAACCCAGAGTTAGTTTGAGAAAAAGTTCATTTTAAAACGAGTTTGTTTAAGTAAATAAAAAAAAGGAGTTTGTTGGCTATAAAAAAAGAAAAAAAGAGTTTGTTCCTAGACGTGTAAAATGAGTTTATTTTAAACATTTAACGAGTTAATATTATGAGGAATTTTATTACATTAAGTGGAAATATATTTTTATTAATTTACTTTGAATCCATTTAAAAAAAAAACTCTTAAGTTGGCATGAATGCATGTACGATAAATGATAACAATGCTTTGTCAAACAACTCGATGAAAAACTCAGCCAATCCGACACTATCACGTGTGTTAAGTTCCTTACTAGGCATCCCCGCCTAGATGGTTGTGTGAACAAATATGCATAGACACACAATCATAACTCTTTACAAGAGGATAAGAATGCCGACAGGCAGAGGTAAAAAGCAATAGCACTTCACATTTCACAATTTGGGGTGATACAACTTTAAATAAATAAAAAGGTTAAAAGCTCATATAAAATGACTGTTATTACTTTATATAAAAATTCAAAAAAATATTATTATTATTATAGGGGTGTCCGAAAAAGTTGTCCCTCTAAGATGCAAATTTAACGAATTAAGAAAAAAGTGGAAAGAAAAGAAGAAGAAAAAGAAGGAACCTCGCAACCATGCCTTGCCTGTTGCACGCTTTCTGTCTCGAACAACTTTTATCGAACACATATCGAGCTCTCTCTCTCTCTCTCTCTTGACTCATGGAACTCTTGCTCTCGTCCGTGACTCCTTCATCATGAAACCCTTTCATTTCACCAAAACAACCAATAAAGAAAATCAAAATTAGCAAGAGTACTGTTATTCCACATGATTTATCATCTTGGTGCTTACAAATCGAACGGCCATGCGATCCCCTCAGGCCATCCGCAACGGAGGCGATAACCGTTCACCGACGGCGCAACCTCGTTTCCACTCCACGGTGGCCGAACACAAACTGCGTCGTTTCAATTCCCTCATCCTCATCTTCCGCCTCACCACCTTCTCGTTCTCCCTCACCTCCTCCGTCTTCATGGTCACCAACACTCGCGGCACCGATTCTCCACGCTGGTACAACTACGACACCTTCAGGTACTCAATTTCCTCTTTTATCATTCGAGCATAGCCAAATCCATATTGAAAAATTAAGAAATAAATAATTACCGTGAATCCGTTCAGATTCGTTCTAGCTGCAAATAGTATAGTGGCGGTGTACTCTCTGTTCGAAATGGGCGCGTCCGTGTGGGAAATTTCCAGAGGCGCAACAATCTTCCCCGAAGTGCTGCAAGTCTGGTTCGACTTCGGCCACGACCAGGTCTCGAACAATAATTTCCTCTCTCTCTCTCTCTCTCTCTCTCTCTCTCTCTCTCTCTCTCTCCTGTGAGTGTGGGGACTGATCTTGTGTGGTGCTGGTGCAGGTGTTCGCGTACCTGCTTTTGTCGGCGAGCGCGGCGGGGACGTCCATGGCGAGGACGGTGAGGGATATGGACACGTGTACGGCCAGCAATGCGTTCTGCGTGCAATCGGACATAGCTATAGCGTTGGGGTACGTGGCGTTTCTGTTCCTAGGGTTCACCTCGCTGCTCTCGGGCTTTCGCGTCGTCTGTTTCATTATCAACGGTTCCCGATTTCATCTCTGAGTTGATCTGGGATTTGGCGTGGGAACGACGTCGTCGCTGTGCACAGGTCAGGGAGTGAAAGAGGAACGTTGGTGGGGTGGGGTGGGGTCGGGGCATTTTTTTCTCTGTGCTCCAAATATGCCGTGATTTGGACTGACATGGTTGAAAGAAGTTGAAGACGTGAAAATAGTGATTAAAATGTCATTTTTTGGAAAAAAATTTACCCGAATATCATGGGAAGAGTACTTTTTATCATAATATTGTCACGTGTGACGTAATTCGTTACCAACTTGCAGCGAATTACATTTGTCAATGATTTATGACACGTGGCATATTTTACAGTTGTCATAATTCGTTACAGGTGGTAGCGAATTTAGTTTGCAATATGATCACGAAATTCACTATTTATAACACATGACAGTCTGATAAAAAATACTATTCACATTACATCGGGATAAAAAATGACATTTTGATCAGTATTCCGAAAATATGCGCCTGATATTAATTTTTGAACCCACACATGTACCCCGCATTCGTATTAATTCCATTGATTTTCCAACTTAATTCATTTTGTTTCAAATTATTTACTAAATACTAAAACTCATGGCATGTTCGGGTAAAAATTTAAGTTGTGCTTGAATTAGTTTATTTGAAAAAATATTAAATGTTTCTTTTAAATTTTCAAAGTAAATTAAAATAAGCATAAGTATAGGGAGTTTGTCTTAAAAATTGTTTCATTTTTATTATAATTTATTTTGAAAATAAAACAAGTCAATTCAAACTTTAAAATTTAAATACATATCCAGTTTATAAGAATAAAATTTATTTTTTTATTACAAAATGTTTTAAGGTAAAAGTAATTTCTTTTCAGTTGAAAGCTAAAATAAATTATCGATTTTAATGAAGATGTAAAGTGAGATTAAAGTTGCATGCAAACAGAAAATCCTGTATTCGAACAAAATGTTAACTAAGTGAGTTACTTCTCATCCGAATATATTTTTATTGTAAGAACTAAGAACATTGTCATCTTTAAATCCTAATAAAGGATTTCATAAAAACAAAATAAAATTTGAAAGTCATGTATACAAAATTAATGAGGAAAAATCATGTATGCAGTATACTTGTGAATTTGAAAAATAATCAACTATACTTTTATTACAAAAAAATAAAAAAATTAGAAAAGGTAATTTCTAGTAGCGTATTATGGAAAGCGAATGCGGCCGAAATGACCTTGAGCATTTACACTTGCATTGTTTTGTGGGCTGAACATATTGTTAATACAAGTGGCCTTGATTTTATAGTAGTTTATTGTAGTTAGCAGTTAGCACTTAAGAAGCATGAACAAGGCATTTTTTAAGAAAAATGTGTTCCAGACACGTTAAATATCTACATGTTCCGACAAAGTGTTTGATATTGATCCGGATAAAATATAGGCTCATTAGAGGCCCAATGACACACGTGAAAGCCCAATCTCGTTTAGGGTTCAAAGCAAAGCGCGATGGACAACATCGCGCACAAGACGCGATGCCCTCATCGCACACAAGACGCGATGCCCTCATCGCGCAAGACAAGACGTGATACCCTCATCATGGATAAAACCGCCCTTAAAGAAATTAACTTAAGACCCAATGCAATCCCACCACGCCTTTATACCAATAAGCGAAAGACAGCTCCAGCTTGTTGCGACTCTATGGCTTGACATTAAGAAGATAAGGCTACCCAGGCTCTAGCACTGACCTGCAGCCCAAGCCTGGCCACTCAGAGGCCAAGTCGCCTTGCTAAGGCGGCATCATAACCTCTATATATGCAAAGGGTACAACACCAAGGTACGATCATCCTTTACATTAATAACATACAAACCCCTGCCTCTGATACTGACTTAAGCATCGAAGTGTCTTCGCAGGTACCCCATTCGGATTCATCTCACTACAACAAAGGACGGAGTCATAGTAAGATCCAACTCTGATTCAAGGCCCAAGACTAAGAACAACAATCCATATCTCAACCGTGTGTGATTAGGCTCGATTTATAATAGCCAGCCCATATTGTATTTGGTCTGATCAGATATGTTGCCAATATTTTGGGACATGTTGATTATTCCAACATACAATTTTGACCGTGTCCAACACGGTCAGTCATGAGACAGGAATGTAAAATTTTCAAAAAAATTATAAAACTAAAATAATTCTAAAATAAAATCAAAAGTTTAAGAACGAACGTGACAGTCTTGCTAGCGGCTCAAGAGATGGCCCCGACAGAGAATAGAGCGACATCTCCAAGAACAAACACCATGACGTCTCAGGTAAAGGAACCATAAATCTATGGAGAATGAAGCTGCAATTGGATCCCATTGAAAACCAAACCTTTTATCATTCTGATGGAAAGGCCTCTGATCTCTTACTTTTCACTACCTAATTCGCATGGAGCATCAATAATTTTAACCTTCAGAACAAGGGGGTGTATCGACCCGGTCCAATTCAAAGCCCAATTACCTAAAGCTCCAAGTTAGCCTAGCCCATGATAGACAAGAAACAACCTAAAGGCACGATGACCAGTAAGGGTGTTAATGGGCCGGGTCAGGCCGAGCTTTGGTCTTGAAAGTCTAAATTTATTTAAATGTATCAGACTGGCCTAGTCTGTAACCTGTTACGAATATAATTATCGGTAGTAGTCTGACTTATTTACAAAAAACAAAAGCTTGACTTAATCTGTTAGCCTGTTAAAAAAAATAAGATAACAAAAATGATAATGGACCACAAAGAGAAAGTAAATATTAGGTTAGGTTTAATAAATGAGTAGTATAAAAATATAAAAGAATTAGTATATCAGACCAGTCTGATAGGCTTTGAGGCTGAGCTTTGGAATTGGAATGTTTTTTTACACAAGTCCAAGTCTATATCCAACAACTAAAATAGATGAGTCAAACCAGGCCCACATAAGCCAAGCCAAAGGCCCGTAGCACTTTTAACACCCCTAGTGACTTATGTTTGTGGCCTAATATAATAAAATTATTTTATATTAATAATTTTAAAATATAATAATTATAAAATATAGAAAATTTGTATAGTAAAATAAAAATATTAAATAGGTATTGTATTATTTTCTTTGAATTAAATAAAATAAAATAATTAAAAATAGATAATATATTGTATTTTCAAACTATGAAAATAGTTATTTTTTTGATATATAATTAACTTAGCTTAATTTGTGTGTAAAACAATTTATAAGTACAATGTAATTTACTTATTATAGGCTGTTATATGTATTAAACGTAAACTATATTATATTTATTAAAAATATTATTTAATATCAAAACGTGTCATAAAATATCGAAGTCTAATATTTTTTAGAATTAACGTGTCACCATATCATGTCGTGTTCGATGTCCTATGTCAGTGTGAGTGCAACATAGCTTAACACTACAAAGTGACTGCATCATAATTGATTAGCTTTCTCTCTCTAGTTAAACGAATTGGGAAGGAACTTATTCACCTTTTGACTCAACCAAAATATAAATATCAATTAACCAACAAATCCAGACATAATTGGTAGACAGTAGGTCCTTTAAGTATGTTGATAGAAATTCGATTCTTGGCCGGGTGTATAAAAAATGCTTTGATAAAAGTAAAATTCACTTCAGTAATCTCTACGCCTCCAGAAAATTAGTCTTCGACTGTCAATTGGAATTACTCTGAATTATATTCAAATATCAATTAGATAGGTAAAAATTATTTATGCATCTAACATAGTCATTATGCCTTGATGTAAGGTTTATAAATTATTTTAATAGAACAACTATTTGAAAATAGTGAAAGTATTGATATTATATCAACCAAATTTATAAGTTTATTGATAAAATTTACACAGAAACATTATATATATCATAATTTTTATTACTAGTGCATATCTTTAACATTATCTATCCATGATTTCCAAATTGCAAGGTAAATTTTTTTTTTTTGGATACAATAGCAAGGTAAAATCTTAATTGCAGTACCCAGCTCCTATATACGTGGACTACTAGAAATTTGTTATATCTAAATGAATTACTGACGATTATGTGTCACTTCTCCATCCAACACGACAACTGCTGATACAAATATGACAGAACAAATACAATTTTTGATCAAAACTAAAGATAAAGACATTGATCTTCAAAAAAAAAAAAAAAGATAAAGACATTGTATCTTTGATCACTGTTAATTGTCAACTTCGCATATTTACAATCACTACAAAAGAGACACTTTGACTTCATTGTATCATATTCTCCAAGTCACTAATTAGCGGTCTTTTAAAATCTGGATCGGACTGTTTAGGTTGATCTGAATTTCGATAATTCAGTGAGGGCATGGTTTGAATTGTCTGTTGGATCGATTATGTAATTGAATCGGTTTTGACCATTTGATTCGCCCGAGTCTCGATGATTTGTGAGTTAGATGGAATCCAACAGGTCAAGCTATTTTCTTTCTTAAATTGATTTTTTAAAAATTGGATAAAATATTCCACTTTTCAGTCTATAAGAATAAGTAGTGTTATCACTTATCACTAGACTACCCTCAATTGTTAGTCAAAATACATCTTATAATATATTCATTATATAATTTAATATAAATTTAATTAAATCGGTTGAACCAGTGACTCTCCAGTTGAACTATTGATCTAGTGACCTAATACTTCGACCGAGTCGATAATCGAACCAAATTTTAAAATATTGCTAATTAGTGTTAATATATTAATATTAGGAAATATTGTTTGTCATGTTATATAAGATAATTTTTTATTTTATTTTTAAGTTCCATTCACTTTTTTATATTTACATAATGAGAAACAATATCCCCTTAATATTATGATGCTTTCGGAAGAAACTGACCGTTTGCAGTTGCAAACACCACTCAACATTATACAGGATTTTTATTTTTCCAATTTAATATTTTCCCTTAAAATAAATATTTATTACACATTATTTTCTCTATAATAAGAAATTAAGAATTGAATCTTGTTCAAAGATTATGACCAAAGCTTATATTATACACAATTAAAATAATGAAAAATCCTTGGAAACCCTCAAGAGCCAATGAAATGTACCTCCTCTTCGAAGGGGGATTAGTCTTACCCTTTCTCTTATAAGGAAGTCCAATACATCTGTTATTTCAATGAGGAGCTAGTCTTAAGGTCATATTCCGAAAACAAGATGGCCAGAGAAAATTGTGTGGAGATACTTCCTAGTATCTACTAAAATAATAAAAATAATAATAATGTAAAAATGAACAAAAATTAATTAAATTCATGATAACGTGAGTAATAAAAATAACGTATATTGAATAATGATAAGTAAAATTAAATTAGATCACATCAGGATCATCACTATCCCCAAAAGGGTCAAAAGCCTCAGCATTATTCATGATCACACTCCAAAAACCTAGCATATTGAGTCAGTCAAGCTCATCTCCCACTGACAACCTCAGGTAAGACATGACAATGTCAACCGAAAATTCAGCATTGGCCACCAAACCTTTGATAAGGATGGTCAGCGTTCAAGATATTTCAAGCCCACCTTTTTGATCATTGCAACTGAGCGATCCCCATATAAGAGTAACTTTACAAAAGCAGAAGCAGGCTCCAGAAGATAGGCAGAGATTGGACAAAATGGATCATCATATCTGTATGCCTTTGGCTAATTATTTGCCGAACTTCATAATCTAAATTTTTTACAATATGCCTACGAGGACATACATCATCATTCAAGACATCAAATAGCTGTAAATTCTACCTATTATATTTTTCTAAATGTAATTTCTATGATTCTCCACCCCGTTGTAGGATTAAAACTGTGAAAGTTATTTCTTATGGAGAAAAAGCAGCAGCTGTAATTGATTTAACGAGGTCACACATTCACAATATGAAGAATCACTTATCAGGTTCTTAACTTATGCTGACATTGGCTGTAAATTATGAACTAAAAATTTAAGGTGGGCTGCTTCTTCGGCAGATCTTTTAATTCCCAACCTCAAATAATAACACTAAGTTAACTATAAATTTATGGGCCACATCAGCTAAGTGAAGCAGAAAAACAGATACTCTTCTGTTACACCATGCTGAAGTATTTAGAGCAACATCAACTACTTTTGGCAACCACAATTTTCCTTACGCATTAGTAAAAGCGCAAGTCTTGGTCCTCCTTTTATAGTCTTCAAGAGTTAATTGTTCCCGGTTGAATCATTTTACAACTCTGCACAGAGGCATATATTGAAGATTCCTAACCCAGCTAAGTAATTAGCCCATAAAAGGGTTAACACAAACAAATCATTGCTCAATTTCATCAAGTTTCATTGGCTCCAATCAGATTATTGATCAATGGACTTTGCTTCAATTTGACAGAAGCCAAATACATTAATTATGATTAAAAATTTGTATGTCATAACTCATAACCATGCAATTCCAAATATGATAAATCATCTCACATAGGGAAAGCCGGTACCTTCAAAACACAAAAAGTTATGAAAAAAAGGCCACGTTATGTCAACTTCTCCGTCACTAACACTAACGTGGCACTTTTTACATACTTTTAGGGAACAATTTGATCGTTTTTTATTGACAGGAACTAAAAAGGATTTCGTAGATATTGCGGAATATTTACTCGAAAAATAATTACTCGCTGAAATTTGAAGCCTACACTCAAAGAAGATCAAAGAAAATGGATAGGAACAGATACCCTGTGGATGTAAATTGATGTAATCGTTTTCAGTTACATGTGATCTACCGTTGCCACTATCGGCGAGAGAGATTATCTTACCTCGTTTGTATTATCAGTTTTCTCTGATGGATGAACTGAACTGAACGGCTTGTCCTGGTTCTGGTATCGGGGGGCTTTCTCTGTCGCCTTGTAACTTCGTGATTGTGGGTGGGCCAATTGCAACGTTACTAGAACCGAACTAGTAATAAACCATGCTTCATGGGCCCACACACGAGTCATTCATCAGATCAGAGTAACGTTACATGCTCCATTTTGGTAAGCTCAAAAGAAAAATTACTGTATATCCTTTCTAAAATTATGAATTGCATTTTACGTCATTTCTTGAACATTTTATTTTAAAAAAAAAACATAACTGGTGTCATTTCACTCTCATAAAGAGGTGGGATCCACAACTTTATGTTTTTTTGTCCACTCTCTCCTCTTTTATCTATCTCTTTCTCTCACTTAAAATGACACAACTTTACATCATTTAAAATGATATATATTTTTTCTTTTATTTTAAGGGAAAATTATTTTTGCTTTCACCGCAGGAAAAATTTATTTGCCACACTAACACAAAAATGAGTAGATTCCATTATAAAGAGAAGAGAGATAAAAGATTAGTAAAACTCTTTCACTTTTATGTTTTTATGTTAGTATAGCAGAGATTTTTTTTTCTTACAACAAAAATAAAAACATTAAATCCTTTATTTAATAATTAATATGTATAGATATATTACTTAAATATTAGTGCAAAGGACCAGATAAAATCCATAAGACTTGAAAGAGCCAAATCCCACTTGTAATAATGCATATTGGTCAATCTAAGATAAAATCCATAAGACTTGAAAGAGCCAAATCCCACTTGTATATAATATAATGCATATTGGTCAATCTAAAAATATTACTTGTACACACGGTTTGGTACATAGTATAAGATAAAGTCTAATAGTATAAGGTATGATTGTATAAGACCTGATTAAATTTTAATACTATTCAGGATTTGACATGATATTATATAAGATAATATATTGTATAAGATATCATTCAATGTTTGGTAATACACTGTATAATACTAGATAGGTTAAAAAAAATATTTTTGTCAAAAATACCTTTTAATAATGAATTTACATAATTCTTTCAAATATATCAGATGATATTATTTTTTATAAAAATTTATTGATCAGTGTGTGCAAAAAATATATTAATTTTTTAAAAAATAAAAATCTCCAATATTTTGAAAAATTATATATTGAAAAATTATTTTTTATTTTAATATACTAATATTAAAATAATATATTAATTCTTGAGAATTGCATTAGTTAATACATCAACCCCTTATCGGGCCTAATACTACCCTCCTAGACCTGATTAGGTTATACATTATTTTGATGTATAAGCTTATACTGTACGATGGTCACACCAAACAACTAAAAATGCCGTAACGTTTAATATAAGCTTATGCTATGAGGCCTTATACATCACACCAAATAGGCCCTTATTCATCTCTAATAAATGCTGATGGAAAAATAATATTTTTATTTTTATTTTTTTTGGTAACAAGATATTGTTGTTGTTTTTTTTTTTTGATAACAAGATATTGTTGTTTTTAATTTAGCATTGATATAACAAACTAAAAAAATATGTGACTAAAAAAATTTCATAAAAAAAATAAAATTGGACATAAGCCAATATCATGATTTCTTTGATACTGGGAATTGCCTCCAACAACAAGATGTAAGTGACATTTTTATTTTACATCTTAACCTCCAAAAAAAATAAAAAATTGTCGAGTTTAATATAAGTTTAGGTATATTAAAGGCTCCCCTGTATCAATTAATCCCTGTAACATAACATTTATTCGTATTAGAGGTAAACTTGGCGGAGAGTTGATGAAACAAACCACTAACTTCATTTCCAAAATCAGAAATAGAAATCTCCATTCAAAATTTATACACATACAGATGCATCGTGCACATGTATGTATCTAAATATTTATGTGTATATATTAGCAAAATAATTAGTTTTAGAGGAGGCTATGTTGGTGAAAACAAAAAGAATTCCGAAAAGGGAAAAGCATCTAAGCACCAGCGACTTCTTGAGCTTGTTTCAACTTCCCTTTACTTTTCACAGTCTTTCCATTTCCCACTGCAACTCCCTTGTCTTCCACTTCAGTTAGGTTTTCAATCCTAGCAAACACTGGTTTAGGTTGAGCCATGACCTGGCCACCCTTAAGCCCACCCCACTTTGTGTCTCTCTACAGTGCAAAACAAACAACTTAAATCAGACAGCAGAACAGAATAGTTCAAACCCATGAACCGGTCATGGATATGTACAAGTTTCTGTGTTTGTGTGTGCGTGTGTTTGAGAGAGAGAGAAGAGAGAGACCCAGGTTGCTGCCTCAAATTGGTCCCTGGAATAGCCAAGTTGTGCATATATTCTCCAACTCAAGCTCGGAGTAACAGGACATAAAGCAATTGCAATAATTCTCACTGTCTCTAATATAATTACAAGGTCCTGCTCCAACATCATAAGTAAAAAAAACTTGCTTAGGCTTTTGCTTATTTTCATTAGTAACAAAACAAACTGTCATGTTGGTTAAGCTTATTATATTTGGTTAAGAAGGAAAAATAATTGCAGATGACAGTTAATGAAAAGCAAATAGATTATTTTCACTCGATGTAAGAAAAGAATCAGTTGTTTAGTATTTACTATTTAGATTTAATTTGATCGAATATCAGGTAAAGAGTTTTAGAATGTCAGTGAACCATATGACGTTAATATTTTAAATAATTCTAAAAATAATTATTGCAACTGAAATACCTTAATTAATCTAAAGACGTAACTTTTTTTTTTTTTTACCAATAGCATATTAAGTTTTATCCTAACAGTATATCAAGTTTAAACTTTTACTACAACCATATGTTATTCAAGATGAATGAATTCCTACAATAATAGGTTCGAGCAATTAACCTTAGCAGCTGTTTCAGAAGCAGTACCCCCTTGCTTGAAAAGAGACCATGGGGCATGCTCATCCATATAGGAATTGCCAACATTACCAATCTCCAGAACAGCCTCACAAGCCGATGAGAGGGAGAGATTTTCATAGTGAATACGAGCTTTTTCAACCTACAAATGTAAATATTGGTCAATCTTTGGGTCACAGGCAACTACGACAACTTACTGAATGGCTTTAAAATATGTCAAGTAAGCAATTATAGAATCACAATTCAGAACATAAACTAAGGGATAGTCTGTTTCTATTTCGAAATAGAATATAAAACAATTTCTGAAGTTATAGCCACTAAACAAATAATTATTTCATATTTGTTTGGTATATAAATACAATTTTCCGCGCAGGGCCCTCAGGCCTCAGATATATAGAGTTGTATCTAGTCTGTAACAATCCATCAAAGTTGAATACCATATTTTTCCTCCTTTTCATCTATCAAGATTATTTAACTCGGTTGCTGGTGAATTATTTTATTATGTCCAAATACCAAGAACACAGCATAAAATAGAAGTAACAGTTAGCATCCACCCTCATATCAGTTCTGCCAAAGAGGTCCTCTCCTGAGATGTAAAAACAATATATTTCAATTTGAAATTCCCAGCATTCAGAACAATGATTAGAGGTTACAATTACAATAAAAGCTGTCCGGCAACCAAGCAGCCTTCAGCACCAGGTAAAATCACCGGGGCAAACAAATGTGCCAGAAATGGTTTCTATAATTATTGAATCAACGGGTCGCATTATGTCAAACAGCAGCAAAATGACATACTTTAAACTTAATGTAGAGATTATAGAAATGCTAGAGTTTCCTCGAGATTTTACCAGCCTGTCGACATTGTCCTTGAATGTATTTCCTTCTGCAGCTGTACTGGAATCCTCCACCAGAGTTGATTGGCAGTTCTTTTTTAGAAGTCCTAGTGTACGATTCAGAAGATTTCCTGTTAAAATAGTGAAGGAAACACATATCACAGTTAACATTAAGGTCATGATAAAATTGAAAAAAATAAAAGCAAATATGTTGTTACCAAATGTTTCAAGTAACGAAAGCAAAGTACCAATTGTATTGGCAAGATGTGCATTAACAATATTTATGAAGCGTTCCTCTGAATAGTCCCCATCATTGCCAAATTCCACCTCTCTGAGGAAGAAGTATCTAACTGCATCTGTCCCAAATTTATTAACCAAATCATTTGGTTCAAGCGTATTCCCTAGTGACTTGCCCATCTTCATGCCATCCTAACATTTTCAAAACAAAAAGCATTGCTGCATGAAATAAAATTATATATAAGAAATAGATTCATATTCCAACCTTTCGCTGAGACCCATATTTTATTAAACAATTGATTGTATATTCAACTTACATTTGAATTGAATGATTCATTTAGATTCAAATGTAAATTCAAATGAATTATCCATTTTAAAGTCTTTACTTATATACTCTCCTTTGTATCCGTGTAATTCTTTTCCAGGAAATTCATTTGAAGCATTAAGAAACTTCAACAAAATAATAATAATTCCTATGATTATTGTTAATGTTGAGTTTTGTCGTCCAGCACCACCAATAACAACAATAATATTATAATAATTATTAATACAACAACAAAAATAATAACAATATTGTTATTACTATCATTATCAACAATAATAATGATAAAAATGGAGTAGCTATTATAAGAGAAAAAAAGGATAAACACATAATTTCTGGCCTTGATTTTGCTCAGCTTTTACACTTAGCACCTCTTCTAAAGAAGGTAAACAATAGAACGTAGTTACTTCTAGAGTTTCCTCAAGAAGAAATATGAGATAGTAAACAGGTTCAACTACAGATACCTTTGTCAAGAATCCATGGCCAAATACCATTTTAGGAAGGCTTAGTCCAGCAGACATTAGCATAGCTGGCCAATAAACAGCATGGAAGCGAAGAATATCCTACAAAAGTAACAAAATGATTAAAGAAGTATAGAAACTTCCTTTCTCTTAATAATCATAAGAGAAAAATCAATGATTAACTAACATATATCAAGGGCTGCAAAATCATCACAAAATTACAGATGGCTTCAGTGTGTAAGTACCCAAGAAACAGAATTGCAAGTAAAAAGTCCAAGGAAGCATTTTGCAAAAAAATATGAAACAGATATATACATATACTGTAGAATATTCTAGATTATCATTTATTACTTCCTTGCTATTTGTTCCCTTATTTATTAATGTCTCTTGTTATTGTAAATAAGCCTCTTAGTTTACTGTTGCTATTTATTAGCATTGTTCTTTGTACTCAATATAAATAGGACCTATTGGGTCTCTCAATGTAATCAATCAATAGTGTTATATAGAAAAACACTCTCTCTTTTTCATCATGGTATCAGAGCTGGTTAAAATCCAGTCTCTTCCCTGTTCTAACTTCTCTTCCATTCTTTTTTTTCGTTTTTTGCCTCTGTCAAGGCCAGAACCCTCACCTAGACACCTCCAACCACAAAACCAAGGCCACCATTAGGTCCAGAACAAAATTCCGAGCCAGCCAACACAAGACCCGTCGCCGGAAACCCAGCCACGCGCCACCAACATCCTTCAGCTTCGCCGGCGCGTGTGGTCCACGCGCCGCCCTCCCATCATTTTTTTCCGGCGGGTCATACCCCGTTCTGATCGTCTGCCTTCCCTCTTCCTGTTTTGAGGGTCAAAATCATATTTGGAGGAATTTTGTTTTCTGGGTATTGTTGTTAGGAAGCCATGGACACTGAAAATGTTGAAAATTCATCTGGAGTTTCGACCGGAACCTCACCCCTTCCCATTTCTTCGTCTTCTGGAGACAACCCAGCAATGCAGATCACCAATCACCGTTTAAATGGTAGAAACTATGTGCAATGGTGTCAATCTGTTAAGTTGTTTATCCAGGCCAAAGGGAAGATGGGGTATCTGGATGGAAAAAAGGTTCACCAGCAGAACATGAACCTGGCTATGATGCTTGGGTGACTGAAAATGCTTTGGTCATGACATGGCTGACTAATTCTATGGAACCGGATATCAGTCAAACTTATTTATTCCTTGATACGGCTCAAGAAATTTGGGAAGCTGTTAAAGAATACTACTCTGACCTGGGCAATGCCTCTCAGGCTTTTGAACTCAACACCAAGGTGAAAGATTTACGCCAAGGAGGGATGATTGTTACTGAATACTTCCTTGCTCTAAAAACATTGTGGCAAGAGTTGGATCTTTATGATAAAGCAGACCTTCAAGGTTTAGACGCTAATGCAATATTCAAAAATTATATAGAGAAAAGGCGTCTCTATGATTTTCTTGCTGGCCTTAATTCTGATCTGGATGATGTTCGTGGAAGAATTTTGGGGCAAAACCCATTACCTTCCATTGCCACTGCCTTTTCTGAGGTACGAAGGGAGGAGCTTCGCCGAAAGGTAATGTTGGGTGATAAGGACTCTAAGTCCTCTGATGGGTCAGCCCTTATAACAAAGAATACTGCTCGTCCTTTTGGGGACTCAAAACGTTCTGACCGTTGGTGTTCTCATTGCAATAAGGGTGGTCACACCCGTGAAAAATGTTGGGAAATTCATGGCAAACCACCAAACTGGAAACCAAAAGGACAGAACAAGAATCGTGTTAATCAAGTATCTTCTGAAGATGAGGAGGAGGGGTCTCATGTCCCTTCAAACCCCGATGGTGTTCTCCTCTCTAAGGCCCAGTATGAGCAATTTCAGAAATTGATGTCTCAACCTGCTGAGGCAACTAGTCATGTTGCTCAAAAAGGTATGGCATTCCATGTTGAACGTAGTAATCGTTGGATCCTTGATTCAGGAGCCTCTGATCACATGACAGGTAATGCAACCTTATTTTCCTCCTATACCCCTTACTATCACCCGTCACGAATAAGAACAGCTGATGGAAATTTCTCCACTATTGCGGGCAAGGGATCCATTAAACTTTCTGAACATATTATTTTGAACTCAGTCCTTCATGTTCCCTCCCTTACTTGTAACCTCATCTCTATTAGCAAATTTACTGCTGAGTTGCATTGTGTTGCTAAGTTTTCTGCAAATGCTTGTATCTTTCAGGAGCAGGACTCGGGGATGATGATTGGCAGTGCTAGAGAGGAAGAAGGGCTATACTATTTGGAGGAGGATCTTTGTGAAAGGATGATTTTTTCAAACCACTCTCTATGTTTATCAGATGATTGTAATGATGTTTTGTTATGGCATCGTAGGTTAGGGCACCCAAATTTTGTTTATCTTCAGAAGTTATTCCCTAACTTATTTATCAATAAAAAGCCAAGTTCCTTTCTTTGTGATATTTGTCAGCTTGCAAAACATTCTCGTGTCACTTATTCTCCTAAGAAATATCATGAATCTTCTCCCTTTACATTGATTCATAGTGATATTTGGGGACCTGCTCGTAAAAAAAATGTCTCGGGTGCTCGTTGGTTTATTACTTTCATTGATGATCATTCTAGGGTATGTTGGGTATATCTCTTAAAAGACAAGTCTGATGCGGCATCCACTTTTAAAAATTTTCATGCTATGATTCAAACTCAATTCCAGACTCCTATCAAAATTCTGCGAACAGACAATGGCACTGAATATTTTAATTCTGTTCTTGGAGATTACCTAAACCAGCATGGAATTATTCATCAAAGTTCTTGTCCTAACACCCCTCAACAAAATGGGGTGGCTGAAAGGAAAAATAGACATCTAATTGAAGTTGCTCGAGCTCTCTTATTCACGATGCATGTCCCTAAATATCTGTGGGGGGAAGCCATCTTGACAGCTTCTTATCTCATTAATCGAATGCCTTCTCGGGTACTAAATTTTCATTCTCCTTTATCTTGTCTTACAAAATCTTTTTCTTCTTTCTGTGCTCTTTCTCTTCCTCCAAAAATATTTGGCTGTGTGGTCTTTGTACATATTCCTCCACATCAAAGGTCCAAACTTGACCCTAAATCTATTAGATGTGTCTTCATAGGATATTCCCCTAATCAAAAAGGCTATAAGTGTTACTCACCTTCTCTCCGTAAGGTCTTTATTTCCATGGATGTTACCTTTTATGAGACACAATCCTTTTTTTCCCCGACTTCTCTTCAGGGGGAGTCTACTGGTATGGATGAAGATAAGCCTGGGAAACCAAATGAAGCTGCTGTCTTACCTTGGCCTTTGGAAACAGGGGGAGTTATTGGGAAGGAAACAGGGGGAGCAACTGTACCTGAGTCTAATGATCCTCCCAGTCCTTGTGATCCTCCTGGTAAATGGGGAAAATTCTACAGCAGGCGCAAAACACATCAAGAGACTCTAGACTGTCAGGATCCTGACTCGAGTCCTTGCTCTAGCAACCCACTTGAATGCACTAGCACAGCCAACATTGATATGCCCATCGCCCTTCGGAAAGGTACTAGATCTTGCACTGCACATCCTATTTTCCATTATATCTCATATGAGAAGTTATCTCCAGGTTTTCGTGCTTTCAACACTATGTTAGATAGTACCAGGATACCCAAAAATATCCAAGAAGCACTTGATGACCCAAAATGGAGGAACGCCGTATTAGAAGAAATGGATGCACTTATAAAAAATGGAACATGGGAGTTTGTGACATTACCTAAAGGAAAGAAAACTGTTGGTTGCAAGTGGGTGTTCACAATAAAATTTAATGCAGATAACAGCATCAACAGGTATAAAGCCAGATTAGTTGCTAAGGGATTTACTCAGACTCGTGGGATTGATTATCAGGAGACATTTGCTCCTGTTGCCAAGCTTAACACTATCCGCGTTCTGCTATCTCTTGCCGCCAACCTTGATTGGCCATTGCAACAGTTAGATGTCAAGAATGCCTTCTTGAATGGTGATCTACATGAGGAAGTTTACATGGATCCACCTCCTGGTTTTGAAAAAGGGGATGGTTCTGTGTGCAAGTTGCAGAAGTCTCTCTATGGACTTAAACAATCTCCCAGAGAATGGTTTGGGAAATTTACTCAAGCTGTTAAGGGAAGAGGGTTCACCCAAGCTCAGACTGATCACACTTTATTCTTTAAACACTTTGACAAAGGTAGAATTGCTATCCTCATTGTTTATGTTGATGACATAATTGTCACTGGTAATGATACCGAGGAGATAGCCTCTTTAAAAAAATGTTTAGCTGATCAGTTTGAACTAAAAGATCTTGGATCTCTCAAATACTTCCTTGGCATGGAAGTTGCTCGAAGTAAGGAAGGAATTTCCTTAACTCAGAAAAAATACATTCTAGACCTGTTGCAAGAAACAGGTATGCTTGGGTGCAAGCCAGCAGAGACTCCAATTGAAGCTAATATCAAGATGGGAGTTGAGGACGGGGAAGATGTTGATAAGGAGCAGTACCAGAGACTAGTGGGGAAATTAATCTATTTGTCTCACACTCGTCCTGATATTGCTTTTGCTGTGTGCATGGTTAGCCAATTCATGCATTCTCCTAAGGAAAAACACCTTAGTGCTGTTTATAGAATTCTCAAGTACCTCAAAAACACCCCTGGTCGAGGAATTCTCTTTAAAAAGGGGAACAAAAGGATGATTGAAGTTTATACAGATGCAGACTGGGCTGGCTCTGCAATGGACCGAAGATCTACTTCAGGATATTGTACTTATGTCTGGGGAAACCTTGTGACCTGGAGAAGTAAGAAACAAACTGTTGTTGCAAGAAGCAGTGCAGAAGCGGAATTTCGGGCTTTAACCCATGGTATTTGTGAAGGAATTTGGTTAAGAAGGCTTCTGGAAGAGTTGAAGATCTCTTATTCCCTACCTATCAGATTATATTGTGATAATAAAGCTGCTATCAGCATTGCTCAAAATCTTGTCCATCATGACAGAACAAAACATGTGGAAGTCGATCGTCACTTTATCAAAGAAAAATTAGAAGACAGTAGTGTATGCTTGTCATATATACCTACCAAGGAACAAACGGCAGATATTCTAACCAAAGGTTTACTTAAGCCGACCTTTGAGGATTTGATCAGCAAGTTGGGAATGATCAATATATATCTCCCAACTTGAGGGGGAGTGTAGAATATTCTAGATTATCATTTATTACTTCCTTGCTATTTGTTCCCTTATTTATTAATGTCTCTTGTTATTGTAAATAAGCCTCTTAGTTTACTGTTGCTATTTATTAGCATTGTTCTTTGTACTCAATATAAATAGGACCTATTGGGTCTCTCAATGTAATCAATCAATAGTGTTATACAGAAAAACACTCTCTCTTTTTCATCATATACACACACACACATAAAGAGAACAAATACTTGAATCAAAAGCATCCATATTTTATGATGTTGTTTGATTCTAAAAAAGATATACCATGCAACAAAGTAGCATCTCATTGTAAAACAATTTGATGTAAGTTGGAAAGAAATGTGCAACCTCTCACGTACACACAAACACACGGGGAAGGATGCAAAGAAGGAAAGCCTAGGGCGAAAAATGAAACACAGGGACTTCTGAAAAGGATCCTCACATATTGTAATATAATGAACTCATTACAAGTAGAAAAAATGGCAGATCACCAACCAAACGAAAACAAAAAACGAATTATGACATCCTTCTAACTTTACAAGTCCACAGAACTGAAAGCAACTGCAAATTTCTCACTTAAAGGGAAAATGTGTTAAGAAAAAGATTTACAAAAGTAGGAATCAAAAGAGGTGACATACCTTACCAATCAAGTGCAATGAAGGTGGCCAACCTGAAGAAACCGCATTTAATAAATCAGGCTGCTCCCGGTCATCAGATAGTGCTGATATATAGCTGCACAGATGGTAAAGTTAAAGAAATAGAATTCAATAGAAGTTTAGTAAGGTAATTTGCAATTCAATAAATGAAAGATATTACACAATATAGCATAAGTCTGAATTTTTCTGTATCACTTTTTCCATACATATAGTTGTGCGTAATTTGAACTTTTATGCATTTCAGCAACAAATTTGCAACGATAAAGAAACTGTCAATCATTGATAATGATAGTCCGGAACTGAGAGTTTATAGAATAGATCCAAGTGAAGTTCGAGAAGCAAAATCTATAAAATAAAAATTCTTACCCTAGTAAAGCATCAAACCATACATATATAGTTTGAGTCTTGTCATTAGGAAGAGGGATGCCCCAATCAACTGATGCTCGGGAAATGGAAAAGTCCCTCAGGCCACTTTTGATCCAGCTTTGAACCTTTAAGTTTAAATAAGAAACTAATTTTAAAAGCAGAATCCATTATTAAAAAAAATCCATTTTCAGTTCTCCCAAAAGAGATACTACGCAGTTCATTAGATGCCAATATCTCCCAGCTGAAACTGCTATAAAGCATTATTCCATTATTTTTGGGGCAACATCAAGGACAGTGTGATGGGGTAGGGTTGTATTTAAACCAAGCCAAATCAATTCTAAATGGATATATTTATAACTATTTTTGTTGATTTAAGAAAAAGTTGTAAATTGATCCTAGGAATACTGAAGATACATATAAAGATATCTATATATACCCCTTCCATGAAAAATTTAAAAAAGAATGCAATTTACTGGTTAATCCTGGGACATTTCTTCTTTTTAATATCTGTAAAATATTTTTTTGCAATTCTAATCCTTCAGCATCATAAATTGTTTGTACAAATTAATATTTATCTCTGAAGTTATAACCCCCCCCCCCTCCTCTCCTTTTTTTTCTTTTGTTATCTTTTCTATTTGATTGTTTTGGCATTCAGATCTTCTCTTTTCTTGGTATTTGTATTTTTTTTTTTTAATTTGAAACTCAAATTCAAGCTTGAACTTGACTTTCTTACAATATGACATCAAATTCAGATCTGATGAACATATCAAAAATTTGAGTTAGAGTTCAGGTTCAATAAGGTATAAAACATGCACACACGAAGACACAGGGAGAAAGAGAGTGTTAAATCAATTTGGGAACAAAAAAAACAGTACTTCAACCAACTCTGCAAGAATGTGATACTATTAGTTGTTATAATCTTCTACATCTAATAGCATTCATGACCATAAAATCACTTCATTAAAAACTGTACAGTTACATGACCTTATAAACATATAAGACATAAAGTCATGTAGATGATTATAATACTAAAATTATTGAATGTTTTTCAATTTTAAGATTCTTAATGTTTTAGGAGTCTTGTTATGTTAGGAGTGTTATTGGGCTGTGCTTGTCATGAACTCAAGCTCCAAGACTTGAAAAGAGTAAAAATAGTTTATGTACATCACGAGTGGTTTACTCGATCTATGTCAAACGTAGAATCATATAAGTTTCCATTCTGAATCTTCTCTAGTGAATGCAGTCAATTAAATTCTAAAAATAAAATTTTAAGCTGCAGTACACTTAAAATGCGACAGATAGAGGGAGCTCATATATAATAATAATAATACTGACAAAAAGAAAAAGGAACCCCTCATTGCCTTACCTCATTTAAACGGAAAGATGGCTGCACAAAATTTGGATTTTTAGTCAAAGTTTCCTCCAAGGACTTTTGATATTTTGACAGTGCAAAAAAGTAATTGTCCTCTTTCCTTGAAACACAAGGCTTTAGGTGCATTGGACAACAATTATTATCAAGTAGCTCCTTCTCATCCTGCATCAAATAGTAATACATTCTTAAGGTAAAACTGTGAAACTAAGATGGTAAACCTAAAGCAAAGCAACAATCTCAATCAAGATTTTCCATCATTAGAGAAAGTTATCTATTTTCATATTAGAGGGTTGCAAACAGAAATATTGCTTGCAGTTCCAGAGAATGTAATCAGACCCTTCAAAATAAAGAGCTTGTACAAATTAAACAGAAAATATTGCTAGTCCCAGAGCTATAACTTCAAGTTCAAACTATCACCTTATATTCCTCACAGTTTACACAATAAAGTCCCTCATAATCAGCTCGGTAAATGTCACCATTGGCAAGCACTCTGGAATAAAATTCCTTCACAATTGATTCATGCTTGCTATCAGTTGTTCTAATGAACTTGTCATAAGAAATATCTAACTGCAATCAGAAGCAATAATAAAAGAATGTCACAAAAAACGTAAAATAAAATACATCAATATGAAATGTTCAACGAATTAGACTAAATAAAGCCGGACTATATTCCAGTAAAAACTAAGGATTAAATTACATCTTTCCAAAGCGTCTTGTAAGCTTGTGATATGAGATTGCAATGATCATAAGGGGTGGAACCCTGGGCCATGGCTGCAGTTGCAATTTTCTCCCCATGCTCATCCGTGCCAGTAATAAATATAACTTTCTTTCCCAATAGCCGCTGTCAAATGATATAAACCTCATGTAATAGGGAGAGAAAAAAACACTTGCTTAAGAGAAACAGTTATGCAGATATCCTTAATCATTTATACCAGTTAATTCCAATTTCCAAACTCGACCCATTTCTCGAATTGCGCCAAAGTTACATAATTTACACTAAAATCGAAGAGGGTAGAGAACTTCACCTGGAACCGTGCAATGGCATCGGCGGCGATGGTAGTGTAAGCGCTACCCATATGGGGAGGGGCATTGACGTAGTAGAGAGGGGTCGTGAGGACAAAGGGTTCATCATTTGAGGGTGTGATATTGGTGCTGGCACAGGTGCAGAACGAAGCTCTTCGAGATGGGTTTAGAGAGAAATGCAATTGGGGCTTCAGCTGGAGGCGAGAAGCTCTGGAATGGAGGGAAAGCCGAGAAGGGTTAAGGAGGCAGAGTGTGTTCTGTATGGAGCAGTTTATTCTCACTGCCATGGCTTCTCACTTTTGATTCTGAGTCTCAGGTTTCAGAAGTGGCCTTTTTTTGCTGTGGAAGATGACGATGCCATCATTTCCAACAGATATTAAATCCCAGAAATATATACGATCCCTCAATTTTGAATTTTCCCATTTAAGCATAATTTCCTTTTTTTTCCACCCAAAAAAAAAAAAAGATTCCATTTTGGTTATAAAAATAATAATTTTTTTTTAAGGTAAACAAAATAATAATTTTTTAAATATAAAGAGAAAATGATGAGACAATGTTTGGAATTTGGATGAGACGTTTTAACATTTTAAATAATTTAAAATGCAAAGAGTACATTTCAAAGTATTTGGTGGCTTAAAAAACTATTTCTTTATAATTTTTTTACAATTACATTTATAATTATATTTCTTTAAACATTTTTAATCTTAAATAAAATAAAAATTATTTTGGAGTGAGATAAATTATGTTATAATTTTTAACATTTTAACTATTAACCAAACGATCAATTCATCAAAAGTGATAATTTATTACAGTTAAATGGTGAAAACAAATATTACAGTCATTCTATACCTGTAGTTCCAACATTTGTTATTTTATTGCATAATTTTATTATTTTATGTTTTTAATTATAATTTAATTTAAAAGAGTTTAAGTTAGTAATTAATTAAAGGAAAACCTTCACTTATATATATTCATTGTAATTATAGGTTATATCATTTTAAATTTTGATTCCATGTGATCTTATCATTTAAACTTTTGTATTTAGACATATTGTCCTTATTAGTTAGGGGTGACAAAATGAATTTAACCCTTCAAATCGTTTCACTCACTTATTTTAACGGGTTGAGTTGAATATCAACTGGCCAACCCAACTCAAATCAACTATATTAAGGTGAATTAAAGTGGATTATTCCATGGATTTATTTAGGGCAAAATAGTATTTCATTTGTCATGCCTAAATTTTGTTATATCAAAAAAATTTATCTCGAGCTTCGGATAAAAAATAACTTGTTTATGATAAAAGTTATCCATGTATTGAAATAAAAAAAAGTTTAAGGAAAGTATTAAATAAATATTAATATATATTTAAGCTTGAAAATGAAAAAATAAATAAATGAGAGTGTGTGACGGAATAAAATAACATTTTAAAAATCATAAAATAAGAATCATTTTTTATTTTCTATTGTTATTTAAATATGTTTATCCTCCAATCCGCCATAAAACGAGACAGATTAATATTCTCAACCCAATTTTTAAAAGCGAACTAACACGTTTTGTTTCATTTTGTCACCCCTATTAATTACAACCCTAAAATATAAAAAATAAAGATGGATTATATTAATTTTTATTTTATTTTTACAAACTACACTGTGTTTACCAGTAAAATTTCACTTTAAAAGTATGTAATTTTGTTTGTGAAACTATGACATAACTAGCAATAATTCATGAAGCGGTTAGGGTTTTGGTGATTGTTTGTGAACAAAGAGAGGAGGACGATGGATCCAAACTTTCAGGGAGCTATTGATTTCAAAAACAGTTACCAGTTTGGTGAAGACAGCAACACAATCGTGTGGGATCAAAATCAATACGAAACCGATTGGGATGTTAACCATGGAAGCCTTCTTGATCAGCCTTATGCGGATTCACTTGGTTTTACTCTGCATACAAACCCTGTAGAAGGTGAAGGTGCCTCTACAGATCCTTCACTAGAAGACAATGACTTCTCAGAAACCGTCGAATTCATAAGCCAAATTCTGATGGAAGAGAACATTGAACAAGGCCGTTTTATGACCGTCTGAGCTTTTTTTTGGGAAATATTTCATCAGTTCATCGCTTCGCGATTAGTCCGATTCGGGGCGGGTCCATGATTAAGGCTTTAAATCCCTCCCAAATGTGATACTGGGGAGATTCGAACACATACTCTCACCCTCACCTGCTGAGCTATGACCCTCTGAGCTTGCAAGTCACTGAGAAATCATTTTATGATGCACTCACTAACAACATACCTCTGTCCCCAAATCAACACCCACACAAGGAAGACAAACTACTCACTCTTCTATCTCCTCACGCCCTAAGCTGCTGACCACACAAGCAAGCAAAAATCTTATCATCTCTCCAGCTTTTCAAAGGGTATAATGGGTGTGAAAAAATTGAGTTAACAATGATTTAGCCGTCTTTTTATCAAAAAACCACCTACAGTGCCGAAAGCTGTCATTTCATGACAAAATTTAAAAAGCAAGGCAAATTGGATGGATGGTTTTTTGAGTGAATCTATTCGATCAAACAAATGCTTTATGGAATCCTTGTTTCATTTGCATAGGAAAATTTTGGGAAACCGAGAACCAAACAGGACCTTAGTGAGAATATTTTTGATATTTTACTTATAATTATTTATTAAATATATTTTTCACATTTTTATAATTTGAATACTTTTATCGTACAGAAATCAAGTGATACACTTTATAATCGCAATTACAAATACAAAATAAAGAGAAGGACATGGGATATTGAGACAATTAGATAAATGAGAGCCAAGAAAAATAAAATAGAGAGAGGGGAGACGCGTTTAGATATCTTTATGGGATAAGGGAGGTGATCTGAGAATTTAGAAGGTGTAGTGATATCATTAAAAAATTTTTATAGAACTTATCGATAATAATTTTCTGTACATTCATTTTCACTATTGAGTTTAGTAATCCTCTATCATAACCTAACTCTTTGGCTTTAGTTAAGGAAATGACACTGATAGCGGAGGGGTGACACTCTCTCATTTTCTTAGTCGTAAAGTGGCCATTGAATTGCGCCTTAGGGGTGAGAATTGAAAAGAATACTTAAAATTTGATTGGGGACAAAACCAAATGAAGGATAAGAGAAAAATAGGTGTGACTGTGAACTAAACGCAACTCATGTCATGATGGTCCAACAACTTTGTCAAGCCGAAAAAAGAAAATTAGCAGGTAGAGTAATTTCCGGTATGCCAAGTCAAGATAAACGTCGCACGATAATGATTCAAGATTAAAATGGTTAATTAATTTATTAACTAAGTCTTACGAAATCCCGTAATCGGCATGTCTTCCAACACTCTTAAAATCAGTGTTATTAATATTTAAGGGTTAATTTTTTCTAGTTACTCTAAATATATTATCTGCAACGCACGATTTCAATTATATCTTATCGGTAATATATTATTATAATAATAATTTTTCTTTTCTTTTCTCTTCAGACATTCACATTATTGGCTTACGTGGCAGAGAAAAAAAAAATTAACATTATAATTATGTTTTACTAGTAAAACAGTTAAAATTGTGCGTTGCAGAAAAAATGGATAGGTTATTCTACTTACTCTTATTTTATCTACCCTTTCAATATCCTTAGATTACAATCTCATTTAACGGTAGAGATTTACAATATAAAATAAACTCTTTCATCCCTTTCTATCACTCAGTGCCTCTCACTTCTTCTCTCTCCTTCCCCTTCTCTTTCTTCAATGGCTCACATCAAAAAAAGTTGCAAGCTTTTTTCTCAATTCATCCAACTCAGTCATTATTATGAGCATTTACATAAAAAATTGAAATAGAGTGTCAAGACAAAATAAATCCAGATGCCCTATGTTATGGAACCAAGTAGGTCTGTTGTTGGTAGTAATATAGAGAGAACAGAGATCATTTCCCGTGAAAAACAAGATAAGAAGAAGAGATAAGTTGATTCTTTTCAATTTTCAACAGCAAAGTATAAACGTTACATAATCGTAAATTAATTCAAATAGAAGGGTTATTCGTGTTTTTCGTTTTTTTTGTAATTTTGTGGTTTCTGACATATTCAATTATATCAGATTCAATAAATTTTTAAAATTATACTCATCTAGCAGAACTATCATGTCATTAATCATTGCATATATTTAGATTCAAATATAACTTAGGTTGTAAATTAGGAAAATCGATAGAGAACAAAGGAAGGAGAGAGAAAGAATGTGGGAGACAACGAGGAGAAAGAAAAGGAAAAAAGTTTATTTTATTCTGCAAATCTGCATCGTTTGATGAGATTGTAATCTAATAGTGTTGAGAGAGATAGACAAAGGTAGACAAAATAAGAATGGGGAAGGATATTGTGACAACCAAGTTGTGTTACTACTAAGTGACTACCAATTAATCTCACCATTGGATCGATTATGTTGATCCAGCGGTTATATTTATTTCCACCTTTGTATGGTCATGGTTTCCCAAATTTAATACTTTATATTTATTTTCACCTTTGTATGGTTATGATTTCCCATATTTAATGCTTTCACTTTAAATATGAGAAATCATAACCATACAAAGATGGAAATAAATATAACCGTTGGATCAACATAATCGATCTAACAGTGAGATTAATTGATAGTTACTTGGTAGTAACACAACTTGGTTATCACAATATCCTTCTCCAATAAGAATAGGCATAATAACTTATCCGGGATAAAAGGTTATGTAAAATAATAACTTTAGAAACCTTTTTCCAATAATTAATTGAAATAAATTGGGAAAAATAAAATGCTTAGATAAGCGTAAGTGCAATGCTTAATGGAATGGAAAATAAATAAAGTGTTAGTTACTAGTTTTTAAGACTTCGATTACTTCGATATACTGCACTATATCTCTCACCTTTCCTTAATTAAATAATGGTCTTAATTATAAGAAAGGTTTAAGACAAGATAGTATGTTAAGATTTAGACACACATAAGATCTTCTATACAAGGAAACTGCATTCGTTTTCCAAGAAGCGAGCGAGCGAGACAGAAAATGAAAAATGGAAAACGGAAAACCCTAGAGACAAGAATTTTCACATCCTGAAATGGACCAAATTGAGAATATTATACGGGAATAATATTTCTATCAAGGGGCGTTTGGTACGGGAGAAATATTTTTTTTTACCGGAGAACTGATTTCGCTGGAATGTGGTTAGAAACAATTTATCCCAGATAAGTTTTAAAAATATGTTTGATTGATCAAAAATTTTCCAGAAATATTTGGATAAATTTACTAAGTTAATGTTTGGTTGAGTTTGAAATAGTAATAAGAAAGTGGAGTTATTTTACAAAAATAACCCCACTTTTAGTTTTTCTCTCAAATTTAATAATTAAATAACATCCGCATGTGGGTGTCGTGTGAGGTACTTCATTCATATTTGAGAGTTACTCAAATCACCAGTACACAGCTCTGTGTTCACACCCTTTCAAAGACTGGTTCTGCATATGTGGGCGTTGTGAAGACATTGTGGTGGGCTTCGTTGACGGAGACGGAGATCTGCACACAAGCATTCAAGAGTTTGTCCTCCGTTGGAGTTGAGTGGAGAAGGTGCCCGGAGTTCGACACAAGGTTCTATATCAATTGTAGATGTAACAACATCAGAATTACCTGTGAAAATGAAGGTGTATCTGTGGCATAAGTGGAACAGGACCTTGTTGAATGGCAAAGGTTATTTTCGTAATCCTCTTCGCGGTTCACATTTCACTTCCCCGAGCAACGACGAAAGACGTATTTGAGATGGACAACATGTTTCCATTGCCGTACATGAAATCACACGTGAAATGCAAAATACGGGACAACTTCTTGCCGGGGATAATTGCTATTTTTCTGGTACCAAACACTGTTATTTCTAGTTTCGGATGTTGCTTTCCCAGGGATGCAAAAATTATCTCAGTACCAAACGCCCCCTGATAGATAAATTTTATCTTTTATAGATTACCAAATTTTTTTTGTTATCTTTTATACAAATAAAAATATGTGGAATATATATATATATATATATATATATATATATATATATATTATTTCGCTTTTATTAACATAATCCCACATGAACCTTATACACTTTTATATGTACGTAGAAGTTAAAATTATCTCATATAACACGAGAAACATGAATCACATACTTTATGGAATAAGTTATAGAGTAAAGTTTCTTTTGGATCCCTGACAAAAAGTACGGTCCCCAATTCCATCCATTACAAAAAAAAAATAGTCCTAAGGTCCCTAAAAATTCAAAGTGGACTCATTTACTTGAAATCGTGGTCCCTCACAAATTTTAAAAAGTCCCACATTAATCTCTCAAAATGACTAACATGGATCCATTTTGAATTTCATAGGTACCAAGCGATTAATTTATTTTTTGTAATGGACTAAAATGAGGACCGTGTTTTTCGTTAAGGATCCAAAAGAGCTTTACTCTAAGTTATATTTACAAACTATATTATATATTCCTGAGAGTACATAGTGTAACTTGTAAGATTTTGTAAACAAAAAATTTGTAAATATAATTTTTCCTGTTTTATATATGGGGTTTACATTTCTCAAATTGTTACTTAATGTCCAGACAATTATTTATCATATATATAGGTGATAGTATTAAATATGAGGAATCATAACTGTACAAAAAGTGAAAGCATTAAATATGAGGAATCATAATAGTATATCTATCATTTGTTGGACGAGACCGGAAAAATGATGGGATTATTGGTTGTTATGTCACTGGATAGTTAAGTCATGATTAAAATACGTCGTTTTGTTTATTTATTTCCTTATATTAATTGATTCACTTTTGTATGGTTATATATGTTTCATTTTTTTTCTCTCTTCATTTATTACAATTGATTCACTTTGTACGATTATAATTTAATAACTGGACATAAGCTTATATCCAGTGACTTGACACTCGCATAACCTATATATATATGGTAAAATTATTTATCCGGCTGCTAGACGTCCAACAATAAATGCTACATCGTTGATTGGTTATGATTCCCTGCATTTAATGCTTTCACCCACTTTTATATGGTTATGATTTCCTAAATTTATTTGCTGGTCGTCAAACAGTGGGAGAGAAGCATAGCTCTCTCTGTATATATAGTAAAAATTTTTCTACGGCCGCTTTATGTACAATAATAATTAATGTATGGTTACTATTCTCCACATTCAATGCTTTTATCTTTTGTAGTTTATTGCTGCACAGTTGCAGAAATATAAATATATATATATATATATATATATATATATATGAATAAATATCTTTACAGCTACTTTAGATAAGGTTATTTATATCTACCTTTTATAACTATGTATTTCCAGAAATATATATTTATAATATTAAAGTTATTTTGTTTTCTCTCCTCAGTCACTTTTCAAAACCTAAATGAAGATAGAGAGGAAAAAACAACTTTAATGTCATAAACTTATAACTATGGATTTTATAAGAGTTATGTTATAGGAAAAATGACTGTGTAATGTTATAGAGATTCGTCAAACAGTGGGAGAGAAGCATAGCTCTCTCTGTATATATAGTAAAATTTTTTCTACGGCCGCTTTATGTACAATAATAATTAATGTATGGTTACTATTCTCCACATTCAATGCTTTTATCTTTTGTAGTTTATTGCTGCACAGTTGCAGAAATATAAATATATATATATATATATATATATATGAATAAATATCTTTACAGCTACTTTAGATAAGGTTATCTATATCTACCTTTTATAACTATGTATTTCCAGAAATATATATTTATAATATTAAAGTTATTTTGTTTTCTCTCCTCAGTCACTTTTCAAAACCTAAATGAAGATAGAGAGGAAAAAACAACTTTAATGTCATAAACTTATAACTATGGATTTTATAAGAGTTATGTTATAGGAAAAATGACTGTGTAATGTTATAGAGATTCGTTTTGCGTGATTAATTTTTTTTTTGGCTTCAAAAAATGCGGGCCCCACAAAATGTTGTAAGTGTAAGAAACTTTTGTGTGTCATCTGACATAATAGATAAAACCCCTATAATTATATACTTTCAAAATTACGTAATTTTTTTTTTTGGTACATCTCAAAATTACGTAATTATTAAAGAATAACTATAAATAACCTTATTCAAAATAATTATAAAAATATTTTCTCATATATATATATATATATATAAAATATTTTGATAGCGCATGACAGCTCATAAAACCCGGTCTCTACGTACACACAGTCACAGAGACTCGGTTGGCGAATTCCATTCTAAATCTGATGAACCAATGTCCCTTTATGTGTTTTGGATGATTCAAATGTGTTGACAAATTCCAATTGGAGATTCGGAGTGAGGCTCTGGGTACTGTTTGGGGAAACTTAATCATGTCTTCCACCACCTTCAGTCCCTCTCGGAGCCCCGGACCCGGAAGTTCAAGGTTTCAGTTAGCGGCTATATCCAGGTTGAGATCCTCCTTCCTCAAGAAGCTTCCGGAGCCTCTACGCCGTGCCGTCGCCGACTGCCTCTCCTCACCCCTCACTTCCACCATTGAACCTTCAAGGACCCTTCGGGTTCGTCATTTTCCTTTGATTCTCCCGATTTCCCTTTCGATTCCCGGTTTTTGTTTTTCAATTTTGCAGAGCTTTAATCTTGATTTGGTTGTCGTTATAATTTGGAATTCATGGCGCTTTTGGTAATGGAAAATAAAATTAAAATTCGGCATGGCTGGAGAAAAATCAATTTTTTTTTTCTAAGTTTTTTCGTAATGTGGACTGTTTAGCTGAAATAGTGTTTTCTCTCTGATGCCAAGCAATGGAAAGTCGTTCGTCTTAATCCTCATTGCACGGAAAGTAAGTAGGATCAAGTGATCAACCTTAGTTTCTTACACATGCTCAGCTATATAAGAATGATAACTTTAGTTTAGAAGTGGGAAAGGACAGTTCTGTCAATGCTATGGGCGATTTAAAATGCGGGGCGTTCTCAAAGTTAATTATCAGTTATTCTCATCCTTAATAATTAATTTTCTAGTTTAATCTCTGATTAATTCTCACTATGATTTTCTTAACTTAAGTAATAAATAAATGCTTTTTTATTATTTATAATCCCCCGCCCCCTAGTTTTTTTAGTTATTTTTCAAAAATTTACACGACAAGTATTGCTACATGTACCAGAAATTTTAAAAGTAATTTCTAAGTAAGCGATGATACTTGCCTCTTTTTCTTTTCGTTCTTGTTGTTAACTCATTATGCAGGCAGTGCATCAATTTACCCGGGACACAACTTGGAAAAAAGTGTTGTAATTTAGTGTATAACTTTTAGTGCAAATGTCGCTTCCCTAATCTTCGTTTCGTGAAGTTTAAAATATTATACCATCTATTCTAATGCAAACAATTTGTATCAGCAATAAGTCTTTTCAAGTATTTGTATACATGGCTGAATGTGAAAGCAATAGCTTCGTCAAATTAGGATTCCTTATTTTGCTGGGAGGCAAACTGAATTCATTATGCTTTCTCCACATGTATGAACTTTACTAGCTGCCATATAATTTTGTACACTATTTTCTGGCCACCTTTTAATGCCATGTGTATCTGTCATCATTCATGATACACTATGACTGAAATCCCATACGGTTGCAAATTACAATAACACACAAGGTCTTGACTAATTTTATGACCCAAATGTATGATTGCAGGACTATCTGGCAGCCCCTGCAACCACAGATTTGGCTTATAGTGCACTTCTGGAGCATACTATTGCAGAGAGGGAGCGAAGGTAATTGTCCCATTTGTTTGTTGACAAGGGTTATATAATGATCTGTTGCACAAAACCATTATTCTTCTTAGCATCAAATTTTTCACATGGATAGCCTTGTATTTTTGAGACTTATTATGCAACTGTTTTACTTCTTGTGATTTAGATTTGCATTGTTAATTATTTCTTCGTTACATTGCTGTTTAGTATTATGTGAACCATTTTGAGTTCCAATTTCTTCTGCTAACATTGACTCCATTTTCACCAGTCCTGCAGTAGTCAGAAGGTGTGTGACACTTCTGAAACGGTATCTTTTGAGGTATGTTACTTGAATAAATGGATATTCTATTTTATCATGACATTTTATCTGTCGGACATCATCTGTCTCTCTGCCGTCCTCATTTCTTGAAACTGTATGTTACTATAATGTTAACTTATTTTACACCCCCCATCCCCACACCCAATCTTTAACTTCACACCAAAAAGAAGAGAGTATTGTTACTGTAGTCTCTGGCCATTCTTGCCTATGCCAAAAAGTCTTGGAATATGGATTGGGCTTTTCTGTTTGTTTTGGGGGAAGGGGGTTGGTGATCCTTTAGACTTGGTGTCATTTTGTCATCTGTTAGGTACTCTTTTATTGATAAATGATAACTTGAATGCATTTTCTTTAGATTCATACTTGCAGCTAACATTTTTCCTTTTATGCCTTCATATTGGACATGAAATCATCCTTTTGTTAGTTGCTATGTATGCTATTAAGAGTTCTCAACTAGTTAATTTATACAGATACAAACCAAGCGAGGAGACTTTACTTCAGATAGATCGTTTTTGTTCAACCATTATTACTGAATGTGATATTAACCTGAATCGACCATGGTCAAGATCTTTGAATCAACCATCGGGTGCATCAACAACATCTGCAAATACATCTCCTTTGCCTGTATCTAGCTTTGCTTCTGAGGCAGTTGTGAAGTCACTGAGTTATGTGCGTTCCCTAGTGGCGCAACACATTCCAAAGCGGCTTTTTCAGCCAGCTTCATTTGCTGGACCACCTTCTGCATCTGGACAATCGCTGCCAACATTGTCAACGTTGTTGAGTAAATCCTTCAATTCCCAGCTGTGTCCAGCAAGTGTACCAGAAACACTGGAGAAGGATTCAGCCACTTCATTGGTTTCAAAGTCATCAAAAATTGAAAAAATTGATGAAAAGGATGAATTTGGGTTCATTGCCCATGATGTTCTGCAATGGCGCTGGCTTGAGGAACAGCAGTCATCATCAATGCCAAATGAAAAGTAAATAATCTTTTATACTTGGTGTTGGTTTACAGGTGTAGGTGTTTGGTTAATGGTTGCTGCAACTCACATTTCTGCTATTATTGTTAATTTATCCCATTTTATATTGCTTCAGAAATTTATTTTGTTTTTCAAACATGTTTAATACAGTGATAGTGCTGTGAATTCGCAAGACATGAGAGCACATAATTTCTTAGAAGTAGGTGCTGCAGCTCTACTTCTAGGAGACATTGAAGCTAAGATGAAGGGGCAACCATGGAAATATTTTGGAACTGATGATATGCCTTACTTGGATCAACTATTGCAGTCTTCTCCAGTAACATCAATTACTAATTCTGCATCTGCTCGTCCCCACCTAAGAGCAATAACAGCATCTAAACGCACAAAAACAGGCCCCCATCAAGTTTGGCATGTTCTTCAATCAGATAACTTTTTGCTCTGATTTTTTTTTATTCTCTCTCTCTCTCTCTTTTGTTTCATTTTGCTTATTAAAGGAATTTGGAGAAGTTTGGGCCTTGTTGCATTAGCGTGCTAGGAAATTTCTTACCCATTAGGCATATTTGTGTTAGGAGTGTTATTGTATTGGTGTTTTACCTGGAATATTAATACGAATATAGGAGTATTAATCCCTATAATTTTTATAGACACATTTGAGGGCTATGTTGCATTGATTTTTTAAATTCAGGTTTTCTGTTTCTAATATATTTTTGTCTTGTTTTTATGTTTATTTTTAGGTGATCTCTTATTATAGTTCCTATAATTTTGTTCTTTCCTCCTTTATAAATTTATCTTATTCTTAAAATATTGTCTATGCAGTAATTTTGAGTTTTGCTAGGCAATAACTTTGTTAACCGCAAATACATAAAGAATTAAATGTTCCTTGAATTAAAATGCTGTTTATATGAGTGATATTTTATGACAAATAATTGAATTGCTTTGTTACAGTTTAATATTTTCTTTTTCACTCACAGTCACAAGGTGAATCAGAACATCTGTTTATTTTTTTTCACTACTAGTGATTTGTTAAATGCTTTTGATGATGTCATTTGCTATTCTGAACATCGCGTTTTCTACAGGGAGGATTCTCCTGTGAGTACATTCCGTCCTCGAGCTCGACAGCTCTTCCAGTATCGTTGTTACAGGTATAGATAGAAGAAAATTTCAAAATAATTTTATAACAAGTTTTTGTTCCTCCATCCCAAAACACATGTTTTCAGTTGTGTATCGCTTTGGACAAATCAAATGGCTGTAATTGCTTTCCAATTCAGATTCCGAAATTTGTTCATCATTCAATGAGAATTAACTGCAATAAGAAATATATAAATTTAATGGTGGGAATTTCTATTATAATAATATGTGATCCTGTAACTTTTAGGTTTACATAAAGAGACCCTCGATATACTGCTATAGTTTGCTCTGGAATATATTACCTCATGTTTCCTTATCATATGTTTGCTTATATAAGTGCTCTGACTATGTAATTCTTTTGGAGAGGAAGTTCTGTGACCTACGCATGATTATGAAAGCATATAGGCATATTTTTCATGCATATTAACCTTTCTGTTTAATCACCATCTTCATCCGTTGTCTCCTCCTTCTCTTCCTTTCTGATTCTTGACGGCTGTTTTGATTTATTTTCTTACTTTCTGCTTACGTTTGAATCCATATTAATTATTAATTATTTTCATCAAAATACATCATCAACATCAACAACACGTTTATCCCAAATTAATTGGGGTCGTGGTAGAGGAACCCAAATGAAAAGTACGTAAAGATTGAGGAAAAAAAAAAAAACCAAAAAAGAAAGGGTAAAAATAAATTTTAACAAATATTTAAGTAACACTAAAAATGTCATGAGTTCGAATCCAGGAAACAACCTTATTGCAATTATGCAAGGGTAAGGCTGCGTACAAGGATTTCCTCCACCCCACACTCGCTAGTCGGGTTTAACGGGGAGTGGTTTTTATATAAGTAACACTAGAAATTAAAAAATATAGCAGAAAACAATTAAAAAGAAAAAGAAAATAAAATAACGATAAATAAAAGAGAAAAATACATAGGAGAAAAAAGATAAGAAAAAATTGCTATTAATATTAATTAATTATTATATTTCTTGAACAGAAAATTGCATATTGCTTGTGTTTTCATAGAAGAAATTTTCAGTTATTGATCATCCACTGGTTATTTATAATTGATTTATTGTCTCTTTCTATACATCTCAAAATATTATCTTGCGCTGACCAGTGAGCAACAGCCTTTGCGACTGAACCCAGCCGAGGTATGTGAAGTTATTGCAGCAGTTTGCTCAGAGATTTCTTCACCAAATACCAATGTCATGACAATGTCAACTAGGCTACGCAATAACGGTGGAAAACCGTCAATGGATGTGGCTGTGAGCGTCCTTATTAAACTAGTTATTGACATGTATGTTTCAATGCACTTGTTGTGTGTTTATGTTTTATTCCATTCTTGATCACCAACTGTTTATCCCAAATCATGTCTTTCTCTCGGTGCTAATGTTTGCATCAAAACTTGACTACATATTCCTGATTTTTATTATTAAAACATTATTTTGGGAGTCCTGTCTCATCACAACTTAAAAAACAAATAGGCTGATTAAAAATAATTATTGAAGTACTGGAAAGGAAGGAATTAATTTTGGAAATCAGGGGAAAATGATATGGGGTTATTGTTTACATTTTGATGGTAGGTGTGCTGTTCTGTTAGTTGATCATGTATGATGGCCACAAAAAATATTGTTTTGCAGGTATGTTTTAGATTTTCGGATTGCTACTCCACTCACTCTTTGTATGCTTGAGGTGATGTATAAAAAAAGTACTTTTTCCTATTATGCCTATATTTTTAAGTGTTTTTTTGTTCCTTGTTACTAATTTAATTTTCAAATGCATCTTTCAGGAGATGCTTAGTTCTTCTGAAACAGCTTGCAGAGTTCGAGCATTTGATTTAATTCTAAATCTTGGGGTTCATGCTCATCTCCTAGAACCAATGATAACTGATGATGCTTCCACAATTGAAGAGGAATATTCTCAAGAATCTTTTTATGACAGTGATACTCAATTTATGGCCCAGGGGAGCAGAAAAGGAAATTCTCAGAACAAATTGGATACTTTCTCTGCAATTGATAATTTAGAGTCTTGGATTTTAAATATTTTGTATGAGATACTACTTCTTCTGGTACAGGTATTATTGATCCTCCTTTCCCTATTGACCGACATGTAGTAGAAAAAATAATTCTTAGGAGAATATTATTGCTTTTGTTTCTTTATAAATTTTCTTGGCTAGGATAATTTTATTGATTGTCTTATTGCTTTCCTTATTGAGATGGTTTGGGCATATAATGCGAAGACCCCTAGATGCTCCTATGAGAACAGAAATTTGTTACAAAAAGCTTGATACAAAGAGAGGAAGAGGTTAGCCGAAACTTACTCAGGGGAAAGTAGTAAAACAAGACTTAATGGAGTGAGAATTAAATTGGTGGATGGTGTGTTTTTGGACAGATTGGAGGAAAGCTATTAGCTAGACGCATTTTTCTTCCCATGTTTCAAGCGGTCTTCGTCTAGTCTTTTTTTCCTATATTTCCCTTTTTGTTTATTTATTTATGTATTTTCCTATCTAATTTATTTTTTCCTTTTATTTATCTATTTTTACTATTTTTAATTAATTTTTTCCTCTTATTTATTTTTCTTTCTTATCTATATTTATTTTCACTTTCTTTTACTTTTTTTGTATTTTTCTTTTTAAATATTTATTTCTTTCTTCATTTATTTTATTTTATTTATTTTCCCCTTCTTTTCTCTCGATTTTCATTTGGGTTCATCTATCACTTATCTGAATTAGTTTGGGATAAAGTTATTGTTGATGTTGATTTAGTAATTACTTCTGTTATATATGATATGCTGTTGGACGATGTTATAGATGGGTTGGTCAAATCTTTTTGGAGGAACAAAATGAGGAAAAGGGTGTTTTGTCACTGTTAAAGGTCTTTTTTTTTTTCTTTTCAATTTCTTTTTTTAATAGTACTTCAAATTCATATCTTGTTACTTGTTCTAATATCAAAGCTTCAAATTTGAAGGTCTATGGAGAACTGAATGCTTGCTTTTTGAATGTTGTGCCAAGTTAGTAAAGTAATCATTGATGCAATCGAAAGTCCTTGTGCTTGAAAAATTATGATATTTGCATGTCCTAATATGCTGTTTTATTATTTTTTATGAAATAACACACATTCAAATGGGATTATGCAAAAGGTGGATTGAAGAATTAGGAGCAAGAAATTTTGATGATGGTTTGCCAAGGTTTTAGATCTTTAAGAAAGATTGTGGTCACTCACTTTGCTTTGGTGGATTAATAAAGCTTTTTGGTTGTATATTTCATATGAAGATTATTCGAAGAGGAACCTTACAGTTGGTGTTGTTGCCATGTGATCACGAGGTCACTGGTTCAATTTATGTAACCAGCCTCTTGCAAATGTAATGTAAGGCTGCCTACTATAGTCCCGGACAATTGTTTGGCCCTTCCCTAGACCCTGCACATAGTGGGAGTTTTTAACACCATGTTACTCCTATTATTTCATATGAAGATTTTTACAATAATTGTATTGTCTCTCAGCTCTATTTTTGATAATGGTCTGATCATGCCGTTCTCGTAACATTTTATACAGACTGAAGAAAAGGAGGAATCTGTCTGGGCGTCTGCACTCAGTTGTTTGCTTTATTTTGTCTGTGATAGAGGAAAGATTCAGAGAAACCGATTACAAGTTCTTGACATAAGGGTGAGAAATGCTATTCCCCTTATTTTTATCTACCAGAATATCATGGAAATCCCAATTTTGTTTCGTACTGCATTCTATTAGGTTTGTCCCTTCCCTTTAGTATAGTGTAACTTTTAATGCCAAGCCTATTCTTCTTCTCTGTCAAGTCCATTTTACTTTCATAGTTTCATGCTACTTCCTTTTCTTTCTTTTCCTTCATTCTTTGTCCTGGTCTGTAACCACTCATTGAAGACAAATGATTGGAACCGTCTCTTTCATAGTTACTATCACATAATCCTCATCTTCATTGTCTCACTATGATTTTCCCTATTTGTCTCTCTCTTGGTGGCTCCAATTTTCTCTCACTACTTAAATCTTCATAATTTTTTTTTCATTTCTATCTCCCTCTCTTTCACTTCTTTCCTATCATAGTATGCAGAAAAGTTGCTCTTTTGTGATCGAAAGGTCACGGTTCGAGTTTGGAAAGCAGTCTTTTTGCAAAAATGCAAGTGTAAGGCTACCTACAATCGACCCTAATCCATAGCCTTGCAAAGTCGGGGGAGCGTTGTGCACCGGGATTTGCCCTTTTTTTGTCCGAGCAGCAAGCATTGTTGTTGGCCAAATAATTTCTGTAAAATTTTCTTGATCATGTTTTACATAACAGTTTTTTTGAATGAAATGACACACAGGATATACTTCCAATTCTACTCTCTAGCTATTCGTTAGTTTCCAGTATTGTGTCTTCCTTATCTATGGCTACAGTTTGTTTATCTCCCTTATAGGACATATGGCTATATGATAGGAGCAGATATAATAAGATAAGGAAAGTTGGGAAAATAACAATGAACAAGACTGAATCCTTCACTATTCCAATCCGGAATTACAGTAATGAAAATACTATTTGTAACTGAAAGGAAAAATTACAATAATAGTCTCCCAAGTGTTACTACTACCCAGAGCAATTGGAGAGGCCCTGTTCTCTCCCAATCCCAATACCAAAAGGTCCCAGTATTCCCAAGATGCTCCCAAAATGATCCTCCACTTGCTATTTGTAACCAACCTCCTGTGATGCCATCCGCGTGACTCTAACCCCTTGATTTCCCTCTAACCAATTGATGCTGACTCAGCAATTGTAAGAGGGGCTGTAATCCTCTACTTCTCTTCCTCTCGTATACCCTGTTAGATTTATTTCTAGGCACAATCGTATCACTATACGTAAGTTGTGTTGCTTTATGAAATCAAGCCACAAAACAATTTTTAAGACTGGAGTTTGTTAATCAAGTCTTTTTTTGCGTTGGGTCTTTATTTAGCCTTTTATTTCTTTATTTGGATTGTTAATGTGCTTTATGTCAATATAAATATATAACCATTATTGATGATGTCTCTGTTTAATTTAGTTACATACCCTCTGCATTTAGGTTATCAAAGCACTAATAGAAACCAGCAGGAGGAATTCTTGGGCAGAATTAGTTCATTGCAAGCTTATTTCCATGTTAGCTAACATGTTTTATGAAGTTCCTGACGAAGTTGTTGAGCCTTTACCTAGCACACCAAAGTTTCTCGTGAATCAACTTGATCTGATTGGAGGAGTTCAATTTCTTTTTCGTGAGGTATGAATATTTTCAACCCCAAACTTGAGATACTTCCAATAGGGAGCGGAGATAAGACGTAGGATTTATTATTACAATACTGTCGTCTCTTTAAATTAATAAATTGTGAATACAACTGTTTATTGCCAATTAAGCTGACAATATTGAGCGCTGTACATTTCTGTATTATTTATCATAGGGGAAGGGGTTGTTACAAACTTACAATCTATAGTGAGAGTGATTATTACCAGTGTCCTGCTACATATATAATAAATATAACACCGACTATTAACTACGGTTACTATCTAAAGATATACCATTATGAGCAAATGGGTTGGTTGTTACGATATATAATGGTAAGGATATGTGATTCTAAAATAGAGAAGATCCTGACTAATCATCTCCCTATCAAAATTATTGCCTATGAATTTTGATTTCAGCATTCAAGGACAACAAGCATTTCCAATTTTCCTTATAAGACATCACTTAATTGAAGTCATACACTTGCACTAACGGTTTAAGTTTTTGGGTTTAATTGATTTTTTATATGATATCAGAGCCTCTATGACAAAGTGGTCTGGAGTTCGATTCTTGCTGCCCCATTCTTCTAATAAATATTTAATTGTGGAATATTTTAGCACATGTAGATGGGTGTGTGCATTATCCACCCTTCAAGCCTAATGAGCGCTTGTGTGAGGGTGTGTTAGAAATATAATATAAATATAAAACCCATTCATTTGCCTTCACCTAATATTTTAACCTTTTGGATTGAATTGGTTCTTTACATGTATATATTTTCAATGTGTATGCTATTTTTCTTTATGGGGCTGGGAGGAGGAGGGGGGGAGGTTTCAACTTATGCTATTTCCAATGGCAATACTTCTTAGGTTATATAAATCATAATTGACGTGCTCATAAAACTTTTTAGAATAAAATCTTTATACAAATATAAAAAGCTACTATCTTTATATACCAAAAAAAAAAAAAAAAACTACTATCTTTGGGAAAATGGTCCTATCCATGTTGATAGATGTTGAATCTAGGAGCTGGTAATAAATTATTTCTGAAATATTTCACATTCTCTAAAGTTTTTGGACTCACTTGAGAGTTGAGAGTATGGCTATATATTATTGAAACTACTCAGTTCATTCTGTTCCCTAAGTAGGAGACTTAAGGTGATTAATGTATCATATATTTTATATTGATTGCTGTGCCCAATATAAATTTGCCATATTGTTTGATTTACAAGATTCTTGTCTTTGTTTTCTACAAGAGTATAAAGTGTAGAATAAAGTCCTGAATTAAGGTCATTGTTATATTTTAGTTTCGAATTGCCAATACTTGTATGATTCCCCCTCATTTTTTGGTGTTGGATGCAGTATGCCCTTGTGAACTCAAGAGAAGAGAGGAAAAATCTGTATTTGGTGCTTTTTGACTACATTCTGCATCAAATTAATGAAACATGTGTAGCTACAGGAGTCAATGAATATAGTGATGACGAGATCCAACCACTTGCTACTCTGCTTGCTCAAACAAATGCAGCTGAGGCATTTTATATTTCTGTTAAACTTGGGGTAGAAGGAATTGGGGAGCTTTTGAGAAGATCAATTGCATCTGCACTGTCCAGATATCCCAACAGTGAACGTCTAAATACGGTACTTCCATCTTTCTTTTTTTCTTTTTTTACAGGTATAATAGTTTTATGTAAGCTGCTGAGTCTTGAAAAATATGCTTTATTTTTACATGTCTTCTTTGTTAAGATAAGAGTATACTTTTCAGTGTACATAGAGGGTTAGTCAATGTCACTTTTACATACATTAACATCGTCAACATCCACATCACTTTTACCCCGAACTAATTGGGGTTAGCGAGTATAACATATAAATACATTCAGAATATTATTCAAAGCCTTTTTTTTTTCCTTTTCCATCTGACCCTCTAATCTCAACCAGGGGCAAGGGCTATACTTTTTCATGAATTCCAGTGAGCTCCTCTCACTCTCTCCTTGCCCTTCCTTTTCCCTTACCTTGGCAGGTGTTTCGCATGTGGATTACGGGTGTTCTTTTTTTACTATTACATATAGTTTCGTTTGATACAGTTATCAAATAGAATGGAAAATATAAGATTATGCAGTCATCGTGGGTATAAAGTTAATATGAAATACTACCAAGCTTTTGGGAAGTTAATATAAAAGTTCATTTCATACCTTCAAGTTTTCACCTAACAACTTAATCTTTTGGGATGATTGGTTTTTGAAATGGTATAAGAGCCTCTATGATCCAGTGGTCTAGAGTTCTATCCATGCTGTCCTCTTTTTTCTAATAAAAAACACAAGGTAAATAAGTCTTTGCATTGTCTATGTTTTGCATGAGGAATATTTCATTCATGTGTCTTCATGTAACAGTTTAAGTTTTTGGAATAGTTGGTTCATGACATATGGAGATGGTATTAGTTGTATTGTTGAAGATTTTTTTCTTTTTTTTAATGATCGCATTTATTAGTCCTGACTGATAGATGATAGAACAATTATAGTTTTTTTTTTTGGTATATAATTATAGTTTTTTTAATAATAAGAAAGAGTTACAGTTGTTTTAGTTCTTTCTGTCTAACATAAATATGTCATTCATTCATTCATTGTATTACTGATGAACTTTGACCCTCATAAGGATGTCCTTGTGATTCATAGAATTCGGAGTTGCGATATTTTTGAGGTAATGCTAAATTGTTGTCTAGTGGTTGGCATTCTTAAATTCAAATTCTATTATGCACATTTATGGGAATTGAAGACGTGATTTGTTTTTTAATTCAAGAAACTTTATGAGTGAGTTCAGTCTTCCTTCATCTCACTAACAATTGTTGCAAGCATAAATAACTGACCAGAAGAACGACTGACAGGCCAAATCAGTTAGTGCTTTTGATGCACTTACAGTTGACCTATTTCACATGGCCCAACCATTGATTCAAGAAACTTAGAGTCAACCAGAGTTGTGGCCCAATAAGTATGGACCAATTGTTGAAAGAAGCAGTGATTTGAAATATAACAAATTACGATCAAATTCAAGTTCAGCAGCAGATATAATTGTAATTTGTTTGGCAAGAAAAGGAAAGCAACACATTTGACATGATTTGAGATCTAAGATTTTGGATGTGTTTTGAATGATTTAATTGTGATTATTTATTTATTTTTGGAAGTTAGTTACCATTATATTTATGTTAGGAATTTTCTTATTTTTAGGATTTTAGATTTTGAATTTTGGATCAACTTGTAATTAGTCAATAAAAGGGTGCTTATGACCCTTATTGTAGGAGTTGAATTTTGATATTTTGTTAATAGAAATTGAGAACCGAGGGGTTACTCTTTTATGTAATCCTAACTTTCTGTTTAGTCACATTTTCTATGCTCTTTCGGAATTATTTGGTAATCAGAGCTCTGGTTGTCACATAAATGGCTGAACAGAACAATGGTGGTCGAGGTTGAGGTCGTGGATGACGGGGTTGAGGCAGATGCGGTAGAGGGCGTGGTAACACCCTTAACGGCGACGGCGAATAGGCACACATTGACATGCGAGACGCCACAATTGTAGCTGCAATGGCTGCTGGAATGACAGAACAAGATAGAAGAATTAAGGAGCTCGAACAACTGTTTGTCCTAACACAGTTTTACGAGTCAGATGAAGGAATGGAGTCTGAAAGATCATCTTATGTGGAGGAAAGGAGCGAAAACCCATTCTGAAACCAGGAGCGACAAGGACGAAGTCAACATGACAATAAATGCTTTTTTCCTAATATTGGGATGAAGATTGAGATCCCAGAATTCGAGGGCGATACTCATCCAGATGAGTTTATCGACTAGTTACACATCGTCGAAAGGGTCTTTGACATCAGAGACTTGACATAATACCAGAAGGTCAAATTGGTCGCTATCAAACTTAGGAAACATGCCTTAATTTGGTGGGAACCCATTAAGAAGCAGCGAACCAGAGAAGGGAAGTCGAAGATCAAGAGTTGGGATAAGATGAAGAAACTGTTGCAACAAAAATTCTTACCTATTCGTTACCAGCAAGAGGCATTAATTGAGTACCACAATCTCAAACAGCGAGACCTGTCAGTTAAACAATATACCGCTGAATTTGACTATCTACGGATACGCTGTGATATCACAAAGGAGGACAAACAATTGATTGCTCGTTACCTGGGAGGTTTGCGAATTAAGATCTCAAATGTTCGAATACCTGCAACCAGTATTGGTCATATAAGGATGTATGTTGACTGGCTTTGAAGGTAGAGGGACAGTGTAAGAGAAAAAGAGGTACTTCAAAATTCCAACTTAGATTTTCTAACAACGAGGAGTTATTGAGCTCAGCAACTAACACTAATGCGGGGAAGACTCTTTATAATCATAAACCAGTGAGTAAAGAAGGATCAACCAATGGTGGAGCAAAAAAGATTGGTGTTGCAATGCAGAGGTGTTTCAAGTGTCAGGGGATCGGACATTTCGCTACGAATTGTCCAAATCAGCAGATTGTGATGCTTATTGAAGCTCCAATTTATGATGATGTCCCTGTCTATGATAAATCTGAAGAAGAGAAGAACAAAGAGTATCCACTCTATGACGAGGTCTCTACCTATGATGAATCTGACGGAGAGCAAGATGATGAGAATCCAATTGTTGATGCTCTGGTTTATGACAAATTTCCTGTCTATTTTAAGTATGGTAGGGAGCATGACGATGAGAATCCAGAGGAGGAAGAAATCTCTTATAGTGATTTCAGTGTAAAGTCAGTTACTAGAAATTCTATTATATCAGACAAAACTGAAGTTCTATCCGAAGATGCCATGGGGAATGCTTCTTCGTTTGAGAAATCTTTAGTTTGCAAGCAAAATTATGAACTTGGGTACAAGGGACATGGCAACCTCGTGCTACATGGAGATAACAATTTAGCTTTCGGTAGAAGTTTAATTGGAGATCGTCAAGGGCAATCCGACTTTATGTTACCTTAGGCAAAATTTTTCTATGATGGATCACAGATGCGATCACTGAACCAAAATAGTCTTTTTGGGATAGTCTATGGGTTTAGTCCACTTACCCTCTTAGAACTCGCATTATTTCTAGTTCCCAAGCAGTTTAGTTCAAATGTAGATGAACATTCCAAGCATATCAAAGAATTGCATTCACAAGTACTACCCTAAATTAGGGAATTTGGTGATATTGTACCAGAAGAGTTGCCATATGGATTACCACCTGAAGAAGTTGACATCAATGAAGACGACGCAGATTCGAGGGCGAATCTTTTCCTAGCGGAGGAGGATGATGCACCCGAGCTGATTGTTTGGATTCAGCTCAAATTTGGATAGCCAACTCAAAATGGGCTTCTAAGCAAGACTCGTTGCGTTGCCATGGACATCAACAATTTTGAGCTTTTCCATAGTTTATTCCATAATTTAGGGCTTTTCAATAATTGTTAGTTATTTACTTTTTTTGTTATTTCTTAGATTATGTTTGAGTGTGCGTTGATGGTACGTTATCTCCTTTATTGTGCATGATTCCTTTTGATTTTGATTTTATTTTATTTTGTTTGCCTCTTTAAGGTTTGAAGAACCCTATTGTTATTTGGTTGTTTTTGGTTAGTAAAATTCAGAAAAGAGAAATAGTTTTTCTCGCAATCCTTGTTTTCAGTCTTTCTTTCTGTTTAGCCAATGGGTTACTGCTTCGGCATTATTAATTCAGAAAAGAGAAATAGTTTTCTTCGCAATCCTTGTTTTCAGTCTTTCTTTCTGTTTAGCTAATGAGTTACTACTTCAGTATCATTTAGTATCAGAGCACTAGGTTGCCTTCAACCAATGGCTGAACAGAATCGTAGAGGTCATCGATGGGGGAGTCGTGAAGGCAAGGGACGTGAATTCATTCCTAAAAGAGATAGACAATCACGTCAGATAGACCCACATGGCATAGAAAATGAAGAGCTCAAAAGGTGGATCCGGGATTTGAAGCGACAACTTGTGGAGGCACAGAGGATGAAAATCCAATTTTTGGAGCGATTACTTGTGCGGGCGCAGAGCAGGAAAATTCAAGATTTGGAGCGACAACTCATGAGGGCCTATACTCGAGAAAATCCAAATTTTGAAGCGACAACTTGTGGAGGCACAAAACATGAAAATCTAACATTTGGAGAGGCGACTTGCATGGACAAAGTTGGGCATTGAATCCGAAGAAGGAATGAAATTAGAGGACACATATGATGACGAAGAGGAGGATGTCAATCCCTTGGAGATTTTAAACTAGGGACAGAATTGGGAAGTACGACCTGTAATTCAATCCATTTTTCAAGATATCGAGATGTAAATCAACATTCCTGACTTTGATGTCTACGATCATATCACAATTTATGATGATTATCCGATTGGTGATGATTATTCTATTTATGATGGTTATCCATCTTATGATGAAAATTTAGTTTATGACGATAATCTAGTCTATGATAAATCTGATGGAGAATCTGATGTTGAAGATCTAATAGAGAAAGAATTCTCCATTGAATTTTTACCTAAAGAGATTGATATCAAGATGAAGAAGATTCAAGGACGAACCTTTTCCTAGCAGGGGAGAATGATGCACTTACAGTTGGCCCATTGCACATGTCTCAACCATTAATTCAAGAAGCTCAGAGTCAACCAGAGTTGTGGACCGATAAACTTGGCCCAATTGTTGAAAGAAGCAGTGATTTAAAATATAACAAATTATGATCAAATCCAAGTCCCAATAAAGCAACAGATGTGATTGTGATTTGTTTGGCAAGAAAAAGAAAGCAACATATTTGACATGATTTGAGATCTAAGATTTGATATGTGTTTTGAATGATTTAATTGTAATTACTTATTTATTTTTGGAAGTTAGTTACCGTTATATTTATGTTGGGAATTTTCCTTATTTTTAGGATTTTTGATTTTGAATTTTGAATTTTGGATTAATTTGTAATTAGTCTATAAAATGGTGCTTATGACCCTTATTGTAGGAGTTAAATTTTGATATTTTGTTAATAGAAATTGAGAACCGAGGAGTTACTCTTTTATGAAATCCTAACTTTCTGTTTAGCCACTTTTTCTATGCCCTTTCAGCATTAGCTTTAATTGAGCTGCATCTTCCCTGACTCTAATGTTTGCTCTAATTCACGAAATAATATTAGGATAAATGTTTCACTTGTTTGGTTCAAATAATTGTACTCATTGTTAAATTTTAGCAAGCTATTGTCACTTTCATTTTGCATTGTGACTTTTGATTTTCAAATTTATTTTATCATATATTTGGCTTAACATAAGTCTTCTTTAAGCTGTATGTATATTCATTTGTGTCTTGCTTGTTTCTCTTTAAATCTTTGCAGCTCTTGGAAATTGTAACAGAGAAATTTGACACAATAATAAGTTCATTCACTCATTTGGACAAAGAATTCTCTCATATGATTCAGATAACCAAAACTCAGAAGTCTCTTGAAAATATGGAAGCTGTTGCTCTGAGAAATGGCATTGATCTGCATACAAAGCATTCATGGACTACTTTACATTCCCTTCTTCATTCTGAAAGAATTGCTTATCGTCAAAATGGATATATCTGGTTAGGTGATCTGCTTATTGATGAAATTAGTGGGGAAAGAGATGGAACTATATGGTCAAATATAAAATACTTCCAGCAGAAAATTGCTCAAGCTGGAAAACAGGATTCTTCAGATACATCAGATGCTCCTTTGTCCATTTCACTTATGTGTGGGCTTCTAAAGTCAAAACATAACTATATTAGATGGGGATTTTTGTTTGTTCTTGAAAGGCTTCTTATGAGATGTAAATTTTTGTTAGATGAGTATGAAATGCAACAATCAAGGAGCAGTGATCTTGGGCGTGGCCAGAAAGATTGGCATCTTGAGAAAGCCCATGCAGTGATTGACATAATGAGCAGTGCTTTGTTGTTTCAGATCCATAAGTATGAAACAGACCTCATCAATATTCTGAAAGTAATAATTTCTGAACTCAGAATGCCTTTATTTTTTTCTGAATATCCTCATGTCATAATAATAAGTACTTATAAAAGCACGGGGAACCACATGAAATATTGTTGCAAGTAAATCTGCATGTTCTCTTTGTTCTATCAAGGAAAGAGAAGAACCACTTAACCATATACTTTGCCAATTGGATGTAATTGGGAACCTATTTTGATAGGAACTTCGCATAGTCCTCGTGTCATTAGGAAATTGATGGAGTACGGTTTCTTTACGATAATTTATGTAATCTTGGAAGTGGGTTTATTTGTTAGGTCAAGAAGCGTTTCATGATAAATGAAATTACTGTCCACAAAATCTGAAATCACTTAGGTGGATAAGTAGCTGAATGACAGTTAATATTGGTATTTAATATTTTTTTCTAGATAATATACTTCAAATACAATTTTTTTAATTATAATTTGACTCGTGGTAAAACATTCGGAATATCGTCTGTTTGAATATTTATGGGCTTCTGTTTGAATAATATTTGGCATATTATTCCTGTTTTGCTCAACTCTTTGTTGTTTCTCAACAGATGTGTGACATATTATTCTCCCAATTGTGTCTAAGAGTTCCCCCGGCTATGGCTCTGCCCTATAGAGATGATATGCAGCACAACAGAAGTTTAAAGTGCTACAGTTCAAACAAAAAGTTTGATGGTGATAGTCGCATTCCTAAACAAGATACTTTTCAGTTGGATGAACAAAATGAGGAAGAAGCTGGTAGAAGATCCGGCTGCCCTAATATCTACCATCCGGATCATGAGACTGCATCAATGGCAGCACTTCTTCTCCAGGGACAAGCCATTGTCCCAATGCAATTAACTGCACGTGTTCCTGCTGCTTTGCTATATTGGCCACTTATGCAATTGGCCGAAGCAGCAACAGATGATATTGCATTGGGTGTTTCTGTTGGAAGTAAAGGGAGAGGAAACCTGCCTGGTGCCACATCTGATATTCGGGCCACCCTTCTCCTACTTCTTATTGGTAAATGCACGGCAGATGCTGCTGCTTTCCAGGAAGTTGGTCGAGAACAATTTTTTAGGTGATTGCAAACTTCTATTGTTTTTGTCAAGTAGTTGGCATTTTTATTTATCACCTTTATACATATAAATCATGAATCTTCTTGCATCTGGCAGGCAACTTTTGGATGACACAGATTCAAGGGTGGCATATTATTCTTCGGCTTTTCTTCTAAAGGCATGAATTTGATTTAATTTTTTGTGGTGATTATATATGTATTAGGTCCTTAAATTTCATCCTTTGTAATGGTTTCCTATTACTGCAGCGAATGATGACCGAGAAGCCTGAGAAATATCAACACATGCTTCAGAATCTTGTTGTGAAAGCTCAGCAGGTACTTCCTTTTTTAAGTGATTTGCTTGGAGTTCCTTTTTTACTAATAAATCTGAGATCAACATTTTGATTCTTGCATTTAAACCAACATCATGTTCAAATTCTTATTGTTAATATCTCTAGGAAGTTCTATCCTTAAAATAAAGTTCTCTAGGGTCTTTACTATATGCACTTCTTTGCATTGTGTCTTTAAATAAAAATAATCATATTTTAAATTTCTATATATTTGGTACTTTGGTAACTTAATAATTTAGTATTTTGGTGATTAAATATTAACTTGTCACTTATATGGTTATGCTTTATATTGGCAATGCACAGAGCAACAATGAAAAACTGTTAGAGAATCCTTACCTTCAAATGCGTGGCATAATTCAACTGGCAAATGATCTTGGATTTGACTTGTGATCTTCATATCATGGCTTTCTGGGATGTGATATTGGTTTGGAGTGGATTTGTGGTGGTCCAAGGGATCATCACTACTGGTTCTGAGGATCATTCATCATATCATTCAAATGACTGAGATTGAAACACTTAGCCGGGACATACTTTAACTTTGTAAGCTTCCTTCCGGAAACCAAATTGTGATTTATTTTCAACATGGTGGAAGAGAATATAGTGGCGGCCAGGGAGTTCAGTGGGATTCAATGAGCTCTTATATTATTCTTAGAAATAATTGACAGAACATGCCCTCAATGCATTTCGATCTCTTCAGTGATATTTCTCTGCGTGGGCCATGTTGATATTTGTTATCATGTCTTCATCTGCAGCATGTCTTTCAACCATTGAGAGACCGTTTACTTGGGAAAATTTATTAAACTTTGTGGTTCTGCTGAAGGAGTTTGGCTGCATGGTAAGTGAAAGCCAGTGTTCTGTTCAGGAATACATTTGAACATCATCCTTGATTTTGATTCAGATGCAGAAATGTTGCTGATCTAGGCCTCAACATGTCCTCAGGTACCTCTCTCTCTCTCCCTCCCACTTTCTCTTGCTTTGGTAGTGTTCCATACGAAATAAAGGGACTCTTGCAGGCCTACGATCCACAAATACCCTTCTCCCTTCTCTTGAAATAAATTTTTTAGTGAAGATAAGTTTAGGCCTTTGGTTGGTGTCAAAAGACTGGCTAAACTTCTGTAATATACTAGGTCTCTATGATTCACTGTGCTTCACCTCCATAAGTGAAAAAGTGGCTATATGATGATCAGAGCTGTAGTTTAAAAGAGTTATTTCTCTTATTTTCTCATATTGTTCCGACACCACGCCCCCAAAAACACCACCAAAAAATAAAAAGCTTGCCTCCTAAAATCTATATAAATATAGTATCCATGACAATATGGATATAGGTTGGTTTGTTTCTCATTCATTTGATTTCACATCAGGGAAGAAAATGCCGTATTCACATGTTCTGGTCTGATCATTTTGTATACATGCAGTTGCTGGCTCGTCATTTACATTAGAAGAAATTGTGTGCTGAATTTGCACAGAATAAGATTCCCACCGAGCTGTCTTCAGTTTTGTCATTCATGAAAGGCAATCTATATGCTTGCTTTTTTACTTGGCATAGTGGAGCTTTCATGAAATTCAAAGAACTTTTGTACATTGTCAATACAATCACGGTTCAACAAAATCCTTTGATAGGGACATCATGTGATGCCTACTTTTAGAGGCATCCAAGTTGCTCTCAATTTTCTGTAATTATGTGCTCTATATTTTATTTTGATTTTTTTCCTTTGTGATTTAGCTCTTCAATCGCGGAAACTGTAACATGTATTGAGAAATTACCGTGTAGATAGATATACAGGGTTTTGGAGAGAAAATTTTGTGTAGGGCAGTTCGTTATGTGATTGGATCATGTAATTTCTTGCTTCTTTTAATATATTTGCTGTTAAGATTTGCAAAGTTCTAGATCAGTAGGGGTGACAATTTTTGAGAAGACGTTCGAGTGATTTGTTTTTTAACTTGTATGAAAAAATTAATAGTGTTGTGTGTCAATGTGTAAATACGAAATTAACATGTATTAATCTTTTTATAATTTATTTGTATAGTGTCATGTTAACACAACAATGGTGACAACAATATTCAATATACATGTTATTTGTGTTTTGTTATATGGTGTTATGTTAAGTTGCATAATAAATGATATATTTTGAGGTTAACAACTTATTTGTGTTGTATCAATTTGTATATTAAGCGGTACTTTAAGGTTAACTAGTTATTTGTATTGTTTCGAGGTTAGCGTGTTATTTGTATTGTGTTGTATCCATTTTCAAAATAAATAGGTTGTGTTTGTGTTGAAAGGTCTTAATGTGTTTTTGAATTTGTGGAGTGTTAATATTGAGTATATTTGATTATTTGTGTTTGTGTTAAATTCAGCTCTTGTTGTATCAATTTAAAGTATATCTTATAAATTACAATACGTGCCAATTTATATTATTTATATTTTTATAAGAAAAAAGTGATTTTGATGATTAACATAAATGATAGGTTATTTTGCTCTCTCTTTTTCATGTCTCTCTTTTTTTCATGTCTATCTTTTTTATCACTTTCTAATACCGTTAAATCAAAATTTCATAAGGAGAGATAAATGATAAAAATAATAAATGTTAATTGAGATTCATATTGAAGAATGAAAAAAAAGAAAAAGAAAAAGTTAAAAAGCGTTTTGTATTTATACTTATAGTCATTCACGTGTCTACATATAAATGCTAATTGCTAAAGTAAATTTATCCTGAAACAAGACAAGTGATGTGTTGACCAAGAATTTGTGTTATTTAACGTAAGTGGCTCGATTTTCTTGCACTTTATATTATATTAATGCCTTACAGTTTAGTCCAGTCTCCTCTCGTCACTAGGAAGTAAGGATTAAAATGGGTAAGGTCTGATTAAGGGATTATAATATTTTTGTATTTATATCTCCATCTAAGAAAAACATGTCTTATTACTTACTCGTGTTAATTAAATGGAATATGCATCTATTGTTTTAAACATGTCTTATATCCTTTCCAAAAAAAAAACATGTCTTATATCTTTTCCCACTTTATTGTTTTGATTAATTTTTTTCCCATTTTATTGTTTTAAATAAGAACTATCAAAGTAATTTTAATTAAAAAAAAATGAATTTATACTTAAAAAAACATTTTCCCTACTAAATAATATGATGACAATGTAATATGAGAGATGTGATATTAACTAAGAAGGGACGATCTAATTAAGTCTTGACTCGAAATTAGTTTTATAATCGATTTAAAAAGTTAAAGTTTGTGAAATATTTAGGAGTTCGACTCACTTCAAAAATATAATTAAAATCGCTATAAAAAACGTGACATTAATTTACGTAAGTCTTAAAATAATGCATTTCTAGTAAACTAAAATTTTGCTTTTTCAAGTTGCGAGCAATATTGTCATAAAGTTAGTCAACAATTTGAATTGGTTATGAGCTTCAGAATTTGTAAACATGGCTTCTTTATTTTTGTCTAACTGTATGTATTATATTATTTTAATACCTTGATTTATGTCTAATTTAATTTCTCAAACTTTTTATTTATTTTATTTCTTTATTACTCAGACTGGTGCGTTGATCGTAACCCGTTAACCCGGAAAAAGGGGCTAACCCGTTGGGTCCCCGCCCCCAACAAGCCATTTTTGTTGAGGTGTGGCGGTGCAACCCAATTGAAAATTGGGCTTTTGTCTCTCTCTTTTTATCTTTTTCGATGTTTTTGTTTTGTTTCTTTTTGAGAATTCGATGTTTTTGCGTACATTCAGTATGAAAATGAAGATGTCATTGATTCGGCGAGGATTCAGCACAAGCACTTCTGTCTCTGACAATATTGTTGCTTCCGTCCTCTTTGAAAGACTACCTGTCGTCATTCCCAAAATTGATCCAACTTTTTATGCTTTTCAAGAATTCTCGTAACTCTCTCTCTCTCTCTCTCTCTCTCTCTCTCTCTCTCTCTCTCTCTCTACTTTCGTTCACTTCGATCTTATGCTCTGTTTGGATTCTTGTGCTTCACAGTCTTATGTTTGTCTTTCAGTGAAATCTTGTTTTCCCAAATTGTATGATATTTAATATCAACGCTTTCTTCCTATTAATATTTGCTTCGTAAACTTGAAGAACCTGTTTTAACGGTGATTGTTGTTCTTTTTATCTGCTGTGTTGTGTGTTCCATTCTCTTACTGATATTCTGGTTGTTGTTCCTATTATACTAACTAAGTAACTAAAATACATTTCCCCCCGGTTTGGATGGTTAGGATTCGATGGCGACAGCAATATCAACGCAGATATCCTGATGAATTTCTAGACAAATCTGATGCAAGGTATAAGTGGATAAGAGTATGTCTATACTTTTATTTATTTTTGGTTATTTGGCAAAGATTGTGATGCAATGATAAAAATGTTTCCTATTTTTTTTTCACCTCTTTATCTCTTTCTCTTTTCTCACATGCATGCATCCATCTGATTTAAGAGTAACACAACTGGCAAAATACAGATAGATCCTTGTTTTCATCCAGTCTTATGTGAAAATCATGTTAGTTCCAGGGGGAAAGGTGATTATCAGATTGGCTATGTGCCAGCACCACGAATCACTGAAGCTGACAAAAACAATGATCAAAGGTATGCACCAATTTGAGTTTGCTGATCACGTGTGTAATTTATATTAACAAAATTCTTTATTTCAATATAATTTACATTGCTCGATCACAATATCCTTATCCCTTGACTGAGGTAACAGAGTCAAAGCTAATATAATTTGAACTCTTTTGAGAGACACAAAAACTTATTTAGGCCACTTGCTTATCCCTTTTAATGTTTTTTTAGAACTGAATTTTCTGTTAGGCATAATTGCTGTGTGATTGCATATTCTCTTACTACTTGCCTCTTATAATGACCCTAAATGGTAAATTTTAATTAGAGATTTAATTTAAGGATTTAAATGCCATAATTAGATTCAGTGAGCGATTTCGAGTATTTTGACTGTAATCATGACTATGTATGAACAGTGCGTTCTGCCGGAGAATTTGCAATTTTGGTGAATTAACCGGTAGAGCTTAAATGATTAAAAATGATTTTAGAGACATAATTTGACAATTCTGACGTCAAATATGAGTTTAGAATGAAAAATTGTATAGTCTGGCACTTTCCGTGAAAATCTCGTGAATAGTGTTTCTACCGCGTATTTTGTACTGCTGTTTAAGCAACCGGTAGAGCCCAGAAGCAAATAAATGATGAAATAAGAATAAGAAAGTCCAATATATGCCAAGCAAGTCAATATAGGCCCAAGAAAATGATAAGTTTATAAGTGTTAAGTTTCAAAAATAAATAAAGTACAGTTAGTGGTTCACAGAGCATTTCGTCAAAAACGGTGCAGAAACCATACTGTGAATTACGAATATTGTTCCTTAGGAAATAAAAATGAATGTAAATGTATTCAGAAAAATAAAAATAAGTCCGTAGCTTTAAATTAGTTCCGGGTTAGTTAAGTGAACATACGCGAAAGAAAAACATCTGTTAAAAGTCACATGTGCTTATAAGGACCTTAAGTGACTTAAGATCACTATTCACCTCAATTTCTCTCTCCTCCCTTCCCTCAAAAACCCGAGCTCTTCATCACCTAGGGGGGGGGGGGGTTAGGGTTTTGGTTTGATTTTGCTTGATTTCTCCATCAATTTTAAACCAAAACACAAAGTCCACCACATGAGATTGCTTGTAAACCACCCAATGAACCCATTCCACCCATCAATTTGAGCTATTGTTGAGTGTGTGAAGAGTTATTCTCTCCCCCAAATTCGAGCTACTATTCACCAAGAAGAAAAAATGGATTTTTGGAGGGAGCTTTGCTTGGTGAAGGCCTTCTAGGCTTTGGGTAGTTCATTGGAGGTAACAAAACTCTAACCCTATGGCTTTATTATTGTGAATAATGTTTTGAAAGTCATGAGCATGGTTGGGTAGGAAATAAAGTAGTATAGAATGTGAAAATTATGATGGATTATTGTTGTTTAGGAAGTTATAGTGTTGAGTAAGCATCCAAATGTGATAAAATAATTGAAAAGCCCTATTGTATTTTTCCTCCTAGGTTCGGCCTTCATGGTGGGAGTAGGGGTCTTGTGGAAAAAAATTATATTATGTGTTATGAAGGTATAATGTGTTGAAAATGAGTGAAAGTGGATGAGTTAGTAAGAATGCCTAAGTGAAAAGGACTTGGTGTCTAAACTCAAAATAGGGACCTAGTGGATGCATGCCTAGGTGTTTGCAAGTTGTAAGGAAGTAAAGAAAATGTATTGTAAAAGAGATGAATCTTTGGAAATTCCCTTATAGGATTCGACCTATAGGGTATTTAGGGATATATTTGTACATTTTATTTTAAATAAAATGTGTTGTATTAAATTGTATAAAAGTGATGAGTTTTGAAGAAAAATAGCATGATTTATGTTGAAAATTCCTAAGGGAATGGGTGATTAAATTAAAGAACACCAACGGTTATAAAGAGGTCTAGACTTGTGTATTGGCATAGGATTGGCAAAAATGCAAAGAAATGAAAAGAAGCGATAAAATGTATGCCTTATGTGAAAGCTAGGCATGATGGCATTTTATTAATTGGTATTTGTGGATTCTTGCTCTAGGTGTACCTAGGGACTAAAAAGGAATCAGAATCTCTTGAAGATATATAAGTAACTTGTGCAACAAGTAAGGATATTGGTAAAGCTTCAAGAGGTAAGCTCTATGTTTAAGGAGTCTTTTCCTGCTTGAGTGCTCCACCATGGTTAGTGAACTATGGTTGGACTGTATGATTGTTATTTAGATGCTTTGTATAGATGCATTCATATAGAGTTATTTGATAACATGATATGTTTTGCTCTGATATGACTTCTGTAATATGATTTCTGTAACAATCTCTGGCCATTGATTGTATAGTACCCGGACGTCCGCTTTGGGGTCCTCCCTCGGGACTGATGATGTACGCCTCTGTTATGTCTGGTTCCGCTTTGGGGTCCTCCCTCGGGAACACGTGCGTTGATTTTCGCTTGGGGTCCTCCCTTGGGAATGACGGCGCACGCCTCTGATATGATACGGATATATGCTCTGTTCTGTTATGATATCTGCTATATGTTGTATTTGTATACTCTGTATCTGACTTTCGTGCAGGAGTGAGCCAGGGGTATGGAGAATTCTCTATAAACCTGGAGCTTATGGAGATTTGTAATCTCACCCCTCTTTGGGGACATATTTTCAGGTGCCCAGATTCCCGGTGAGTCCTCACTAGGCAGGGACACGACACGTGGCTGAGGCAGTTGACAGATCAGATTTTGAGTGGCTGTAGGCTACTACCTTTTTTGGAGTGTTTGATGTCTTTTAGTATTTCCGCATTTGATGGATCATGATATTGATCCTTTATTTTGTATATGGCCTGTATATGTTTTGTACATGTCTGTCACTTTGATGCATGTACATTTGGGTATTCAGGCACGTTATATGAAGATGTAGTATTCAGTTATGTTTATGTATTGGATTGCATGTTGTTAGATTAGCGGCACTGAGCCAAGTTATGCATGCGCCCATGGATGGGTATCTGATTATATTTGCATGCCTTGATGCATACGCTACCACTCGCCTATCCTGCATCAGCACACAACCCAGTCCCTTTTTAGAAGCATCGCTGTATAACTCAAATTCACCTTCCGGGTCGGGAAGTAATAACACCGGAGGTGTCGTCAATTTCTCCTTAAGGCTCTGAAAGCATTCTTCACATTCCTGCGTCCAAACAAAAGGAGTATCCTTCCGGGTCAAACGGGTCAATGGCAAAACCATAGCCGAAAATTCTTTAATGAATCTCCGGTAATAACCAGCCAAACCCAGAAAACTCCTTATTTCTGTTACTGTCTTGGGTCTCTCCCAATCAACAACTGCCTCTATCTTGCTAGGATCAACCGCCACTCCATCAGCAGAGATAACGTGACCCAAAAATTGTACTTGAGAAAGCCAAAATTCACATTTAGAAGGCTTTGCATATAACTGTTTCTCTCTGAGAATTTGCAACACAGTTCTCAAGTGACCTTCATGCTCTTCCTTACTCTTGGAATATATCAGGATATCATCAATAAACACAATCACGAATTGATCCAGAAACGGCTTAAATATGCGATTCATGTAATCCATAAACACCGCCGGAGCATTAGTGAGTCCAAATGGAATTACTTGATACTCATAATGTCCATATCTAGATCGGAAGGAAGTCTTCGGAATATCTTCCTGCCTAATTCGGATTTGATGATAACCCGACCTCAAATCAATCTTTGAGAAGACACAAGCACCCCTCAACTGATCAAGCAAATCATCTATACGAGGGAGATGATACTTGTTCTTAATGGTAACTTATTCAACTGACGGTAATCAGTGCACAATCTCATGCTACCGTCCTTTTTCTTAACAAATATAATTGGTGCTCCCCACGGGGACACACTTGGCCTGATAAACTGCTTAGCCGAAAGCTCCTCAATATGCTTCTTTAACTCGGCTAATTCCGGTGGTGACATCCGATACGGAGCCAGAGAGATAGGCCCCACACCAGGAAATAGATCAATCGTGAACTCAATCTCTCTATGAGGCGGAAGTTGCGGAATTTCATCTGGAAACACATCCACAAACTCCTTCACCACGGAAATAGTGCCAATCTCTTCATGACTTCCGCCTACTAAACCCCCCACAAAGACATATCCCAATGCCCCGGCTCTCAAAGCCTTTCTAACCTGCAACACAGATAGATATGGGGAAGAACTAGTAGCAGAATCATCAGCATCAAGCACAATCCTTTTACCACAGCAGTCTATCATAGCACAGTTATTTGACAACCAGTCCATACCCAAGATAACTTGAAGGCTGATCATAGGTAAACAAATAAAATCCAGCACATAATCTCGGCCTTCATATTTGAACTCAACGTCTTTACACAACACAGATGTATAACACTCCTCTCCAGTAACAGTAACCACTTTCATTGGAGGGCGAATGTCGTACATTTGCAGATTTAGCCCAACGGCCATAAAATCAGACATACAGGAGTGTATAACTCCTGAATCAAACAACACTTCAACATCCATATTATCGATATAAATTGTACCTTTCACTAGATTCGGAGCCTTCTCCGATTGTTGACGGTCCATGGTATATACTCTACCAACCGTCTGAGACTCTAGCATAGGTGGAACAACAGAGACAGGAACAGCAGTAGCTTGAACTGCCATAGTCCTCGCTTCATTCTGAGGACACTGCCTGGAATAGTGACCAGATCTTCCACATTTAAAACAGATCACTTCACCGGTAGCACATGGACCTCTATGCTCCTTGCCACATCCCTTGCACTTGGGAGGAGGTCCTCTATCAACAAACTTCTTCTGAGTCCCGGGCTTTTTGAACAAGTCAAAGGGCCTATTCGCATTCAGCTTCTTGCCTTGCATCTTTATGTTCTTCCAATAACCTGAGCCTGTTGCTTTATTGGCGTTAGGTGCCTGGGCCTCAGAGGACTTCTTGGTTTGGGACACCTTGTACACTTCTTCTACCTTCCTGCACTGATTTACAAATCGACTGAACTCTCGGATGTCACAATTTGACATCTTCCGAGACATCTTCTCATTAAGACCCCATTGGAACTTGGAGGTCATTTCAGCCGGAGTGGGTAAGGCTCGCCCATAGTTGGCGTATTTCACCAACTCATTGAATTTTGCAAAGTATTGGTCAATAGACATCGACCCTTGCTTGAGATCGTTGTACTCATTCTGCTTATGTTCCCTAGCCTCTCTAGGAAAATAGTTATCCAAGAACAATGTCTCGAACAACCGCCAGGTGATTTCCCGGCCTTCAGCTTCTAGGGGCTGTACGGTATTAGTCCACCAATCCTCCGCTTCTTCTTCCAGCATGTACACGGAGTAGATTAACTTCATTGCGTCAGGGCATCTCATCACCCTGAAGATTTTCTCCATCGCTTGGAGCCATTTCGCAGCCGCCATTGGCTCATATCCTCCCTTAAAAGAAGGAGGTTTGTATTTTTGGAAAGCCATCAATCTTCTTTCCTCCACTTCATGGTCACCGACATTCTCAACTCGAGGTTGACGAACCTCGATGTGATGACTACGACTTCCAGAATGGTGACTACCCTCACCTTCATTGTTACCCGCTACACCCTCTTCTTGTGAAGGAGGTGGAGAAGGCGTAGCAGTGTGAGGAGGAGGAGTGGGTTGCCGGTTCATAGGCCTAGGACCCCTCAACGTCCTCAACTCAGTCATCATTGCTGCCATGGCAGTCCGCGTATCCTCATTAGTCTTCATCAAAATTTCATTGGCATGCCGACTAGCCACCAATTCCCTTTGCATATCGACCATAGTAGCCGTCACAGGTTCAGGTTGACCACCGGTTGCCCCACGACCACTTCTGGGGCTAACAAGAGCAGCCAAAACAGGTTCTGGCTGAGCATCGGTGTTTGATGGTCCGGGGTTGTTTCGGTGCCTCGTCATGTCACTACACATGTTACACAAAGAAGTGAGTTGATCAGGCCCACACTTAGTGATCACAAATGCAATAATCATAAAGAGCACTAAAACAACTATAAAGCATCAAACACTAAGCATACTCAACAATAGCTAACAATTATTCCCTACAGAACTGCTCTGATACCATAAAATGTAACGCCCCGTTCTAGAACCGGTTTGTTAACATTGCATTATGATATTAAGCGCAGTTACAATCACATTGGCTCAATTAAAATCCGGATAAATTTTTCATTTTAAAACATGCCGAATTTATAATACCCAATTTCGTGATCATAACCATATTAATTTGCGGAATCAGATAAATCAAGCTTAACATCATATTTTTATTTCATTTTTAACCCATTAATTTACTTCTTATTTATTTCACAACTTCTACTATATCGTAGATCTCTTCATTAGCTATGCGTGGCTTCAAACCGCGCTCGAATCAGAGCACTGTAGCCCAAGTTATAACAATTGGAAGCCACACAAGAGAGTGTTGGTCACAGGCCCCGCGCGCTTCAGCGCGCTACCGGGCGCTCAAGCGCGCGTTATCGGGCGCTAAAGCCTCCACCTGGGCGCTTAAGCGCACGGAGGGAGGAAGCATCAGGTTTTTCAGTATAAATGGGCGCTTAAGCGCGCACCAGGGCGCTCAAGCGCGCTATCCTGGGCGCTTAAGCCCCCATTTGGGACATTTTAGCGCGCAGAGGCAGAAGCATCCCCTCCTTCAGCGGCTAAGGGCGCTCAAGCGCGGACCAGGGCGCTCAAGCGCGCAACCCTGGGCGCTTAAGTCCCCACTCAGGGCGCTCCAGCGCGAGGAGGCCGAATGCATTGGCTTTCACAGGGGCAGCAGGGCGCTAAAGCGCGCTTCAAGGCGCTAAAGCGCGCTGCCAGGAAATTCCATTTCCTAATTTTACAAGTCCAAGTCTAGGGAAAATGTATCCCCATTCCAAACCCCAATGGTTCATGTCTCAAAACTTAATCCTAGCACTTATCCCACCTCTCATCATGAGATTTAGCTAGAATTTGGGCAGCATAACCTTTGTTTTCTCAACGTTTCCCAATTTAAACAAAAGGTACCTAATTGATTCTCAGCCCAATCAATTCAATAACTCAATACATAACAAGCATGCATATATTGAATTTCAAGCAGGCATCATTTACAGTACATATTCATTACAAATCATGGAACTTAGCTTACAAAACACTATGATCATTCCCTTGGCTCCCATCAACAAAAGAGATGACCAGAGGCATGATCATAGGCTAAGTCCATTCCACTATACAAATCATAAATCTATCATTGCCTATTAATTACAATTCTATACATGTGAGCTACCTAAACAACATGTATAATCTCAAAAGAAATGCAACATTGCATGCATATGCTAATCCAGATATGGCCACTTGCCACCAGAGGCTCCTGCAGCATCCTTACCTGAAAGGGGGTCCCCACAACACGGGGTGAGATATACGAATATATCCAGTAAACCAGGGGTCCTTGGAGCATCTCTCCACCCCACAATTCCATATCAGTGTAATAACAATGGTGTGAATTTGTTAATTTCTGCAAGAGACTTGTAACATCCCCGTCTCGAGCCGGTTCAATTAACATACACATGATATAAACAGATACAGCGGAAGACTTAACTTACGAAAATATGAGCTAACTTTTTCTTTTTCTAACTTAATTCTTACTCGGCGTAAACGAAAATCGGGCAGAGTTTCCTCTATAAATCGAACAACTGGGGATTTTCCAATCCCACTCAGAAGCATTTCCTGATAAACAGTTTATACAACATATCAATTCAGAAATACCAGATATCCAAATATAATCAAATACACATACATGGGCGCATGCATAACATGGCTTCGTGCCACTATATCTAA